CCAGATATGTTTATATTTTGGATTTCTGGGACTAAATTAGTAGGAAGGAGGACGGAATAAAACACACAAGTAAATGTTGAATGTTTCCTGACTTATAGGTAACTACCATATCTGCTGTGTGTAGAGCGCCTTTAAAACAAACCCACAACTACAGCTGTGTTGACTGTAGAGTGGGGTGCGCATAATACATGCATGCAGTGACAGTCCGTGAACACGTCACAAAGGAAATACCATGTCAACAAATCCGAAGTCAAGTACGCACATTAAATCTGTTATTTAACCATCTGGTTAGAAAAGGTGTTCATTGTTTATCTGGAATTACATATGTAATCTGTTTTATTCGTTTTATTCAAAACTTTGTTCAATGTTGTTTACAGTAATTTCGTGTGTTCGGCAGGTCGAACCAACTCACCGTTTATTTTCAGATCATCGTTATTGACGACTTGAAACGAACTCTCTTTGTCAGGGAATGGATACAGATATCATAAATGACTCGTTTAGAGTCGTACTTGCAGTTTGACTATCATATTTCAGCATACAGAATTCGCGATCAAAATAGCAAGATTACGGGGAGCGTCAATCGGTAACTCGTCAAACTGCTCCATACTTACAAGTGGTACGGTTGTGGTTATTATTTAATATATATAATGCAAAAGCTGCAACTAAAATAACATGAAATATTACTATATTATTCCTGATAAAATAAAATGATTTCAGATACAATTTCTTCCTATCACTACATCAAAAATAAGAAGTTATTGGGTATGTTTTAGGTGAATCACCGGTAGATCTGCAAGAAAATGATTATATTTCCAGCTTAGTTTACAAGACCAAAAAAAACCACGGTAATAAAACAATGTCTCGCAGATCAGGAAATAAAACAGAAAATTGTAAAGAATCATACCTAGTGATATTTTACCACAAATTTTCCATATAGGCGAATACTTTAAGCGAAAACAGTGTTGATTTTTTAATGTATTCCACATACTGATCAGTCACTACAGTCAACAAGTTGACGTGTGAACACAAGCATCCACTTACCAGTTGCTGTCAGTTTGATATTCAAATATAAATATAAATACTTAAGACTATGTGCCAAATATAACACAAGTAACTATATTTCGATAAAGATTCTACAACAAGATGAGTTTTCATTTAAAAACAAACAAAACAGATCATCCTCAAACATAAACATTTATGATGAGTTTCAGAAATGTTTGTTCATTAGATTTTGAGAAGATTTATTTTTCAAAATCGTCTTCGACGCCGAAGTTTCATTCCCGCCATGCTGCCTTTAACAATTTCGCATTCATTGCCATGGAGGTAAAATGTGAAGTTTGCAATTGTTGTAACTAAACAGAACTTAAATAATAATAAAAAATAAATTCCAAATGATTTGATCGAATATGCCATAAAATGAAGAAACTTGTAGGACAAAGTTACAATCCCCAGTCTCGAGATGAAGAATTTACAGACCTTCAGAACTTTATCAAAGTACAGGGGTTTAATCAAGGTCACTATATGAAATGTCGCAGTAACTAAATTTCTATATATACACCCGACCACGTTCGTCGCCTCTCACGACGAGCATGGGTTGCTGAAGATCAATTCTAACCCGGATCTTCAAGGGCACATGGACTTCCCGCGGCTGCCTGAATTGCATCTTACATTGCTGAAGACATATATACACACACGTGCACACACACACACACACACACACACGTGCACACACACACACACACACACACACACACACACACACACACACACACACACACACACACACACACACACACACACACACACGTGCACACACACACACTGACACAAGCGCGCGATGCGCAAAATTATATTCACATTCGCAAGCCCTGGTCAATTGTACGGTTTGCAAAATTAAGGTTTAGGTTAGAGTCACAAATCACAAACTACGGCCTCAAAAACAAATAACTGAAGTTCAATGGCAAAATGAAAGTGTCTCCTTAGCAGTGAAATCGTATTGTGTCCCGACACGAACAAAGATCGTAAATACGCGGTAAACCAATTTCTCCTAACAGCAAGTCGTGGCCCCGGTCTGGTAACTAGGCGCTTCAGTTCCTGATTCCAAAGATCACTCCAACTTGCGGTCCTCCCGCCACGGATCTCAAAAGCGTTTAATGAACGCATTTAGGAATGCGTTCATTGAACGCTTTTGAGATCAGGATCCTGTTTGCAGAGCTAAACTTCATGTTACATTATGTGACATTCTGTATTCTATCGTTTGTACTGTGGTTCTTGTTCTGAAATCGGATGACATCATCAACTCTAATTTCGATGAAACTAGTTATGTAAAACATTCAACTCAGATTCGTGTGCACCAATCGAGAATTTGAGTAACCTTTCACTTGCTTACTCTGCTTCTTTACATCACAGACCGCCTCCGTGGTCCAGTGGATATAGCGTCTGCCCGGAAGGTCGGTGGTTCGGGCCCCAGCCGCGTCATACCAAAAGACGTTAACATATAGTACTTGTTGTTACCCTGACTGGCGTTCGGCAACACGGACTGGTCGGATAGGAGTCAGTGTACTGTGTCTGAATAGGGTATCCGAGTTATTATACTGTGTCCGAATGGGTCATTCATGTAACACTGCGGCGTGGTATCTCAGTGACCGAGCATTATAAAATCGGCATTAGTCAAATGGAATTTACAGAACAACGTACGCCCTCTTTGCAACCTAGAATGTATGTGGTGTACACCCTTAAGAAGTTAAGCACATCCGTATACGATGTTTGTGTTACTTCATTGTGCACTCCGCGCGGGATGAAGGCTAGACATGTAGACTGTTTGTTAGTGGATTTGTAGAGCTCAATACACTCAAATATTTAATTTAACACAACTATCATGTTCTGTTTTCTAGCTCGCTGTGTTGAATGAACAACCGTGTCTTTAATGTACGGATGGGTAATTAAGTGTCTAGAACTCCCACATTCAACTGTTTGTTATTCGTCGCTTTTTGTAACAGGTGCTCTCTGTACACACAGAGGTTGTTCAAAATAAATATATTTAAAAGCTTACTTGATAAATAACCCGTACATAAATTAGTGATGTGATACCAATACTTATGCTCACATAAATATTCCTTTTCGCACAAAAATGATAATACTCAGTTTGTATAAAAATTATGTGACTGGCGGGTGCTACCGGTAGGGCAGGACATGCTTACCCTTTTCTCGAACACCTGGTGTCATCACTGAGTTTCAGGGTCCAGTCATATAATATTCGAAATGGAATCTGTTTCGGCGGACAATCTAGACTGTTTATTCTCTCGCATTTACAATTTATATTATCCATGTTTGTTGTTTTACGCTGCAGTCAACAATAATCCTTTATCACGATTGTTCGTAAGTAATCCCATGTCACAGTTGTTCATATATAATCCTATATCACGATTGTTTCAAAATAATCGACCCGTGAAGAGTAAACATCACTGAAAAGTACAATTTAACAATCTCTATGACGTTGCAATACATGTACTGTATTCATAAAAAGTAGTTTGTGGTGTACGTTTTATATTGCTCAAGTTGGTCTGCGATGTGTGCTAATGTCACGCCACAAATACTGACTCTTTATAAGTATCGTTACCCATGCATTAGGGACGTTGGAGTTGACATTGTTGGACGAGGATGTATCCCTAGGTATAGAGCAAGAAGAGGCTGATAGCCACCTGAAATATAAACAAATAATGTCGGCCATGTTAGAAACCTGATCTACTGACCTACAAGGGCAACATAAAACAAGTGTTATACTTTTAAAAGAAAATTAAATGAATTGTCAAAGCAAAACATTTGAGTTAAGGCAAAGTGGATCTACCTTTGTACGTCAGTGAAAGGTCATTTGGTTAAATGACAGTTTTCCTGTATGTATTGTGTGGCCATTCGCCCTGTTCCGTCAACATCCTATTAAATCAGTCATCATTCATTAGCTTTGCTGAGTACATGTCAGGAGTGTCTGAGCAGCTAAGTCAAACCCACAACAGGGTAGCCAATGAATGATTTAAGGAAGGTAACCATTGTAACATGAAGTTGGGCGGAAGAAAGAGAGGAGCGTGATTTCTTTACTACATATAATGTAAATGGAATGCACTGGCCAGTTCCGAAAGGTGATAAGGTTGTCGCAACGAGGATGATTCATTTTATAACAATGTTAGTTAGTTAATAAATCAGGTGCTTTTCCGTTTCCAAATATCTTCCAAACTCTACAGTTCTATGGTGACATGGTGACAAGCTTCACGTTGAATGACACACATGTGCAATGACTGCCCCTGCGACAATTCGGTATTTAATGATATTCGGGATGAACCTAAATCTGTTCCCCAAAGGTCACCGTAGTTCACGGTCATCAGGGAAACATGCACGTTGAGGATTAACTTGTGGTGACATGGTTGCGTTGGATGTTAATCCCAGCAATTACCTTTCTAACAATGCCTTGGTTATTTAGTAGGCCTCTTCTGAATTCCGTGACCACATTAAAACAGACACATGATGAAGGCATGTGCTGGCTTTTTGAATAAAGGCAATATAACCGTGTTTCCATGTTCAACTGTCATTCCATGTACACGTCATCGTTTAAAAAGAAACGTAAATTAAAATATACAAACATTAACAATAAATATAAAAATGTCGATTAACCATCTATAAGGTACCCAACTGACCAACCTTCTCGTTTGATGACATTCTGTTGGATGCTGACGGATGTATACTGGTAAAACAAGTCTGACTTCGAATTAACAGCTGTTTGACGACAGACAAGACCATCAATGTCACACAATACCTTAAAATAAAGATACACTGCAGTGTTACATTTTCGACGGTGTTCTTGAACAAATACTCCACAACAACGTTTTCTATGAGCATGCGCAGCACGTGAGGAAGGTGATTTAGCTGAGAAAAAATATTTGACGCTCCCTCCTCCAATTAAAAGTGAAAAGAGATGGCAAGATCCTATTCGCACCCAGTCCCCTTTGTGTGATCAGGGTCGTCTGTTAAGGAAAACAGAGGTGGGGAGAGAGCATACCCCAGATGTACTCCAGTCTACGACGGGAGTCACTTGAAGCTTCTTCCGTGGAACAGGGATACCTTGTCTTTCAAAGATGTCGTGCATTGGATATCTAATAGCGGCTTCTTTGTTGGCGATCTGTGCGGAAGAAGGTGAGATACAGAGAAACTCCGTTAGTCCGGATTCGGAACAGAGTATATGAACGATTATCCTTAAAAATGTCTACATGTATGCCATCTGGACCAACGGGGATAGCGGTTCACGTTTTCAGCATCAGAACCAATGTTAAGTTTGATCTAATTTGTAATGACTACTAGCGATCCTCACCAAAATGATGGTGATAGCTTCTAGCAACACGACTCATTCATCTCAGTCAATGCATTTATCTTGCATGTAATTTGTTTAAATCTGATAATTACGGGTCCTGATCTAGTTAGATCTGTTACATTTTAAGCGTATGTCAAAAGATTTCAAAATATCAAAGTGACACTCCGGTAATCCGGACTCGGAACTGGGTGTATGAACGATTACCCTCAGGAACGTCTACAAAAGGCGACTTTGCTCGTCGTAAGAGGCGACTAACGGGATCGGGTGGTCAGGCTCGCTGACTTGGTTGATGCATGTCATCGATCCCAGTTGCGTGGCTGGATGCTCATGATGTCAATCACAGGATTGTATTGTCCAGACTCGATTATTTACAGACTGCTGTCATATATCTGGAATATTGCTGAGTGCGGCGTTAAACCACGAACTCACTAACTCACTGCTACATCGCCCGACACAGAGCCAAACATCAATAGAAACCTGTTTTAATTATGGGTTACGTTGCAATGCTCATGACAGCCACTGTTAGTTCACGCCGTGTTGCAATACTTTAAATTTGAAAAACCCCGTGACATCTACTGAACTAAAGGTTAAGAATCATAACAAGAATATTTGTGTTAAACTGTATGCTCCTTCTTTACAACAAAAAAACATTCATGATCCTCAACTTTTTTGTTTAGGATATATACACGAGATGATAGTTTAGTAAAGTGGTGTTAAAGCGATTGCATCCTGAAAATCAGAGTTTACTTTCCCTAAGTTTAAAACAAAAGCCCAAACGGGGTCAGTAAAGATCACCAGTATCCTGGATGGATCGGATGGTTGCACTGGGTGACCTGGCTGATCGTGTGTCTTCTTGTGACGACAAAGCAAACCTCGTGCAGTTAATCACTGGGTTACCTGGCCCAAATTCCAGTGACAGTTCCTCGCAGTATATCTGGAATTTTGCGGACTGTTGCGTAAAAAAACATTCGCCTAAATGAACCTAAGGATGTCAACCTTTCCTGTAACCGATATTTGTTTTACTATCATTATTTTACATAAACCTCTTCAAGCGTCACTGTTTTACGCGCTTTGTTATCATTATTTATATTTTTTAGATCTATTGGTATAAATTTGGGAGGGAACTACCAATTGCCATTACCTTATTACACTTTGAATTACAGACGTTCTAGTTTCAGCTGTAACTTGTGTTTCGGACTACGTGGGGCAACCTTTGCTCCACTCGTTATCCATGTCTTTAATCCCAGCAAATAGATAATGTACGGGAGATCAGATCAGTGTCTGAGTAAGTAGAGATCACTGGTTCAGACAGACCAAGGGTCATAATCAGGGAGAAAGTCAAGTCCGAAGCCATGACCAGCTGATCCTGACACGACAAAGGGACTGTACGGAGATTCACGAACTACTCGTACACACAAATAGCTGAACAAACCTGAGTCTCTATCATAACAGTTTTACATCATTTCTCTGTCGGGCGGAGGGGTAGCCTAGTGGTTATGGCGCTCGGTCGTCATGCCAAGGACCCGGGTTCTAATCTCTGCATGGGTAAACTAAGTGAAGCTCATTTCCCGCCTTGATGTTGCGTGAATATTGCTAAAAGCTGCGTAAGACTAAACTGCCTGACTCACTCTATTTCAGTGCTCGCGCAGAACTTCAACGTGGTTTGCTACTACACCAACTGGTCCCAATACAGGAAGGGGACGGGGAAGTTCTTCCCCGACGACATTGACCCCTTCCTGTGCACCCACATCATCTACGCCTTCGCCAAACTGCAGGGCAACATCATCATCCCGACTGAGTGGAATGACGATACTGAGTTCCCACCGGGCTTGTAAGTTTTCACAAAGCAAAGGATGTTCAATATGTTCATTGGTGTCTTTGTTCATTGGTGTCTTTGTTCATTGGTGTCTTTGTTCATTGGTGTCTTTGTTCATTGGCGTCTTATTGTGTGTTGGAGAAAATACACATTGGTTGTTGTGAGAAAGATTACTTTTGCATTTTCTGTCAATGAAAAAAAAGAAAGACATATAACAAACTCGGTATCTCAAATAATTTTATCTATCAAAATTATAAAATTATGCATATTATGCTTAATACATACCCGTGTTCTCCCACTCTCGAAGACCAGTAGAGATATCCTCTCCTCACACCGTGACGGAAACGTCACGCGCTGCAATGAAGCCATCAAATATGGACCGGTTCATGACAATGCGTCACCTATAAATTTGTGAAGACGGATTAATCAATTAATCTATTTTAGTAGACTATATGGGTTGGTTATAAGTCACTGTGTCACATTTTCAGTATGTATTGTCATATATGAAATACAATCGAACCAATGGAATGGATGGAGCATCTGGGCCGCATGATTTGATGCACATTCATATTTCATGTAGAGTAATGAATGCCTTGTGTGAATTGATTTCTGTCGCTACAATCAATTAACTTTTTCAAATTTGATATATCAATGGACGCAAATTGATATACTGTATATATTTCTAATGGTGATTGTCATTGTATGAGAGGGCTAAACTCAATCTAAATCGATCATGGGTTATTCTGTGTTCCCAAACAACACACACGAGCAAGTTTAAAGTATGTCACATTAACTAAATTTTTGCAAGAACATGTTGTTGATGTCATAAAAGGAGTATAAATGATTTCAGCATAAACCTTTGACCTCCGTTTCGCCTTTCTTTTCCAGATACGGCAGAATGATGACTCTGAAACAACGGAACCCAAACCTGAAGATCCTGCTTGCAGTGGGAGGATGGACAATGGGGACTAAATCCTTCTCAGAAATGGCTTCCACAGGCGCCAACAGGGAGGAGTTTGTGTCCTCAAGTATCAACTTCCTCCGAGCCAGAGACTTTGACGGCCTTGACCTTGACTGGGAATACCCCGGATGGGAGCCACGTGGAAGCCCTAAGGAGGACAAGGATCGATTTACGTTATTGTGTCGGGTTAGAGTTGATCCACAGTTACACAATGTTTCAAACACCATTATTATAACACACAATGAAAAAGAATAATGAACTTTACCTCGAAGGACAAGAAAACTATTTTATCAGGAAATATTTACTCGCATGACAAAGAATGATGACTATGACAAAAATGGCATTGTTGTGTTTAATTATCTCATGTCTTATTACGCAGACCAGCTAAATGTGATTGTTGTGTCCATTTTGTCAAATATTACAAAAGCTCAAAAGCGTTTTCACAATGGTTTAGTTTATATGACGCGGAAACTGGATTTACGTGTGCAAATGTTGATTTTTGTAAAGGCTGATGGTCGCCATGTTTCTTCCTAGGATCTGAGACAAGGATTTGAAGCCGAGGCGCGCAGGTCTGGGCAGTCCCGTCTCCTTCTGACGGCAGCCGTAGCAGCAAGTCCCGCCATAGTGGATGCTGGATATGATGTGCCCCAAATATCTAAGTGAGTGACAGAGTTGGGTTAACACGGCTTATGGCAGGGGTTCGGTTATACCAGCTTGATGTGAGAGATACCAGCTTGATGAGGGAGGATGCGTTGGAGTGAAGCACGTTGTATGGTTAGATGAGGTTTTACACATCTTTAAGTAATAGTTCAGCCATAGAACGACGAGGACACCAATAATTGGCTTCACACGTGTACCCATGAGGAGAATCGAACTCGAGTTCTTGGTGGTGAACGCTTAAACCGTTAGTCTACCCAACCGCCACTTATATTAAAGAAAACATCTCTCTACGAAACAGCATCAACGAAATGACACCCTGTCAAAATACGAAACACGACTTACCCCCTTGTAACACCACATTGTGTAATATTTATTCAAGATGGTCCATGACACTGATAACGACACATGGATAAATGAATGAAAGTTATCCTTCTAAATCATGTGACAATGAAACTGTGCAGAATTTACGAGAAGCTTGTAAATTTAGTTCTCAATTTTTTCAAATTTCAGCTACTTGGACATCATAAACATCATGTCCTACGACTTCCACGGCGCCTGGGACTCCGTTACTGGCCACAACAGCCCCCTTTACGCCGACCCCAGAGACGGCTCGCCTAAACTGAACGTGGTGCGTTATCAGTTAGTCTCGGTATTGAACTGCAGTGCCAATAGTTCGCCTGTTCCAATATTTCTCTGCTGGGATATTAGAGTTACCAATCTCTGGAGTTTCACGTGTAAAAATTCAGTTCACATATGGAATGTCATTGATTTCCACCAGCAATTGCTGCAATATTGCTGATGCGACGTTAAATATCAACTCACTCACTCACTCTGGCTGAGGAGGAGAAGGAATGGATGGTTGAAGGTTTATTTCGAGAAAAAATAAACACGTTAAAATCTGACCAAAATTTTATACTTCTTTCGTATACCTTCCTTGATATTACACATCCAATATAAACAAATAGTGTTTTCAGTTTACTTCTGTCCCGTATCTTTTCTCTTCATTCTTGGTCGAAATATTTTAGGAAAGGAATGTCGTGAATATAACACACACACACGTTAATATCTGACCAAGATTTTATATGCATACTTCTATGGTACACCTTCCTTGGTTTTGCCGATCAAAATTATATTTCAGATCCAATATAAACAAATTGTGTTTTCAGTTAACAATGAACTTCTGTCCCATATCTTTTCTTTTTATTCTTGGTCAAAATATTTTAGGAAAGGAAACTCGTGAAAGGATTAATCTCAAATTATTGTCTTTTACAGGACTATACCGCAAATTATTGGTACATAAAGGGTGCCCCTAAGTCGAAGATCGCCGTTGGCACCCCAATGTATGGACGGTCCTTCACACTGGCGAACCCCCGGAACACTGGCATAGGTGCCGCCGTGAGGGGAGGGGGAACAGCTGGACCCGTCTCCGGGGAGAAGGGTATCCTTCTCTTCTACGAGGTATGTTAAAGTTATGAGGGGTTTTCAGATCGATAACTGATCCGTGTATTTAACCAATGGGGACCAATGAATTTCCTTTTATTTTATTATTAAGATTAATATTAACTATTACTCAACTGAGTTGGCTCTAATAATGAATTTACGCAAATAATCGAATTGAATTGTTCCCATGTAGAGAATCCAACCTGATTCTTTGGCGTGACGAATGAACACTTTAACAACTAAAATATCTATCCATGTTTCCGAGGCAAGAGCATCCCCTAGCCTTTTCTTATCAAAGTCTTGTCTCTACCCTTGCCACATCAAACCCACTTTCTTGTGTTGAAGATGACTGGACTATCGCACATATCGATAGTCCAATCAGAGAACGTTACACAAAGTCAACATCCCCAACTGGTACACCTTTGTATGAAGGTGATTTACCGCTGCCTGTGTTTGTTGTGTTTTTTCGTCTTTTACAACCCCCCCCCCCCCCCCAACGATTGCCTATGGTCTTGCGTCAGGGATGAAATAGCGAATGTTTTCGTTATCTGATCGACTATGTCGTCGCCTATGGCAGTCGCCATCTTTGTGAAGCTATACGAGATAAGAACAGCGATCGGATTGAATATCGCGTTTTTATTACAAGGGGCACAACTTGTTGATCTACGCGAGGTGGCGCCAAGGTCGAGCCAAGAAAAGTGGCCTTGATGTGGCAAGGGTAGAAAGTTGACGTTGATATAGGCTAGTGGACACGCTTGCCTCGGGAAGATATAAGATATCCGGCTAACATCATCTCAAAACAATTCATCATTATCATCATCTCGGTGTATGCTTATGACCACGATACTTCATGCTCATGGCAGACTCCGTACCTACATTAAGGGCTGATATGAAAACACCGGATATCTCGCACTACTGATAGTTCGAAGATATACTACTCAAAATAGGTTAAAGAACAACCGATTCTCTAATTGTTCTATTGTTATTCTGTCTGACCGTGCTTGTACAATGTATTTTATAAATATATTTTGCAATATATTTTTTACTGTTTTAGTTAATAATATCCATATATGATGACTTGTGTCTCGCAGGCCTGAATGGCCGGATATTGCAATATTTATCAGGTGCAATCAATGCATGCAATATGTGACATTCAAATAAAATAATAATCTTCTTCTATCATCGTCGGACCCCAAGATTTGAGTTTGAGATTTATGTATTATTCAATCATTTCATAAAGATTATAATGACGCACCATTTAATCCGCCCGTTTATCAATATGCATCAATTTTATCTATTTATGTTTTATTACATACATACATCTCACAAATATTTACACATCTATTTATTAGCAGTTTATATTCATTATGATTCATATTTTTTTAATTGTTTCTGTGCAGTTTATATTTCATTTATCTATAACGTACCGATGTATTCTCAATCATCTTTTTCTAGCTTTACATTGTTTGTTGCGATGTCCAAGCCTAGACCTTGTAATTAGGGCCTTAATTGAAACTGTATGATTATTATATACGTAATACAATTTGAGTCAGCATATGAACAAAGTTGACGGGACTGCCTATTTCACGGGCTTAGTTCTCGTTTAATGGCAAATGTCTTCGGGAAATCTCTTGTTTGTTGATATTGGAGATGAGAAACACATAAAAATATGAATGGCCAAGCAAGTCATCTTTTAACTGTATCTAGTAATCTCTTTCAACAGCTGACTTAACGACTTTTGACAAATTAAATCATAAACCCGACTATTTCAGTATTCAGTTGATTGGGTGGTATAAACCCTATTGCTGTAACTACGGTAAGAGTACACATTCAATTGCAGTATGATTCAGCAAGGAGAGGTGCTAACTCCGCTATTATTATTCCAGGTTTGCTCCGGGGTGCTCGACAGGTACACACTGTCGTATTCAAACGCGTCCCGGGTGCCTTACGCCTACAGCGGGGATCAATGGGTGGGCTACGACGACAAGTCCAGCATCGTTGAAAAGGTAAAGGGAGATAACTCGGGTTGCGTTAAACGTACATGTACGCGTATTGCCTACCGCGCACCTTCATTGCTGTCAAAACCGCTTCAATGTCCGGTGAATATGGCTGTCACACCGTCAACGTTTCAATATAGCGAATCAGTCCACCGTTTTGAATTTGTTGAATTGAATTTGAAAATATATTGACATTGTGTGAATATTCTAAAACAGATATGTTGGTATACTTTTGACAACTAACGCAAGGAGATTGATACTTTCTGTCATCAAATAGGGAGTATAATTTGTACAGATTGAAGACGAATTTCGTGTATGGTGTATTTATACTAGGTTTGCGATTATAATATTGACCCATCATGTTCAGATGGTCAGTGGACACTGATCAATGTACTAACCTCGAAGAATGTTGACCATATGCACTTTCAATCTTTGTTTCTCAAACATGTGTTCCCTTTATACAAACCTGGTTTAATATTTGTTGCAAACATTTTCACGTAACATTTTTTTCTGTCAATATGGTTGTGCTGGGGGACATAAGGCCTTTATAAATCTATGTCTGTACATTATGTACACATATTTTACTTTTTACATTTAAGTCAAGAAAGTCAGATAAGCAGATTATAATGATATATATATTTTTCGAACGTCCATAATTCGCAGCACAATTTATTCACTTCCTAAGATTTTCACCTGGTAATTTGAATAGCGATCATCTTTTCTAAATTTAGTTCATTTTTATGATTTAATTAAATACATATTTCGTAGAGTGTCAAGTCCATGTTTGTTGATAGGCATCTTTGAGCTAAGATTCAGTCATGATCAGTAGTTTCAAGTACGACACGGCTAACACTTCTAAGGTGTTGATGTAGCCATAGTAACGAATCATCTGGACAAATGACAACGAATCATTTAGCAGGTTATGTTAGTGTATGTTTGTGTATGTTAGTGTGTTGGTGTATGTTTGTGTATGTTTGTGTATGTTAGTGTATGTTTGTGTATGCTGGTGTATGTTTGTGTATGTTTGTGTATGTTTGTGTATGTTAGTGTATGTTAGTGTATGTTTGTGTATGTTTGTGTATGTTAGTGTATGTTTGTGTATGTTAGTGTATGTTTGTGTATGTTAGTGTTTGTTTGTGTATGTTAGTGTATGTTAGTGTATGTTTGTGTATGTTAGTGTATGTTTGTGTATGTTAGTGTATGTTAGTGTATGTTAGTGTATGTTTGTGTATGTTTGTGTATGTTTGTGTATGTTAGTGTATGTTTGTGTATGCTGGTGTATGTTAGTGTATGTTTGTGTATGTTTGTGTATGCTGGTGTATGTTTGTGTATGTTTGTGTATGTTAGTGTATGTTTGTGTATGTTTGTGTATGTTTGTGTATGCTGGTGTATGTTTGTGTTCATTTGTGTATGTTTGTGTATGTTTGTGTATGTTAGTGTATGTTTGTGTATGTTAGTGTATGTTAGTGTATGCTGGTGTATGTTTGTGTATGTTTGTGTATGTTAGTGTATGTTAGTGTATGTTTGTGTATGTTAGTGTATGTTAGTGTATGTTTGTGTATGTTAGTGTATGTTTGTGTATGTTTGTGTATGTTTGTGTATGTTAGTGTATGTTTGTGTATGTTAGTGTATGTTTGTGTATGTTTGTGTATGTTAGTGTATGTTTGTGTATGTTTGTGTATGTTTGTGTATGTTAGTGTATGTTAGTGTATGTTTGTGTATGTTTGTGTATGTAAGTGTATGTTTGTGTATGTTTGTGTATGTTTGTGTATGTTTGTGTATGTGTGTGTATGTTTGTGTATGTTAGTGTATGTTAGTGTATGTTTGTGTATGTTTGTGTATGTTAGTGTATGTTTGTGTATGTTAGTGTATGTTTGTGTATGTTTGTGTATGTTTGTGTTCAGTACGTTGAGTCTCCTTTCGAAAAAAAAAACAAGTGATTATTTCATCGTAACTTCATCATTACTGATGGGGGCACGGTTGGCCCAGTCGTCTAAGGCGCCGCGATTCGCTGTGCAGAGTTGCGTCCCTTGGTCACGCCAGAAACCTATGATTGTGGGTTCGAATCCTGATTCGCCCCAATTATGTTTCTAGGTTTGTCAGCACCATACCCGTGCTCGTGGGTTTCACCGAAGTGGTAACCGTCTGAGACCTGCATCACTTCGGGCTTTCCTCCCACATTAAGCTGACACGCCGCGATATACCTGGAATACTGTTAAAAGCGGCGTTAAACCCCAACTCACTCACTCATCATTACTGATAGTCAGATACGTTTCAAAATTGTCCATACGTTATGCAATATAAGATGCGCATACTGGAGCAAAAAAATATTAATATTTTGTATTATTATATTGTTTTTATAATACGTGATATATCCGATACGATACGAGTATTTGTAAAATCCCTAGTTAACTGAGTAATATTTATCTGTATTAAAGTAGGCATATTTCTTGGCATATTTGGGCACACCGATAACAAAAGTTATAAAAGTTATAAACAAGTGAGTGTAAAACGTAATTAAATTAAATCCCTTTTCCAAAGTAAAGTATAACCAGGAAGTATATTTATTATCAACCATATTGTCCACCCCTACCATAAGACAATAAGACTTTATTTTCTACTTAGTTGTATCTATTGAAATGTAACTGCCATCTGCACGTGTATATCGTGTATTTCAGTCGAATCGGGCACAAATGTTTATATTGGTGTGTATATTATTTCGACACCCCCTCAGATGCTCTAAGCTGTCCTTGAGAATATACTCTGTGCTCAGAACGACCAACTACACGTGCATGACGTGTTTCAGATGAACTGGCTGATGGCGCAGGGTTATGGCGGCGGGATGGTGTGGGCCGTGGACCAGGATGACTTTAACGGGGACTCGTGTGGTGAAAAATACCCTCTCATGAACATCATTAAGAGTTGTCTCCTCGACGGAAACGGGTACGTGTAAGATACAAATCTTCATCTCGGAATTAAGATATTAACGGAAACACAGACGTCAGATCCGTTGGACAAAAGCTTATAATTGAGGATGTCAACATTTTTCAGAAGTATCTTCTCCTTAAGTCACAGCAACTTGTACAGAGTTGCCTCCCTTAGGTGCCAGGATCTGCTGATCGTAGTTTCTCATCCAATAGCCCTCGCAATTTATGGCTTTCCTATCACTTTGAACTGCCATGCTGCAATAAAACGGAAATACAGTTCAATGTTAAACCCAACTTACACACACACCCTCTCTCTCTCTGCTTCCAGGGGATCCCCGTGTTCTGCAAATATCGCACCAACAAGACGACCTACCACCCGTAGACCAACAACTCGTAGACCAACCACCCGTAGACCAACAACTCGTAGACCAACCACCCGTAGACCAACCACTCGTAGACCAACAACCCGTAGACCAACCACCCGAAGACCAACCACTCGTAAACCAACAACCCGAAGACCCACCACCCGTAGACCAACCACTCGTAGACCAACAACACGAAGACCCACTCCACCTGTCGGTGGTAGGTATATCGATATATTTCTAGCGTGAAACAAATCTTGTGAATGAATATATTTATCACCTTGTCTTATTCGTATAAAAAAAAAATCTCTTTCCACAGGAGAGGGTTTCGGGTGGCCCAGTTGTCTAAAACGCCGCAATTCGCTTTGCAGAGTTGTTTCCCTTGGGCACACCAGAAACCTATGATCGTTGGTTTGAACCCCGGTTCGCCACGATTTTGTTTCTAGGTTTGTCAGCACCAAATCATGGATTTCGCCAAAGTGTTAAACGTCTAAGACCTACATCACTTCGGGCTCTTCTCCCATATCAAGATAACATGCCGTTACATAACTGGAATACTGTTTAAAGCGGCGTTAAGCCCAACTCACCCATTCACTCTTTCTGCAGTAGAAATGAACGCCAATTTTTGTATATTCAATTATCATTATTTACACAGCTGGCATATTTTGAACTCATTTTAATTATAGCATGCGACAGTATAGAACCACAGACCTATATAAACTTGACAGAACAAACTCAAAAATTGTTTTTGTTAAAAAACTTTTTGTTTAAAATGCGATTCCTAATCCCGTAAGTTGCTATTGCGCGGACAAATAATTCATATTTATTGTCGTCCTCCATATAAATTAGAAAAATATCCGGCATCAAATTTCAAAAGTAGTGATTCTGGTAGCACCTGATCCAAATGTTCTTGTCAAGTTGACCAGCCAATCAATAGTACTGAGTGGCGATGTCTATTTCAGATAACATCTGTGCGGGCCGCATGGCGGCGTGGCTGCCTGACCCCGTCCAGTGCACGGCCTACCACATCTGTGTGTTCGGCAAGGACTACCGCTTCGACTGTCCCCCCGGGACTGGCTACAACGCTGCCGAGAGAGAGTGTGACTTTACTCGATTGGTTTCAACGTGTAGATTTTAAACATGTTGAGCGCGTCATAGACACTGAGTGCCATTTGTGTATACATTGTAAGAGAATATTATGACCGCATGAAAAGATCAGAGGTTTTTTTTACTGCCGTTTCATACACCATACACGTCAACATATTTGATGAATGTTGATTTTATTATTAATTAATAATTATTTGCACTTCATAAACTTTTCGATGTTACAATTTTCGAATAAAAATATAAAAAAGTTGTTTTGTTTTCTTTATTTCAGTGGCTGTGGATTATTGTGACGTTTATACTGAGCAGGATAACATACTTGTTTATCTAGACTAACATCTAGTCTCTGAAATAAACATGTGTTACAGAAAAAAACTTTTAAAATTATAATAATATAATATAATAAAAAGGGATGAGAGACATTCTTCAGTTTCAGAAACTGCAGTAATCTAAACTTGCCAAATATTATAGATTTGCATTGGCTCAATTTGTTTCATGGTCTGTATGACAGATTATTGTTTATCTGAATGTTAAATATGAGGTTATATTAAGTTGTGTTTTTTTACGTAGTGTATTCACTGTTTTATATATAGTGAGAGATCAACCTACGAAGAATGTAGGGTTATTTGTCCCGAGTGAATTCATGTTGAAAGTTCCGAGCCTTCAATAATTTGCGACCTATGATGATACGGGGAGAGAATTGGTCTTCAGCAATCCATGCTTGTCGTAAGAGGGGACTAACGGGATCGGGTGGTCAGGCTCGCTGACTTGGTTAATGCATGTCATCGTATCCAAATTGTGTAGATCGATGCTCGTGATGTCAATCACTGGATTGTCTGGTCCATAGTAAACTATTTTCTGATCTATCATATTGCAGGTCTTAATTTTGTCTGTATAGTTTTGTATATTGATGAACTAATTTTGTAGATATGGCGTTCATTCCTCTCAACGCACATGACGTAAGAAGCTAGATTATCAATGTCATGCTTATTGCCGGCTAATTATCACAATTAATTGACACGTGAAATAATTACAGCCCCCATTAATGCTTGAGGGTGTAAATTGCCATCAATCACTCCACAGGCGGTCGGGATCTCTTGTCAGCTCATTATACACTGAAATAACACCGGAATGCGTTGATAGTATTATATAGTTTATGATAGGTATAATACCGTGTTTACGCCCACCATCGTTAAACTGAAAATAACGTGCGAATTTGTTACATACACTGCCGGACAAAAGAAAGTGTTCTTATGAAAATTGGATTTGACGGACAATTTGCAAACGTTATTACACTGAAAACGTCGCCGAAACACTGAAAACACAACCATAACACCCGCACGTCTAGTTTCATTGTCGTCTTCATGATATCTTCAATATTACTAATTCTTACCCGCGTAGGTGTTAGTATTTTTCATGGATATTTTAATAGTGGTGTAATTTTAATATAACTGCACACATAAGGGGTAGAATAGGTCTTCGGCAACCAATGTTTGCCGTAAGGGGCGACTAACGGGATCGGGTGGTCAGGCTCGCTGACTTAGGTGATGCATGTCCACGTAACCCAGTTGCGGGATCGAAGCTCATGATGTCAATCACTGGATTGTCTGGTCCAGACTCGATTATTTAAAGACTGCCGTCATATTGAATATGCCGTCAGAATATTGCTGAGTGCGGCGTTAAACAACGACAACAACAACAACAACAACAAAATACATATAATAAAACGTGTTTCCTTCGCATGCATCAAACTGTACGGCATTGATCAAATAATTCTTAATTTAGACGTCAACGCAAGATAATACTCAGTGTCGACTATCGAAACAGATTCCACTGAGAGTCAAATGCAAAATTAATTTTCTGGCAAGAATAATCAAACATTTTGTCTACGATGAGTTTAATGCAATATGTTTAACAACTCTGTGTTTGTGTTGTTACCACTGTCTTTAAGTCAGATATTATTTACAATTACAATAAGATATTCTTGTACCGATGTACTGATACAGACATTTTGTATTATCGTTATACAATAGTGGATTGTTCAATATAATTGTCACACGCTCTTGCACATGAACTATCCACACAAAACATACATACGAATGAAGAGTATCGAGCTACAGAAACTCCATTTGTGATACATAAACAGTGTGACATAAATACTTATTTTTCATCATTTAATACACAATTAATCTATATGATATGCTTTACATCATTTGCAGTCTTCTGAACATCTTAAAAAGAGTTGAAGCTAAATGATTTTAAAGTGTTCTATCATTCAGAAGAAATAGAAACGTATCTTCATCACAGAAATGACAACACTAACATATATAGAAACTATATAAACGCTTATTAAACAACAACGCTGACAACAAAATTCCAAGAGAGAACCAAAACAATCACTGGAATAAAGTACAATTTAAAGTACAGTATTTACCACAAACCCTCCAATGGTCGTACAAGAATATAGATATACAACATACAATATGTATCAATATAGATCACGATGGCTGCTACATGATTTAGACACTTTTATGTAATAATGAATACAAATATACAATGAATCTGGACAGCATTTTCAATTTGATATATTTTCAAGTGATAAGGCTTTACTTAATGTACACATTACAGATATAACAATATTTTGGATATATAGAAGTCGTTGTTTGAGAAGAGCTTCACACAGAGAAAGACAGACTATTAAGTGAAACTCATCCCAGGAGCAGATGAAGTGTGCAGACCCGGTCTTCTCTCAGTCTCTCAGTACATATCGCCATCGGAATGAAGAAGTACCAAAGCTGGGGCACAAATCATGCGCCTCCAATCAACGACTGATTGTAATATACGTGGCATGGATGACAGGGGAGTTTCGTTCATATTTCTGCATCCCTATTGTACATGTATATATGTGGATCTGTACCACCGTTGGTGTTTGAAGATATAAATGGGTTATGATTCTATCGGAGTAGAGCCAGTGTATTGTTGGGGAGATGGGTCGTGTAGAAAAAGGGATTTTAATTTCACTCTTTACAACGGAAAATAATATTAAATAATAACATTCGTCACTTCCTCAGGGTCACGGGGGCGGTCGGGTAGCCAATCGGTTAAAGCGTTCGCTCGTCACGCCGAAGACCCGGGTTCTATTCCCACATGGGTTCAATGTGTGAAAAATTCTGATATTAATAACAACAACGAAATCGGTTATTTCTTATTACTTCTAATAATGATGATTATAATTGACCTTTCCCTATCAACTTTGAACCCGCCAAAATTTCCCTCCCTTTTTGCTTTAATACACAATATAAAACAACACGTTTTCCATGAGGAAGCTACAGGCACGACAATTCCCGTCCAATTCGACCCTCTGACACTATGTATGAAACATTAAATATTACTTTGCCGACTATAATATTAAATTCACGCTCTATTTTATCCTTATTAAACTGAGCAACCATCCATATAGAGCACAATGCCACTATCCCAACCTCTCCCGACCCTCTTTGAACCCAAATTCCACCCCGTCGAACTCGAAACGATTTGAGTTTTGCCTCTTCCAATTTGTTTTATACTCATCCCGGTACTGTATATACACTAGATGCTCATGGTTTGCCATACTATTTCTTTCTCCCGGGTTCGTTTTCACATCAAAGGCATCGGACGGCTTATTTGAATTACGCAATCCAAACCAGATAAAAAACACACATCACATTAAGCCGTATCAGGTGTTATACGGGCCCTGGGGCGAGTCTATTATGGTAAAAGGGGAGAGCAGGATGGCGTTTTCCCTCCACCGCTCGTTGCTGGGAATGTTTGTCAACAACGACTGGAATGTTATTTTACCGTCACATTTTGAAGATACGTGTATATCAGTTGGACATAAACTATACCGAAAACTTAACCATTTCATCATAAACCACATGCTATTTCTTTTGACGTGTATATCAATTTTAAACAAAGACTTCAGACATATATTCACAGCACGTTTCACTCACCCATATGCGGTTGTTGCCGTCGAGATACAAAATTAAGTAGATATTTCAGTCTTAATTCCATTCGTTTCCAGACCCGAAGCCGCTCTTCAAATGCATTTTTGTACATATAGATTTAATGCACTATGCTAATATAACACGATCAATTTTGCCATCTAACGATTAAACGTATTTGATCTGAGTGGATAGTACTCATTTTCAACCAAATTTTTGATGATATTATATTTTTAAAATTATTCTCAGCGAGGGTCGCAGAAGATGGAGAAAACTAATTGAATACATATTAACATTTCTTTTTATCATAAATACGTGTTGTACAACAGTAGATAAGTTGACATGATTTCGTCCGTTAATTCATCTGGGTGATTTCGTTCGGCAGAACCATTTTCATGAGACAACTACTCAAACTGTCTGCAATGAACGCGTGCACTTAATATAATATATTTTATTCTTTAAGGGTATTATTGAGTATTTTGTTGTCTGAATCGTGGTACCAGGATATATACAAAAGGTAATATATTGTTTTGATGGCCTTGATGCTCAAATGCCTAGATCCACTAATCGTTTGTTCGAATCCAAGATTAGACCTGATTATGAACTAGCTCGTGCTCGTGAGTTTGAAGGAAACGGTCAACCTCAACGACTGGCGCCACTTTTGACTTCATTGCTCTCATCCTGAAATGACATTTTGTGATATAACTGAAATATTGTTGAAAGCGACGTAAAATCAAACTCGCACTGTATTTTGACATTTTGTTTCTATATATGTCAGTTTAATCTAATCTCTGCTCCAAAGTTATATATAACCCAAGGGTAAAATTGGTGAAATAAGTTTCAGTAATTCTCACTGAGCATTATAACAACATCGCTTTGTTTGCGAAGATAATTAATCCAGTGATTGAAATCATGACCATCGATCTTCGCAATTGGGATACGATAACATGCATCAACCACGTCAGCGAACCTGACCACCCTATCCCGTTAGTCGTCTCTTACGACAAGCATGGGTTGCTGAAGACCATTTCTCTCCCCGGATCATCACGAGTCGCAAATGATTCAAGGCTTCATTGTTCGCAGGTTGTTCTCTCACTTTATATGACAGTGTATACACAATGTGAAATATACAGCTACATTTAATTTCTTATTTAACAGTCAGATAAACAATAATCTGTCATGCAGACCATGAAACAAATTTAACCAATACAGCCATTGCAAATCTATAATACTTGGCAAGTCTAGATTACTGCAGTTTCTGAAACTGAAGAATGTCTCTCATCTCCTTTTTTAGTATATTTCATCATTATAATTTTACACACATAAAATCTGTAAAACATGTTAATTTCAGAGACTAGATGTTAGTCTAGATAAACAAGGATGTTATCCTGTTCAGTATAAACGTCACAATAATATTTTGCCACTGAAATAAAGAAAACAAAACAACATTTTATATTTTTATTCGAAAATTGTAACATCGAAAAGTTTATGAAGTGCAAATAATTATCAATTGAGAATATGATTCAAAAGCCTTACAAAATGTTGACGTTTGTATTATATAAAACGGCAGTCAATGAAACCGCGGATCTTTTCATGCGGTCATAATATTCTCTTACAATGTATACACAAATGGCACTCCGTGTCTATGACGCGCTCAACATGTTTAAAATCTACACGTTGAAACCTGCCCAATAAAGTCACACAGTCTCTCGGTAGCGTTGTAGCCAGTCCCGGGGGGACAGTCGAAGCGGTAGTCCTTGCCGAATACACAGATGTGGTAGGCCGTGCACTGGACGGGGTCAGGCACCCACGCCACGATGCGGCCCGCACAGACGTTATCTGAAACAGACGACGAAGAACTATTGATTGGCAGATCAACTTGACAAAACCATTTGGTTCAGGTGCTACCAGAATCACTACTTTTGAAATTTGACCCACGATATATTTCTAATTGATAGGGAGGACGACAATAAACATGAATTTTTTGTCCTTGCAAATGAAAAATTCGGTTATAGGAATCACATTTTGAAACAAATAGTATTTAAGAAAATTTTGTAATTAGTTTTCGAGTTTGATCTCTCTCCGTGGTTCTTTACTGTCGCTGGCGAAAATTAAAATGAGTTCAAAATATGCCAGCTGTGTAAATTTTGATAATTGAATATACACTTATTTGCGTTCATTTCTACTGTAGAAAGGGTGAGTGGGTGAGTTGGGCTTAACGCCTCTTTGAACCGTATTCCAGTTATGTAACGGCATGTTATCTTGATATGGGAGAAAAGCCCGAAGTGATGTAGGTCTTAATCGTTTAACACTTTGGCGAAACCCATGATTTGGTGCTGACAAACCTAGAAACATATATCGTGGCGAACCGGGGTTCAAACCAACAGTCATAGGTATCTGGTGTGCTCAAAGGCGCAACTCTGCAAAGCGAATTACGGCGCTTTAGACAACTGGGCCACCCGAATCCCTCTAGGGTAGAAAGAGAGAATGAAAGAAAGACATGGTCATAAATATATTCATGCAAAAGATTTGTTTCACATTAGAAATATATCGATATACTAACCACCGATAGGTGGAGTGGGTCTTCGTGTTGTCGGTCTACGAGTGGTTGGTCTTCGTGTTGTTGGTCTACGGGTGGTTGGTCTTCGGGTTGTTGGTCTACGGGTGGTTGGTCTTCGGGTGGTGGGTCTACGAGTAGTTGGTCTACGGGTGGTTGGTCTACGGGTGGTTGGTCTTCGGGTTGTTGGTCTTCGGGTTGTTGGTCTACGAGTGGTTGGTCTACGAGTGGTTGGTCTTCGGGTTGTTGGTCTACGAGTGGTTGGTCTACGGGTTGTTGGTCTACGAGTGGTTGGTGGTCTTGTTGGTGGGATATTTGCAGAACACGGGGATCCACTGAAAGCAGTAAAGGATGTCCACAGCGACAAATATTATCACAATTTAAGCCTAAGTGCATTAAAGATGTTCTTTCCGAGCATGGTCATCGTTTTAATTTTGTTGCCTAAAATATACTTTTGAAGATTTTCGAGATGAATCACTAACGTAATAAGAATTTATTGTTCGCGTGAGTGAGAGAGTGAGTGTGAGGGAGTGAGGTAGTGAGTGAGAGTGTGTGTGTGTGCGTAAGTTGGGTTTAACATTGAACTGTATTTCCGTTTTATTGCAGCATGTCAGTTCAAGGTGACAGGAAAGCCCCAACTTACGGGGCTATTGGATAGGAACCTACGTACAGCGGATCTTGGCCGCGAAGGGAGGCAACTCTGAACTCCGACTTAAGGAGAAGATACTTCTGAACATGTTGAAACCTCAATTATAGTCTCTTGTCCACAAATCTGACTTCGAAATGACGTGTTAAGCTTGTGGTTCGGCAGATTTCATTTTCGTACTTTGCCTGTGTTTTCACTTAACTCGTTACACTACCCACTGAGGAGATGTTAACTGTCAGGAGGTAAATGTGACCATTAGATTTGTTGTGTGTTGACTTTAATTAATGTCCAAAAAGTGTTGATGGCTATCGAATGGTAAAGGTTTATTTACCTGTTAATCCCTTTATCCGCAAATGTGAGGAATTAAGATTGCTATCCGACATACACTTTTTAACTGCTACCTTTGCTCACTGAAACCACACTGCAATATCTCAGAATCATGATCACTGCGGTGTTTAATAATGATTTATGCCACTGTGTCGCTGAGTATAATGTTAATACATGTAAGTACATTTGTGTGATGTCTACCTTTTTCAAAGAGTCATGTTTATCTGTTTCTTACAAATGTTTCCGTTAATATCTGTTTTCCGTTAATATCTAATTTCGGGATGAAGATTTGTATCTTACACGTACCCGTTTCCGTCAAGGAGACAACTCTTGATGATGTTCATGAGAGGGTATTTTTCACCACACGAGTCCCCGTTAAAGTCATCCTGGTCCACGGCCCACACCATCCCGCCGCCATAACCCTGCGCCATCAGCCAGTTCATCTGAAACACGTCATGCACGTGTAGTTGGTCGTTCTGAGCACAGGGCATATTCTCAAGGACAGCTTAGAGCATCTGAGGGGGTGTCGAAATAATATACACACCAATATAAACATTTGTGCCCAATTCGACTGAAATACACGATATGCACGTGCAGATGGCAGTTCTATCAAAATAGCTACAACTAAGTAGTAAACAATAAATGTTAAAAGGAACAATGTTCATCACAACGACTTTCTTGTACAATTAATGTTTTGTGAAAAATAATACTTCAAGGAATGAAAAAAATAATTTCAATATATTTCAAGGAATAAAAACATAATTTCAACATATTTCGAGGGATGATTAGTGTTCTATTGCAAACTATTTTAGCTGGGTCTCATCCAACAACTACAGATCGTTTATTCTGTCGAATGCTTTAAATCCTCAGATAAGTACAGTTTGTGAAGCCTTTAACATCTTTATCATCGTGTTATTCGGGTATCCGAAACTGCTTCGAAATATACCCGCTTTAACACACATAAATATTACTCAATTAACCACCAAAGGGCGTTTACAAGTGCTGGTAAGCGTTGTATCGGATATATCACGTATTACAAAGACAATACGTATTTAATAAAATATATAAATTATATAATATTTTCCAATATGAGCATCTTATATTGCATGAAGAAATATGGAGGTTATGATGAAATAATCACTTATTTAGACAAGGAGACTCAAAATACTCATCAACACTAACATATAACCTGCTAAATGATTGGTTGTCATTTGTCCTTGTGCTTCGTCACCTTGGCTACATCAAAACCTTGGGAGTGTTAGCCGTGTCTTATTAGAAACTAATGATCATCCTGAATCTTGGCTCAAAGATGTCTATTTAAAAACATGGACTTGACACTGGGAAAGCTCTACGAAATATAATGACATTTGCCATTATTTAAAATCATATAAAATGAACTAAAATTAGAAAAGATGTTCGCAACTCATACTACCAGTTGACAATATAGGAAGAGAAAAAATATAGGAAATGAATAAATTGTGCTATGTGCGTTCGAAAATTCAAAGTTAAAGAAAGGTTCTTTCTTGACTTTAATGTAAAAATTAAAATATGTGCATATAATGTACATACATGTATTTTATTCAAGAATAAAGGCCTAATGTCCCCCAGTGCAACTGTATTGATGAAAAATTTGTAACGTGAAAATATTTGCAAGAAAATATTAAACCATAAAAAGGAATATGAAAGGAACACTTGTTTGAGAAACGAAGCTGGAGAGTGGATGTGGTCAACATTCTTCGAGGTTAGTACATTGATCAGTGTCTGTTGCTATTTGGACATCTAAACAAGATGGGGTCAATATTTTAAACGTAAATGTTAAAACCTGGTATAAATAAAATTTATACAAATTTGTACAAATTTTACTCCCTATTTGATGACAAGAAGTATCAATTTTGTGTTAATTGTCAAAAGTATACCAACATACCTCTTTTAGAATATTCACCCAATGTCAATATATTTTCAAATTTGAAATCAACGCGGTGGACTGATTCGCTTCATCGAAACGTAGCAGGTTTGGCAGCCGTATTCACCGGACATAGAAGCGGTTTTGACAGCCCTGAAGGCAAGGTGCACGGTAGGCAATACGCGAAATCACCGTTTAACGCAACCCGAGTTATCTCCCTTTACCTTTTCAGCGATGCTTGTCTTGTCGTCGTAGCCCACCCATTGATCCCCGCTGTAGGCGTAAGGCACCCGGGACGCGTTTGAATACGACAGTGTGTACCTGTCGAGCACCCCGGAGCAAACCTGGAATAAAAAATAGCGGAGTTAGCACCTCTCCTTGCTGAATCATACTGCAATTGAATGTGTAACTGGCATTAGAACGTGTTCTCGTACCGTAGTTACAGCAATAGGGTTTATACCACCCAATGACATGAATACTGAAATAGCCGGGTTTATGATTTAATTTGTCAAATGACGTTGAGTTAGCCGTTGAAAGAGATTACCAGATGCAGTTATAAGATGACTTGCTTGGCCATTCATATTTGTATGTGTTTCTCATCTCCAATATCAACCAGCAAGAGACTTCTTGAAGACATTTCGCCATTAAACGAGAACTAAGCTCGTGAGTGAGTGAGTATGGTTTTACGCCGCTTTTAGCAATATTCTAGCAATATCACGGCGGGGGACACCAGAAATGGGCTTCATACATTGTACCCATGTCGGGAATCGAACCCGGGTCTTCGGCGTGACGAGGGAACGCTTTAACCACTAGGGTACCCGACCGCCCCCTAAACTCGTGAAGTGGGCAATCCCGTCAACTTTGTTCATACGCTGTCTCAAATTGTATTATGTATATAACAATCACACAGTTTCATTTAAGGCCCAAATTACAAGGTCCAGACCTCCACATCAAATGCGCAACAAACAGTGTAAAGCTAGAAAAAGGTGAAGAAATCAGTAAATTATAGATACATGAAATATGTATTACACAGAAACAATTAAAATAAAGAATCATAATGAATAAAAACTGCTGATAAATAGATGTGTCAATATCAGTGAAATGTATGTGCGTAATAAAACATAAATATACAGAATGGATGCATATAGATAACGAGCGGATTAAATGTGGCGGTCACAACTTTGCAAACCATTATTTGTGAACAGCGCGAATAAAACAATATGCTTTCGTATAACAAGTGAGTGAGTATCTACCATAAACATTCATAAGTGAGTGAAGTCACATTGGCAATATTTCAGCCATACCGCAGCGAGAACTTATTTGATAATAAACATATTATAATCAACGAAACATATAACAAAGGGCTACAGATCACCAGCAACTGAAGGTAGATCATCCTACTAGGGATCAAGGGGGCTTACAGTACTGTTGCTACCTGCATGGACCCCGGCAGGATTTACATCATTCCTTCAGTTTTTGGCGATTATTGACATTAAACAACATATATTCTACGATACAAATACGTGGCAGAGATAAATATACGATGAATAACGTGGTCTTACATGCCCTCCCTGGGATATAAACAGTAGCTGCGATTAATTAGGGTTATAGAAGGAATGCTCTACTCCCGAGTGAGGGGCAGAATGGTGTTCGCGAGAAGATTACTAACTAGTTTCAACCTGTCCACCTTTGATGTTAGCAGCCTGCCGCCAGGTACACGGCCAGGTGTCTATAAACATCGAGGTCAGGTGGAGCACCCGCCCATAGACAGGTGAGACAGGTACAAATATATACCTGTTTCGTGACTATCCACGCTGACCGTTTTCGGCGGTTAACATCGGCTAACGTAACTTTAGCAGCTTGTTATTACCATTGGTCTAATCCTGGGGTGCGGAAACACCTTGATAGTCTCAGTAACATTGCATGGTGATTTGGTTTGGTTCTGTTTCCAATATATCAGAAAGGATAATGGATCTGAAGGAACAAAATCTAACCCAAAAGAAAGGTGCGTCATCATAATCTTTATAAAATGATTGAATGACACATACACTAAATCTCAAACTCCAATCTTGGGGTCCGACGATGATAGAAGAAGATAATATTTTATTTGAGTGTCACATATTGCATACAATGATTGCACATGTTCAAACAATGTTTTGCAATATCCGGCCATTAAGGCCAACGAGACACAAGGAGTCATACATGCAAAATATTAACTAAAACGGTAAAAAATATATTGCAAAATACATTTATATAACACATTGTACAATTAAGGACAAAAAGAATAACTATAGAAATATTAGAGAATCGGTTGTTCTTTAATTTGTTTTGAGTAGTATATCTTCGAACTATCAGTAGTGCGAGATATCCGGTGTTTTCATATCAGCCTTTAATGCTGGTACGGAGTCTGCCGTGAGCATGAAGTATCATGGCCATAAGCATACACCGAGATGATGATAATGATGAATTGTTTTGAGATGATGTTAATCGGATATCTTATATCTTCCGGGGGCAAGCGTGTCCACTAGCCTATATCAAAGCCTACTTTCTACCCTTGCCACATCAAGGCCATTTTTCTTGGCTCGATCCTGGCGCCACCTCGTGTAGATCACGAGTTGTGTAACTTGTAATGAAAACGCGATATCCAATGAGATCGCTGTTCGCCATCTCGTATAGCTTCACAAAGATGGCGACGACCTAGTCGATCAGATTTCATCCCTGACAAAAAAACATAGGCAATCGTTGCGGGTGTGTGTGTGTGTGTGTGTGTTAAAAGATGAAAAAACTTTCGTGTCAACAAAGACAATTACTTTCATGCGAAGGTGTACCAGTCGTGAATGTTGATTTTGTGAAACGTTATCTGATTGGACTATCGATATGTGCGATAGTCCAGTCATATCCAACACAAGAAAGTGGGCTTGATGTCGCAAGGGTAGAAACAAGACTTTGATAAGAAAAGGCTTGGGGATGCTCTTGCCTCCGGAAGATGATGGATATCTTAGTTGTTAAATTGTTCGTTCGTCACGCCAAAGAATCATGGTACAATTCAATTCTAACTGCGTAAATTTATTGGAGCCTACTCAGTTGAGTAATAGTAATGTTAATCTTAATAATAAAATAAAAGGAAATTCACTGGTCCCTCGGATCAGTTATCGATCTGAAAACCACTCATAACTTTACCATACCTCGTAGAAGAGAAGGATACCCTTCTCCCCGGAGAAGGGTCCAGCTGTTCCCCCTCCCCTCACGGCGGCGCCTATGCCAGTGTTCCGGGGGTTCGCCAGTGTGAAGGACCGTCCATACATTGGGGTGCCAACGGCGATCTTCGACTTAGGGGCACCCTTTATGTACCAATAATTTGCGGTATAGTCCTGTTAAAGACAATAATTTGAGATTAATCCTTTCAGAGATTCCTTTCCTAAAATATTCTGACCAAGAATAAAGAGAAAAGCTATGGGCCAAAAGTACACTGTTAATTGAAAACACTATTTGTTTATATTGGATGTGTAATATAATTGTGGTCGGCAAAACCAAGGAAGGTATACCAAAGAAGTATAGTATACATATAAAATCTTGGTCAGATTTTAACGTATTTTTGTTTCTCTCGAAAGAAACCTTCCACCGTCCATCCCTTCTCCTCCTCAGCCAGAGTGAGTGAGTGAGTTAATATTTAACGTCGCATCAGCAATATTGCAGCAATTGCTGGTGGAAATCAATGACATTCCACATGTGAATTGAATTTTTACACGTGAAACTCCAGATACTGGTAACTCTAATATCCCAGCAGAGAAATATTGGCACAGGCGACACAATGACTGTAGTTCAATACTACTGATTGATAACGCACCACGTTCAGTGTAGGCGAGCCGTCTCTGGGGTCGGCGTAAAGGGGGCTGTTGTGGCCAGTAACGGGGTCCCAGGCGCCGTGGAGGTCGTAGGACATGATGTTTATGATGTCCAAGTAGCTGAAATTATTTTGTTGTTGTTGTATTGTTTCACGAAAACATTGAAAACTAAATTTACAAGCTTCTTGTAAAATTAATTCTGCACAGTATTTTAGTCACATGATTTAGAAGGATAACGTTCATTCATTTATCTACATATCGTTATCGGTGTCATGAACAATCTTGAATAAATATTACACAATGTGGTGTTACAAGGGGGTAAGTCGTGTTTCGTATTTTGACAGGGTTTCATTTAGTTGATGCTGTTTCTTAGAGAGATGTTTTCTTTAATATAAGTGGCGGTTGGGTAGACTAACGGTTTAAGCGTTCACCACCAAGAGCTCGGGTTCATGGGTACACGTGTAAAGCCAATTATTGGTGTCCTCGTCATTCTATGGCTGAAATATTACTTAAAGTTGTGTGAAACCTCATCTAACCATACAACGTGCTTCACTCCAACGCATCCTCCCTCATCAAGCTGGTATCTCTCACATCAAGCTGGTATAACCGAACCCCTGCCATAAGCCGTGTTAACCAAAATCTGTCACTCACTTAGATATTTGGGGCACATCATATCCAGCATCCACTATGGCGGGACTTGCCGCTACGGCTGCCGTCAGAAGGAGACGGGACTGCCCAGACCTGCGCGCCTCGGCTTCAAATCCTTGTCTCAGGTCCTAGGAAGAAACATGGCGACCATCAGCCTTTACAAAAATCAACATCTGCACACGTAAATCCAGTTTCCGCGTCATATAAACTGAACCACTGTGAAAACGCTTTTGAACTTTTGTAATATTTGACAAATTGGCCACAACAAACAAATGTAGTTGTAATAAGACATGAGATAATTAAACACAACAATGCCATTTTGGTCAGTCATCATTCTTTGTCATGCGAGTAAATATTTCCTGATAAAATAGTTTTCTTGTCCTTCGAGGTAAAGTTCATTATTCTTTTTCATTGTGTGTCATTATAATGGTGTTTGAAACATTATATATCTGTGGATCATCTCTTACCCGACACAATAACGTAAATCGACCCTTGTCCTCCTTAGGGCTTCCACGTGGTTCCCATCCGGGGTATTCCCAGTCAAGGTCAAGGCCGTCAAAGTCTCTGGCTCGGAGGAAGTTGATACTTGCAGACACAAACTCCTCCCTGTTGGCGCCTGTGGAAGCCATTTCTGAGAAGGTTCTCGTTCCCATGGTCCATCCTCCCACAGCAAGCAGGATCTTCAGGTTTGGGTTCCGTCTTTTTAGAGTCATCATCCTGCCGTATCTGGAACGGAAAGACGAAACAGAGGTCAAAGGTTTATGATGAATATACACAAGTAATTTCTTCTCTCATTTATTCCCCTTTTATGACATCAACAACACGTACTTGCAAAGTTTTAGTTAACGTGACATACTTTAAGCTTGATCGTGTGTGTTGGTTTGAAACACAGAATAGCCAATGATCGATTTAGTTTGAGTTTAGCCCTCATTAGAAATATATACAGTATATCTATTTGCGTCTATCGATATATCAAATTTGAAACAGTTAATTCATTGTACTGATAGCGACAGAAAATCAATTTACACAAGGCATTCATTGCTTAATATGAAATATGAATGTGCATCAAATCATGCGGCCCAGATGTTGGTAAATGAAGGAAGATGAGATTTCTGTTTTAAAACTATTCCATTGTTTTGGATTGTGTTTTATATAGGACAATACATCCTGAACATACGACACTTGTCACCAACTAATACAGTTGTCTGCTAAAATAGATTAATCGATTAATCCGTCTTTAAATTTATAGGTGACGCACAGTCATGATCCAGTTGATGGCGTGACGTTTCCGTTACGGTGTAAGGACAGGATATCTCTACCGGTCTTCGAGAGTGGGATTGACAGAAAATGCAAAAGTAATCTTTCGCACTTAAGAACTACCAACAATGTGTATTTTTCTCCAACAAACGATGAGACACCAATGAACATATTGAACATCCTTTGCTTTGTGAAAACTTACAAGCCCGGTGGGAACTCAGTATCGTCATTCCACTCAGTCGGGATGATGATGTTGCCCTGCAGTTTGGCGAAGGCGTAGATGATGTGGGTGCACAGGAAGGGGTCAATGTCGTCGGGGAAGAACTTCCCCGTCCCCCTCCTGTATTGGGACCAGTTGGTGTAGTAGCAAACCACGTTGAAGTTCTGCGCGAGCACTGAAATAGAGTGAGTCAGTCAGTTTGGTCTTACGCAGCTTTTAGCAATATTCCAGCAACATCATGGCGGGAAATAAGCTTCACTCAGTTTACCCATGCGGAGAATTAAACTCGGGGCTTTGGCATGACGACCGAACGCCTTAACCACTAGGCTAGCCCTCCGACCAAAATGGTATAAAACTGTTATGGTAGCGACTCAAGTTTGTTCAGCTATTTGTGTGTACGAGTGCTTCGTGAATCTCCGTGCAGTCCCTTTGTCGTGACAGGATCATCTGGTCATGGTTTCGGAACTGACTTTCTCCCTGATTATGACCCTTGGTCTGTCTGAACCAGTGATCTCTACTAACTCAGACACTGATCTGATCTCCCGTACATTATCTATTTGCTGGGATTAAAGACATGGATAACGAGTGGAGCAAAGGTTGCCCCACGTAGTCCGAAACACAAGTTACAGCTGAAGCTAGAGTGTCTGTAATTCAAAGTGTAATAAGTTAATGGCAGTTGGTAGTTCCCTCCCAAATTTATACCAATAAATCTAAAAAATATAAATAATGATATCGTGATACACAGCGCGTAAAACAGTGACGCTGGAAGATGTTTATGTAAAATAATGGTTGTAAAACAAATATCGGTTTACAGGAAAGGTTGATTTCCTTATTTTCAATTAGGTGAATGTTGTTTTACGCAATATATATTTTTCAGATATACTGCGAGGAACTGTACCTGGAATTTGGGCCAGGTAACCCAGTGATTAACTGCATGAGGTCCACTTTGTCGTCACAAGAAGACACACAATCAGCTAGGTCACACATTGCAACCATCAGACCCTCTTTAGTAAGGGGTACTGGTGACCTATACTGACCAAGGATCCCCGTTTGGGCTTTTGTTTTAAACTCAGGGAAAGTAAACTCGCTTAAACACTACAGAAAAAGTTAAGCATCATGAATGTTTTTGGGTATGTTATTCTGTTGTAAAGAATGAGCATACAGTTTAATACAAATATTCCTTTGAAAGTCATGTTTCTTAACCTTCTGTTCAGTAGATATCACAGGGTTTTTTTCAAATTTAAAGTATTGCAACACGGCGTGAACTAACAGTGGCTGTCATGTTCATCTCAACGTAGCCCAACATTAAAACGCGTTTCTATTGAAGTTTTGGATCTGTGTGGGCCGATGCAGCTACACACACTGGTTCTGCATGAAATGTCAAATGCTGGAACTGTTTGACTATAGCGTGCTTGAGACACTAGTGTTGCATTCAATGTATATCTGGCATGTGTGATCAAGGAATGTCACGACCTTCGTATTTGTAGTACTTGTTAAGCCGAGACGAGCGGCATAGGCCACTTGTGATTGCAGTGTGATGGATCAACGTGTCATTTGTGGTCAATAGATATAGATGATCTTTCTGTTCCGAAAGACGCGTAACGCTGATCATAGCAAAATTGTGCTTCACTATTTTGAATATTCATTTCCCTGTTATCGTAAATGGTTTGGGTACTTTCAGCCGTCGCATGACATGCCTACATTTGTGTCAGGCAACAAACACATATTATTCTAATGCAAATATTTGAGTGGCGGGTGCTACCGATAGAGCCGGACACGCTTACCCTTTTCGCGAACACCTGGTGTCATCACTGATTTTCAGTGATCCATGCATATATTTTTCACCGCTGTTTTACTTTTCACGCCCAGTGAAATCTGTTAATCGAGACTGTTTATTCTCTGGCGTTGACGTTTTATTTTTACAACACGGCACGCTAGCTTAACGTGGAAGATGTACGCCTAATGACGTAGGGTGTAGACATTGATCACGTTTTTGAAACCCACGATCATGGGTATGGTGTTGTCAAACCAAGGATTCGAACCTACGCCCAGTGGATCCTCGCACACCAAGGGACGCACATCTCCGTACGTATCTCTACACCTCATACACGTCAGTGTATCAGCAGCATTTTATAAATCAGCAGTATTTGATATTTTGAAATCTTTTGACATACGCTTAAAATGTAACAGGTCTAACTCGATCAGGACCCGTAATTATTAGATTTCAACGAATTATATCCAAGATAAATGCATTGACTGAGAGGTGTATGAGTCGTGTTGCAAGAAGCTATCTACATCATTTTGGTGCGGATCGCTGGTAATCATTACAAATTAGATCAAACTTAACATTGGTTCTGATGCTGAAAACGTGAAACACTATGCCAGTCAATATCCCCGTTAGTCCAGATGGTAAACATGTAGACATTTTTAAGGATACTCGTTCATATACTCAGCTCCGAGTCCGGATTAACGGAGTTTCACTGTATACAAGTTGAAGTTCTCACCTTCTTCCGCACAGATCGCCAACAAAGAAGCCGCTATTAGATATCCAATGCACGACATCTTTGAAAGACAAGGTATCACTGTTCCACGGAAGAAGCTTCAAGTGATTCCCGTCGTAGACTGGAGTACCTCTGGGGTATGCTCTCTCCCCACCTCTGTTTTCCTTAACAGAAGATCCTGATTACCTAAAGGGAACTGGGTGCGTGTGGGATCTTACCATCTCTTTTCACTTTCAATTGGAGGAGGGAGCGTCAAATATTTGTCCGTTCACAGCTTAATCACCTTCCTCACGTGCTGCGCATGCTCATAGAAAACGTTGTTGTGGAGTATTTGTTCAAGAACACCGTCGCATGGTCGAAAATGTGATACTTCAGTGTATCTTTATTTTAAGGTATTGTGTGACATTGATGGTCCTGTCTGTCGTCAAACAGCTGTTAATTCGAAGTCAAACTTGTTTAACCAGCATACATCCGTCAACATCCGACAGAATGTCATCAAATGAGAAGGTTGGTCAGTTAGGTACTTCACAGATGGTTGATATATTCAGACGACACGATTGACATTTTTTGTAGTTATTTTTAATTTCAGTATATTTTAATTTACGTTTATTTTTAAACGATGACGTGCTTATGGCATGACATGGACATGGAAACACGGTTCTATTGTCTTTATCCAATAAACTAGCACATCCCAACAAAAGACACCCCCATCATGGGTCTGTTTTAATGTGGTCACGGAATTCAGAAGAGGCCTACTAAATATCCAAGGCATTGTTAGAAAGGTAATTGCTGGGATTAACATCCAACACAACTATGTCACCACCTGTTAATCCTCAACGTGCACGTTTCGCTGATGACCGTGAACTACGGTGACCTTTGGGGGACAGTTTTAGGTTCATCCAGAATAACATTAAATACCGAATTGTCGCAGGGGCAGTCATTGCACATGTGTGTCATTCAACGTGAAGCTTGTCACCATGTCACCATAGAACTGTAGTGTTTGGAAGATATTTGGAAACGGAAAATCACCTGATTTATTAACTAACTTACATTGTTATAAAATGAAACCGACCGCCTCCATGGTCTTGTGGTAGAGCGTCCGCCCGGAGAGCGGAAGGTCCGGGGTTCGATCCCGGGCCGCGTCATACAAAAAGACGTTAAAAGATTGTACTTGTTGTTACCCTGTCTGGCGCTCGGCATTAAGGGGCTAAAACAAGGACTGGTCGGCTCGGAGTCAGTATACTGTGTCTGAGTGGGGTATTCATGTTAAACTGCGGCATGGTATCTCAGTGAGCTAGCACTATAAATGGGCATCAGTCCGGACTAGTACAAGCAGCCACACACACACATACACGTGCATGCACGTCGCTATATAAGTGCAATAATCTTGGACGCGACGTTAAACCCAATTTCACCTCACCTCACCATAAAATGAAACCTTCTCGTTGCGACAACCTTATCACCTTTCGGAACTGGCCAGTATGTTCCATTTTTCAATTTATGTAGTAAAGAAATCATGTTCCTGTCTTGCTTCCGTTGTGGGTTTAATCCAGCTACACATGTACTCAGCGAAGCAAACGAATGATGACTTATGGAATAGGATGCTGACAGAACACGGCGTATAGCCATACAACACATATTGGCAGCCGAATGGTCTTTCACTGACGTTAAAAGGTACAACATTTTACGTCAACTCGAATGCTTTGCTATGACAATTCATTTAATATTTTTTTCAAAATGATAACACGTGTTTTATTATCCCTTGTAGGTTAGGAGATCAGGTTTCTAACATGGCCGTCATTATTTTTATATATTTATTTATCAACAATTGTGACATAGAATTAATTACGAACAATTATTGTTGACTGCAGCGGAAAACAACAAACATGCATAATATAAATTGTAAATGCAAGAGAATAACCTGTCTAGATTATCCGCCGAAACATATTCCATTTGACGTAAGAGGCAAAATAGCTGTGAAGATTATATGACTGGACCACTGTAACTCAGTAATGACACCAGGTGTTCGAGAAAAGGGTAAGCATGTCCTGCCCTACCGGTAGCACCCGCCAGTGACAGAATTTTTATACAAACTAAGTATTATCATATTTGTGCGAAAAGGAATCAGTTATGTGAGCATACGTATTGGTATCACATCGCTTATTTCCGTACGGGTTATTTATCAAGTAAGCTTTTAAATATCTTTATTTTTTAACAACCTCCGTGTGTACAGAGAGCACCTGTTACAAAAGGCGACGAATAACAAACAGTTGAATGTTCTAGTTCTAGACAGTTAATTACACATCCGTACATCAAAGACACGGTTGTTCATTCAGCACAGCGAGCTAGAAAACAGAACATGATAGTTGTGTTAAATTAAATGCTTGAGTGTATTGAGCTCTAGAAATCCACTTACAAACAGTCCACATGTCTAGCCTTCATCCCGCGCGGAGTGCACAATGAAGTAACACAAACATCGTATACGGATGTGCTTAACATCTTAAGGGTGTACACCACCTACATTCTATGTTGCAAAGAGGGCGTACGTTGTTTCTATAATTTCCATTTAGTGCTCGCTCATGGGATACCATGCCTCAGTGTAACATGAATGCCCCATTCAGACAAAGTATACTGACTCGGAAACCCTACCCAGACACAGTACACTGACTCCTATCCGACCAGTCCGTGTTGCCCAACGCCAGGCAGGGTAACAAGTACCATATGTTAACGTCTTTTGGTATTTTCGGGGCGGCCGGGTAGCCCAGTGGTTAAAGCGTTCGCTCATCACGCCGAAGACCCGGGTTCGATTCCCGACATGAGTACAATGTGTGAAACCCATTTCTGATGTCCCCTGCCGTGAAATTGCTGGAATATTGCTAAAAGCGACGTAAAACCATGCTCACGCACTCCCCCATCCTATTATCATAAATAACCCGGAACGAAAATATGCCATCATAAGAAGATGTAGGCCAAAGCTAAGCATCATTAGTCTCACCGTTTGAGGTTTATGGCAACGTTGGCAACAGCCGAATGCAGTCAGAGACTATCCTCGGAGTGGCAGGCCACACGTAACCAATAATTGACAAGACAACCGGATTCGAACAACACACCTACGAAATCAATTCCAGCCATCAACAGTGACTGCAAGAAGCATCCCCGGCCTTCGACGAATATCTTCACAAACCGTACGTCGTCGCCTCAGCGCCTCAGCGCCTCGCCAGAAGACCCACAAGACGTCCCATTTTGACAGGAAACCACCGTCAAGCACATCTGCAGTGGTGCAGACAGCGTCTACGCTGGACGGCCATGCAGTGGGGACAAGTTCTATTCACTGACTAGTCTCGTTTTCACCTCAGCCACAGCGATGGACGGTGTACCGACGTCGAGGTGAACGTTACGTCAATCATTGTAGTCATGGAAGAAGATCGGTTCGGGGGCGGCAGCGTTATGGTATGGGGTTGGATTACAGCAAAACAGAGGACCCGTTTGATAGTGGTAAAGGGAAATTTCAATGGACAGCGCTACCGCGACGAGATCATCGGCCCTGTTCTACCGTTTTTGCGTCGTCATGGCCCAGGCATTGCCTTTCAACATGACAACGCCCGGCCTCATATTGCTCAACTTGTTCAGGATTCTCTTCAACAAAACAACGTGAATATCATCCACTGGCCGGCTCGCTCCCCTGATCTCTCACCAATCGAGCACATGTGGGATGAGATGGATCGGCGTCTTCGACGTCAACAACGTGTTCCACAGACTCTCAAGGAACTTCGAAACATGCTCCAGCAGATATGGACAGATATCCCACAGAACTTTGTGCGACGCCTGGTCCATTCCATGAGACAAAGATGTGTTGCTTGCATCACAACCAGAGGACACACACGCTATTGATTTGTAAATTGACATTTTGGCATGTTCATGTTGTTGTTTTTTTATGAAATCACGCATTTTCTGAAGTCAGTATTTGCAAATTAAACCATTTGAACAATTACAGGAGTCTTTAACTGTTGCAAACCGAAATTGTTTCAGATTTGGTAAAAAACATAAATTTGCATTAAATCTTATCCCACAGAAAATTTTGTTGTTCAGTATATATATATATGTATATATGTTGCATTTAGGGAGGAAGATGTAACATTTATGAAGGAATATGTAGCATGTATGAAGGAACATGTAGCATGTATGGAGGAATATGTAGCTTGTATTGAGGAATATGTAGCATGTATGCAGGAATATGTAGCATAAAGGGAGGAATATGTAGCTTGTATGGAGGAATATGTAGCTTGTATGGAGGAATATGTAGCATGTATGAAGGAACATGTAGCATGTATGGAGGAATATGTAGCTTGTATTGAGGAATATGTAGCATGTATTGAGGAATATGTAGCATGTATGGAGGAATATGTAGCATAAAGGGAGGAATATGTAGCTTGTATGGAGGAATATGTAGCTTGTATGGAGGAATATGTAGCATGTATGAAGGAACATGTAGCATGTATGGAGGAATATGTAGCTTGTATTGAGGAATATGTAGCATGTATGGAGGAATATGTAGCATAAAGGAAGGAATATGTATCATGTATGGAGGAATATGTAGCTTGTATGGAGGAATATGTAGCTTGTATTGAGGAATATGTAGCATTTATGGAGGAATATGTAGCACGAAGGGAGGAATATGTAGCATGTATGGAGGAATATGTAGCTTGTATTGAAGAATATGTAGCATTTATGGAGGAATATGTAGCATGCATGGAGGAATATGTAGCATGTATGCAGAAGTAAGTAGCTTGTATGGAGGAATATGTAGCTTGTATGGAGGAATATGTAGCATGTATGGAGGAACATGTAGCATGTATGGAGGAATATGTAGCATGTATGCAGAAGTAAGTAGCTTGTATGGAGGAATATGTAGCTTGTATTGAGGAATATGTAGCATATATGCAGGAACATGTAGCATGTATGGAGGAATATGTAGCATAAAGGAAGGAATATGTAGCATGTATGGAGGAACAGGTAGCATGTATGGAGGAATATGTATCATGTATGGAGGAATCTGTAGCTTGTATTGAGGAATATGTAGCATTTATTGGGGAATATGTAGCACGAAGGGAGGAATATGTATCATGTATGGAGGAATATGAAGCTTGTATTGAAGAATATGTAGCATTTATAGGGGATTATGTAGCATGCATGGAGGAATATGTAGCATGTATGGATGAATATGTAGCTTGTATGGAGAAATATGTAGCATAAAGGGAGGAATATGTAGCATGTATGCAGTAGTAAGTAGCTTGTATGGAGGAATATGTAGCATGTATGGAGGAACATGTAGCTTGTATGGAGGAATATGTAGCATTTAGGGAGGAATATGTTGCATTTATTGAGGAATATGTAGCATGCATGGAGGAATATGTAATATGTATGACGTTGATAAGTAACCTTTCTGGGTGGGCATAGTCGTTTCCCAAATGTGATGCTCTTATTCTGGAAACAGTCCACGTGCCATAGACCGTCGTTGTCTTACTGTTGTACACAATCAGATAAGGGCCATCGAGTAGTGTACAATAAACAATGATCGGTACTCATTTCATATCAAGTGGCACTTTAAGACAGAAATAAACGAGTTAAACTTTTGGCATTTATTTAGCACTAAACTGTTTTATTTCAGAGACAAATGTTGTGCCGTTTATCAATGGTGGCAGCTGGGTACATTGGCCACCATGTCACAGTTGTTGATGGTGGGGTTGAAGGCCGTCCCTGGAGCACAAGGGATCCTGTAGGTGTTGTGGTTGGCACAGTCGAAGAAGTAGCTGCAGTCGCTCGGGTCGGCGTGGACGCCATCGTCTTGGTTGGCACAGAAGGTGTGTATGTCTGAAATGCGTCAAGACACGAATTGATATCACAGAAAGTCAACCATTTAATACTTTCGACGATAAAATACATGTAGACTATGGCTGTTGAAGATGACACACACAAGTATGTGAGATATTCACGGTAAAACGTTGTTATATCATGACGTCATTTCTGGAGCTTCGAAAATGCGCTGGCCACTTGGTGACGTCATATATTGAACGACGAGGGAAGTGTCTAACTTAGTAAGATCTTCCCTATAGATGTAGCTGGGCTACCCAGATAGACGAGGTGGCCGAACGATTGCATCCAAACGTGGGAGAGATATGACATTCGGTATTAGGAAAAAAGGCACAGATTAGCGACGTGACGATTGTGAGACTAGGCGGGAAATACCAAGCTTAACTCACCTGTTCGTAAAATGGACATTTCCGAGGTCAAATTCTATTCAGGGTGTCTTCATTGTTAAAATTGTAAAATTGGGTAAATATTTTTCAAGCTTGTACATTTTATCAACACCCTTTAGGAGGCGGTACATGGTGTTGATATCTCATTTAACAAGTAATCGACTCGTGGGCGTTGTTTATCTTATAATAGTGTATTATTGTATGATAAACAACCCCAACCCGTGGTTTATATCATAATTAAATAAAAAAAGAGTATGAGACCGTAACACGTGCTCTACTCAAATAACACTCCGTGAACACTTACTGACGTTGCCTGGGGACTGAGTGTGCGTGGGTGAGTTAGTGTATGGCTTCTGGGTCACAGGCCTGGCGGTGGATGGCCAGTGGGTGTGCTGTACGGGGTGTGTTGGCGCCGGTGTGTACGTGTTGCCGCCGATGGTGCATTGGAAGTTTCTCGGCCAGTCACAGAATCCGGTCTTTGAGTTGAAGACAAGTCCTTCCGCGCACATTGTTTTGTAGGCTGTCTGCCCAGCGCAGATGTAGTATTCCTGGCAGTCATAGGGGCTGGCATAGAAGCCGTCAGCTTTGCCGCCGCAGACGAAGTCTTGGGAGTGGGCAATGTTGCCGTGTCCGGAGGCTGATGTAAAAAAAAGTTTGGAAGGTAACAACATCGCGTGAGTGAGTATTGTTTTACGCCGCTTTTAAGCAATATTTCAGAAATATCAAGGCGGGGGACACCAGTAATGGGCTTCACACATTGTACCCATGAAGGGAATCGAACACGGATCTTCGGTGTGACGAGCGATCGCTTTTACCATGAGGCTACCCCACCGCCATGTTGACTTAATGCGGGTACTTGGGATATGTACGACCACAACCTTGCTCTGTAAAAACCTTCTACTTTCAAGCTCTAAACTTATCCTCAAATATGAATATAAACTCGGAAACTTGATGAATGTGCATCACCCTATGATGTAGCCCGAAAATGGTTAATGAAACCTCAGACGTGCGCATTTCTTTTATAAATGAACTGAGAGTATAACAGCCAAATAAAATTAATTCCCTAGGTGAAATTTAGAGGTCATCTGAACTTGATATGAATTCTTTTTATAAAAATGCTAGAAAACAACGAGGCCGGGTAACTTACATACATAACAGAACTATAAAAGTGAAAATAGTTCCATACCCGTAGATATTTGCAAATTATGGAGGAACTATTTTTCGGATTGAGCCAAGCCCTATTATTCATGACGAGGTATATAAAGAAGACATAACTAGTAAGATACAGATATTAAACACAAACAAGAACGGTCTGATGGGAATTGGAAAAAAATGAAATTAAGCGAGACAAGAGGTCATAAAATCCCTTATCAGGAACAAATTCCAAGGTCCGGATAAGCTTACAAATGAACATAATTATTTGTTTTTTATGCAGGAGAATTTCTTATTAATTTCTTATGCATACTTATTAATCATATGCTCAAACTGCAATACATACCCCATGCTAATATATTAGGTGAAGAATGTAAAATCAGATCCTCGAAATAATACAGGTATTACTTGAAGATAATGTCTCGCCAAGCACTTTGAGTGACTGAGTATGGTTTTACGCCGCTTTTAGCAATATTCCAGCAATATCACGGCGGGGGACACCAGGAATGGGTTTCACACATTGTACCCATGTTGGGAATCGAACCCGGGTCTTCGGCGTGACGAGCGACGCTTTAACCACTAGGCTACCCGACCGTGCCCCAAGCGCTTTGAAGAATTACTGCTTAAAGGTATAGAAGACAAATAGTTTATGCGTAACTCAGATGTTTCTTATTTGCTACAGTTTGGGTTTAGAAAAGAACATGGAGCTAATATGTCAGTGTTGACTTTGATAGAAGGTATTCAATATAACAATGTGACTCTGTAGTGCATGGTGGTCTACCTCTGATATTGTAGGTTCTGGTTCTTTTAACATAAATTTCTTCAAAAGAGTAATTTCATCATACTATCTATAATATTTATAATGTAACATGATAAAATGTAGTATAACAAAACTGTATATTAGTGTAGTCTCAGCTGTTTGTCAAAGCGCAAGATCAATATTTATAATGATTAAATTATGTTATATATGTGTCCTCCATATCATCACGTATATTAACGTAAGATAAAGTATATAACATTCATATCTGCTCAGGCGACAAGAGGTCAGGGGGTTGTGGAATTACTAGAAGTCATCTCTGTGGTGATTCCGGTCAAAACTGGTGAGGCAACTTAATGGATCGTGATCCGGTTCAGTGACTTGTTATGTAACGTCTCATCGCGTACCCCGACGGAGTGGATCAGTGCTCACAGTATCAATCAATGGATTGTCTGGGCACTCTCAAATATTTTCAGCGAGCCGTCATACAGCTGAAATATTGCTAAGTGAGGCGTTAAATAACAAACAAACAAACAATAGGCGGATGTAACTGGCGGGTACAACTTACTTGTGGCCTGGGGTCTGTGTGTGGAAGCACCTGGTTGAGGTCTGGCAGTGGTCGCCTGTGGGGCAGGTGTGTTCAGTCTGAAATATGTAGCACTTCCATGAATTGTGTACATTCTACATTGTTCCGGACACCTGTTGCCTGGATGGTTTCAGAGGAAATCTTCTAAAGTATCTCATTGTACATAATTCAGTTGTGGTCAAGATTTAATAATGGGAGTTAAGATGCAGTGCTGTTTTGGTAGGTTTTACAGTTAGTTTTGCTAATTCACGACACTCCACGAGAGGCCGAAGACTATCAGCACTTTAACGTTAACCATATAGTCGCAGATACAATACGATATTGCTCTTACAGTGGAAGGATTGTACTGGGACCAAGTCTATGATTCGGACCACGACTAGTGAATTCTGGAATGGTTAAGGGACGCGCCAACGCAGCATACCGACGCAATCCGCTCTGCTTTGTGTTGTTTGTTTGAGTGTTTGTTGTTTAACGCCGCACTCAGCAATATTCCAGCTATATGACGGCGGTCTGTAAATAATCGTGTCTGGACCAGACAATCCCGTGAACGATACAAGAGCATCATTCCATGCAATTTGGATACGATGACATGCATCAATCAAGTCAGCCCGACCCCTTCTGTTTTGCCTATACGCTATAGTTGGTGCCTCGTTTCCTACCAAAAGGCGAACGAATATCGACGCGATGTATTTCTGTTTCTGTGAAACTTTTCCCTGGGCCTCTTCACACAGGGTATGATACAAATAGGTCATTTAAACACAATAGGAATGAATAATTTGGAAGTTTGGGACGCCACATAATCTGACACTTTTAAATACTATATGAATATGATAACATACGATCCTCCAGATGCCTGGCACTCGTTGTGGATGGTGTGCATGAGAGGGTATGGACCCTTTCCACACGCTGTCCCCTTGAAGTCATCAAGGTCGATAGCCCAGATCATCACACCACCGAAGCCATTAGTCTTAACATAGCGGACCTAGGAAACAGAACATACGTGAAACGATCAAACTTAATAATTATGTACTGGTGTTTTTGAGGTCGACATGTAGAGTACATTCCAAATTTGACGCATCAGTGACCAAAAGGATGTCCGATGCAATTACATATTTTGACATGTACCTTATGTTCCTGTGTTGCCTTGCCTTTGCATGTGTTTGTGACGGCTGTCAACGGTTTGGCAGGACACGCTCACCTTTTTACGAACACCTGCCATCATCACTCTTTGATGCTCATAAACATCGTTAAATGGACTTACCAGAGATGCATTGTGATCATGGTTGTGTTGCTTTTATTTATACGAACTTAAATATAAAGTTGTCAGGAGTTTGAGAGACAGATGCCGTTATCGTTCAGAAACACTCACCCTTATTCAACATCTATGAAAACAAATCAGACTGGATAACATACTGAGTATTTTACTGTAATTGGTAAGACATTTTAATGTCTACGGACAAATACGAACGCAGTATTATCAAAAAGGGCATATACTCGGTGGGTGTCAACTCGCAATGAATCACATAGTTCCGTTAAGCAAGAACACACCTTTTGTTTCAGGCTATTTTCGTTATCATAACCGATCCACTGGTCACCCTTGACCACATATGGCACTTGCTGGTCAGTCTCCTGGTGCACGACTCCTCCACTTTTAATCATGTTACAGATCTGCGCAAAAAAGAGGGACGACATATATATAGAAGGACCACATACATAAAGAAGGACCACATACACAAAGAAAGACCACATACATAAAGAAGGACCACATACATAAAGAAGGACCACATACACAAAGAAGGACCACATACATAAAGAAGGACCACATACACAAAGAAGGACCACATACACAAAGAAGGATCACTTATTTAAAGAAGGATCACATATAAAGAGAAGGACCACATACATAAAGAAGGACAAAATACACAAAGAAGGACCACATATATAAAGAAGGACCACATACACAAAGAAGGACCACATACATAAAGAAGGACCACATACATAAAGAAGGACCACATCTATAAAGAAGGACCACATATATAAAGAAGGACCACATACATAAAGAAAGACCACATACACAAAGAAAGACCACATACATAAAGAAGGACCACATACATAAAGAAGGACCACATACATAAAGAAGGATCACATACACAAAGAAGGACCACATATATAAAGAAGGACCACATATAAAGAGAAGGACCACATACATAAAGAAGGACAAAATACACAAAGAAGGACCACATATATAAAGAAGGACCACATACACAAAGAAGGACCACATCTATAAAGAAGGACCACATATAAAGAAAAGGACCACATACATAAAGAAGGACAAAATACACAAAGAAGGACCACTTAGATAAAGAAGGACCACATACACAAAGAAGGACCACATACATAAAGAAGGACCACATATATAAAGAAGGACCACATATATAAAGAAGGACCACAAACATAAAGGACGACATATATGAAGAAGGACCACATATAAAGAGAAGGACCACATACATAAAGAAGGACAAATTCACAAAGAAGGACTACATATAGAAAGAAGGACAAAATACAAAAAAGAAGGACCACATACATAAAGAAGGACCACATATATAAAGAAGGACCACAAACATAAAGAAGTACCACATACACAAAGGAGGACCACATATATAAAGAAGGACCACATATATAAAGAAGGACCACATACATAAAGAAGGACCATATACACAAAGAAAGAAAGACCACATACATAAAGAAGGACCACATACATAAAGAAGGACCACATATATAAAGAAGGACCACAAACATAAAGGACCACATACACAAAGAAGGACCACATATATAAAGAAGGACCACATACATAAAGAAGGACCATATACACAAAGAAAGACCACATACATAAAGAAGGACCACATACATAAAGAAGGACCACATATATAAAGAAGGACCACATATATAAAGAAGGACCACATACATAAAGAAGGACCACAAACATAAAGAAGTACCACATACATAAAGAAGGACCACATATATAAAGAAGGACCACATATATAAAGAAGGACCACATACATAAAGAAGGACCACACACACAAAGAAGGAACATATATAAAGAAGGACAATATACACAAAGAAGGACCACATATATAAAGAAGGACCACATATAAAGAAAAGGACCACATACATAAAGAAGGACAAAATACACAAAGAAGGACCACATATATAAAGAAGGACCACATACACAAAGAAGGACCACATACATAAAGAAGGACCATATATATAAAGAAGGACCACATACATAAAGAAGGACCATATATATAAAGAAGGACCACATACATAAAGAAGGACCATATATATAAAGAAGGACCACATATATAAAGAAGGACCACATATATAAAGAAGGACCACATACATAAAGAAGGACCACACACACAAAGAAGGAACATATATAAAGAAGGACAATATACACAAAGAAGGACCACATATATAAAGAAGGACCACATATAAAGAAAAGGACCACATACATAAAGAAGGACAAAATACACAAAGAAGGACCACATATATAAAGAAGGACCACAAACACAAAGAAGGACCACATACATAAAGAAGGACCATATATATAAAGAAGGACCACATACATAAAGAAGGACCACATATATAAAGAAGGACCACACACATAAAGAAGGACCACATACATAAAGAAGGACCACAAACATAAAGGACCACATACACAAAGAAGGACCACATACATAAAGAAGGACCACATACATAAGGAAGACAGCATACACAAAGAAGGACCACATACATAAAGAAGGACCACATACACAAAGAAGGACCACATATATAAAGAAGGACCACATATATAAAGAAGGACCACATACATAAAGAAAGACCACATACACAAAGAAAGACCACATACACAAAGAAGGACCACATACATAAAGAAGGACCACATACATAAAGAAGGACCACATACATAAAGAAGGACCACATACATAAAGAAGGATCACATACACAAAGAAGGACCACATACACAAAGAAGGACCAAATACACAAAGAAGGACGACGTACGTCATATGTATACAATACATATATCAATAACGCCATTACACGTTAACCCAGTGATTGAACGTATGAGCAAGTACGTGTAGTTGAGAACAATTCTTCCCTAGTATCCCCATAGGTGTCCAGATGGAAATTCGTCACTATGCTTATTAGAGTCAGGGGCGCACCATCACGAATTCGTCTATGGAGTTTCTTTACACAAAGGCTTAAGATTAAAAGCATGATTATGCAATGCAGTAATATCACGGCAGGGGACACCGGAAATGGACTTCAAACATAACGTTTATGTGGGGAACGAACCGGGCCTAGCGGTTACCAGCGAATACTTCAGCCACTAGGCTACCCAGCGCTCGCTTTAATTAAGGCATGTCTTGTGACATGCTTTATTCCAAATGGGTAGTCGTTCAACGTGTTCTTACCTCGTAGTAAGCAAGGAACCCGCCTTCTCTTGTGAACTGTCCTGCTTGACCTTTGCTTCTGGTGGGGTCGCCAACATGGTCTTGAGAGGCGGACTTCAGAGTAAACGACCTCCCATACGTGCCAAGTCCGATCACAAGCTTGTCCTTGGGTGCTCCCTTCTGAACCCAGTAGTTAGCCGCCCAGTCCTGAAACAATGTGGAAGACTCACATAGTATGTCGGGGATCCTTGTTGATTTTACTTATACTTGTTGGGTAACAAGACAACGTATATAACTGGTAGATGCATCGACAGTGTACAGGTAGAGGTACCCTCTGTGGGGCCGTGTGGTTTGAGGTACCCTCTGTGGAGCGGTGTGGTTTCAGGTACCGCCTCTGGGGCCGTGTGGTTTGAGGTACACTCTGTGGAGCGTTGCGGTTTGAGGTACACTCTGCGGGGCGGTGTGGTTTGAGGTACCCTATGTGGGGCCCTGTGGTTTGAGGTACCCTCTGTGGAGCCGTGTGGTTTCAGGTACCGCCTCTAGGGCCGTGTGGTTTGAGGTACACTCTGTGGGGCGGTGTGGTTTGAGGTACACTCTGTGGAGCGGTGTGGTTTGAGGTACACTCTGTGGGGCCGTGTGGTTCGAGGTACCCTCTGTGGGGCGATGTGGTTTGAGGTACCCTCTGTGGGGCAGTGTGGTTTGAGATACCCTCTGTGGAGCGGTGTGGTTTGAGGTACACTCTGTGGAGCGGTGTGGTTTGAGGTACACTCTGTGGAGCGGTGTGGTTTGAGGTACCCTCTGTGGGGCGATGTGGTTTGAGATACCCTCTTTGGGGCGATGTGGTTTGAGATACCCTCTGTGGGGCCGTGTGGTTTGAGGTACCCTCTGTGGAGCGGTGTGGTTCGAGGTACACTCTGTGGGGCCGTGTGGTTTGAGGTACACTCTGTGGAGCGGTGTGGTTTGAGGTACCCTCTGTGGGGCGGTGTGGTTTGAGGTACACTCTGTGGGGCGGTGTGGTTTGAGGTACACTCTGTGGGGCGGTGTGGTTTGAGGTACCCTCTGTGGGGCGATGTGGTTTGAGATACCCTCTGTGGGGCGGTGTGGTTTGAGGTACACTCTGTGGGGCGGTGTGGTTTGAGGTACACTCTGTGGAGCGGTGTGGTTTGAGGTACACTCTGTGGAGCGGTGTGGTTTGAGGTACCCTCTGTGGGGCGGTGTGGTTTGAGGTACACTCTGTGGAGCGGTGTGGTTTGAGGTACACTCAGTGGAGCGGTGTGGTTTGAGGTACCCTCTGTGGAGCGGTGTGGTTTGAGGTACACTCTGTGGGGCGGTGTGGTTTGAGATACCCTCTGTGGAGCGGTGTGGTTTAAGGTACACTCTGTGGGGCGGTGTGGTTTGAGATACCCTCTGTGGAGCGGTGTGGTTTGAGGTACACTCTGTGGAGCGGTGTGGTTTGAGGTACACTCTGTGGAGCGGTGTGGTTTGAGGTACCCTCTGTGGGGCGATGTGGTTTGAGATACCCTCTGTGGGGCGGTGTGGTTTGAGGTACACTCTGTGGAGCGGTGTGGTTTGAGGTACACTCTGTGGAGCGGTGTGGTTTGAGGTACACTCTGTGGAGCGGTGTGGTTTGAGGTACACTCTGTGGAGCGGTGTGGTTTGAGATACCCTCTGTGGGGCGGTGTGGTTTGAGATACCCTCTGTGGGGCGGTGTGGTTTGAGATACCCTCTTTGGGGCGGTGTGGTTTGAGATACCCTCTGTGGGGCGGTGTGGTTTGAGATACCCTCTGTGGGGCGGTGTGGTTTGAGATACCCTATGTGGGGCGGTGTGGTTTGAGATACCCTCTGTGGGGCGGTGTGGTTTGAGATACCCTCTGTGGGGCGGTGTGGTTTGAGGTACACTCAGTGGAGCGGTGTGGTTTGAGGTACACTCTGTGGAGCGGTGTGGTTTGAGGTACACTCTGTTGGGCGGTGTGGTTTGAGGTACCCTCTACGGGGCCCTGTGGTTTGAGGTACCCTCTACGGGATCGTGTGGTGTGATGTACCCCATGTAGGTCCGTGTGGTTTGATGTAGGCCCCCTTTGGGTCCATGTGGTTTGATGTAGCACGGCCACACAGAGGGTACACATCAGATTGTATTCCCCGAGGGGTATATCTGAAACGTATTCATTGGTTGGTACGTTGCAAAGGTAATGTTAACAGTTCGGCATTTCGAGCAGAGTACATAATAGAATTGTCTCAGAAATCAGAATCTGATATTCACGTGTAAGGTAAAATATAGATATTTATCAAAATGCCATTGACCAATACAATTCAGGTATTTACATGCAATGTAAGGTAACTGTAAATGTAGTGGCAGGATGTCGGCATCGTCATTACAGAATGGCCTTGTTAATTCCTGAAGCAGGGTTCACCGTTTTTGTGTAAATGTGACATGTCCACAGGTATCTGAATCACAGCTGACCTCATTACATTGTGCTGACAATTTTTTCATGGATTCTATTTTTGGAGTTTTATTAATCATTTATGTCAAAATTTAAACATTTCAAATTGAGTAGAAGTAATACCCGGCTGCCATTGTCATAGGTTTCGAGATCCGTGAAGATCCGGGTAGAATAGGTCTTCAGCAACCCATGCTTGTCGTAAGAGGTGGCTAACGGGATCGGGTGGTCAGGCTCGCTGTCTTGATTGATGCATGTCATTGTATCCCAATTGCGTGGGTCAATGTTCATGATTCCAATCACTGAAATGTCTTGTCCAGACTCGATTATGTACAGACCGCCGTCATATAGCTGGAATATTGCTGAGTGCGGCGAGTGCATAGATTTCGGGATATATGTTTGTGGTGGTTGAAAGACTCTGTGGGTTTACGGACAATGTTGGGTGTAGATTAAAAACACAAAATATGTTATCCATTCCAACATATCCGTATCATTACCTTGCACTTCGAATAAAACATAAGGCATTATTAATCCTACAATCTGTCCTTACCACGTTGAGGTGACGGTCATCGCCCGTCTCAATGTGGTCGGGGTACAGGGGGCTGTTCTCGCCAGTGTGGGGCTCCCAGCTGCCGTGCAGGTCATAGGTCATGAGGTTGATGAAGTCCAGGTATCTGAAACACAAAATAATACATTCGTGCAACGACAACCATTGCATCACACCACCTGCCACCATCTCTGTATGAACTGACCACAGGAAGGATTCGTCGCTTGATACCTTTGTCAAGTTCATGGAGAACTAACAACATCCGTGCGAATATCGTTCCTGCACCAGCAGTAGAAATGGATTAGAGTATTGAAGCATATTATGACGTCACTTTAACATAAAGGTTGACATTATAACCATTTGAGCTGGATGCAGGTGAATGATAATTCGTATTTTCTTTTCATAACGTTTTTTTTAAGTACAACGGTGTATATTGTTTGTTTGTTTGTTGTTTAACGCCGTACGCAGCAATATGACGGCGGTCTGTAATATTGAGATCATGAGCATCGGTGCACGCAATTGGGATACGATGACATGCATCAACCAAATCAGCGAGCCTGACCACTCGATCCCGTTAGTCGCCTCTTACGACAAGCATAGTCTCCTTTTACGGTAAACATTGGTTGCTGAAGACCTATTGTACTCCGGATCTTCACGGGTCCGGTGTATATTGAATTATTGACTTGTAACACCTGTAACAATAATGGCACAAATTTTTCGTATTGTTTGCGCATTAATCAAGCAATGTTTGTGAGAGGTACAAACTATCGAATCACTATGCCAGTTACTTATGTATTCATACGACACGAGTTCGTATATTTGAGTACAATACTACATTTACGGAGGTACAAAATACATGACTTCCCGTTACATACGCATGTTTCAACAATCCAGATATTTATATTACGTTTTGAAATACACCCGTAATGGCCACGGTATCCCAAAGAGGTCACGTGTGTTCTTTGTGTGCGTACTTGGATATTGCAGGGATGTCGTAAGCTGTATCTATGTTGGGTTTTCCGGCAGCGACCGCGGCAGTAAGAAGGAGTTGGGGTTTACCACTGGACTGGCCATCTTGTTGGAACACTGCTTTCACTTCCTTGAGTGAAACAAGAAAAGCATTTTACATACAGCGACAATGTTTTAATGAGTCAGTGAGAGAGTAAGTTGAGTTTAAGGCCACTTTCAACTGTATTTCAGTTATATCACAGCGTGTCAGCTTGATCCTCTGAGGAAAGCCTAAAGTGATGCAGGTCTTAGACGTTTACCACTTTAGTTAAACCCACGAGCACGGCATGGTGCTGACAAATCAAGAAACATGCGTGCCTAAGGGACGCATCTCTGCAAAAGTTGATTGCGGCGCCTTAGGCGACCTGGAACACGCGTCTTTAAAGAGTGCAGTGTCAATGTAGGAAGTAAGTCCATAGATTAATGACACTTAAATAAATGCCCCTTGCACGAAAGTTATAAAGTGTCAAATGATATTGACATTTGCCACGACGAGAAGGGAAATCAAGTCTCGTTTGCTGAACGAGCGTTACAAACAATCGGCTCGCTGGGGTCCCTGACTAGTATATGCATTTATTATAATTTAATTATCAATTTCTAATCGAAGCCATTGACGCTTTTTATGTGCCACGTTGTCCCCTCATCCTACCAAGGAGGCACCACATGTTAATGTGCTTCAGCGATACAAGTGACATCACGGCAGGTTCTCCATGAATGAGACCCGTGAAGATCCGGGGTAGAATAGGTCTTCAGCAACCCATGCTTGCCGTAAAAGGTGACTATGCTTGTCGTAAAATGCGACTAACGGGATCGGGTGGTCAGGCTCGCTGACTTGGTTGATGCATGTCATCCCAATTGCGTGGATCGATGCTCATGATGTTAATCACTGGGTTGTCTGGTCCAGACTCGATTATTTACAGACCGCCGTCATATAGCATGAATATTGCTGATTGCGGCGTTAAAAAAACAACCAACCAACCAACATCATGAATGAACGTCTAACATTGCTCGACTGTGGGGACTCCGTCCACAAGACGGGCATGTGCATAAACCAAAAATCGAGCACCAATTGAGTACCTTAAGAAGCTCCACATAGTTTTGTTTGTCGACAGAGGGACTGCCTCTGTTGGCGGGGTATTCCCAGTCGATGTCCAGACCGTCAAAGCCGAGACGTCGCAGGAACTTGACGCTGGTGGTGGCGAACTCGTGTCTGCCGGAGGCTGATCTGACCATCTGTGTGAAGGTGCCAGACCCCATGTTCCACCCTCCCACTGACAGCAGGATCTTCACGTTCGGGTTCTTGGACTTTGCGGAGTCGTGGAACTTCTCATACCTTTGGACCAATTTATATCCACTGTTACAATCTCTTGTAAAAGGCCACAATATGGTTTTACTAATTTATATATGCAATATATTTTAGATATGTAATGAACACAAATGTAAATTTTTAAAAATAGTACACTGTTACAATCTCTTGTAAAAGGCCACAATATGGTTTTACTAATTTCTATACGCAACATATCTTAAATATATATTGAACACAAATGTATTTTTTTTTAAATAGTACACTGTTACGTTCTCTTGTAAAAGCCACAATATGGTTTTACTAATTTCGATATGCAATATATCTGAAATATATATTGAACGAAATCAGACATATTCATTTTTTGTGAAACTGTATGGCTGTGTATGTTGGTATGGAGATATGATCTTACATCCCCTTCATCCAGTCAGTGGACTCGTCGTTCCACTCAAACGCCTTGAGCTGATTCCCCTGCAGTTTAGCGAAAGCGTAGTTGATGTGCGTACACAGGGACGAGTCGATATTTTCGGGGGTGAACTTGCCGGCCCCAGGTCTATACTGAGACCAGTTTGTATGGTAGCAGACCACTCGGTTGCATCCTGCACCTGCACACAGGTTCAGACAGAAAATATGAATCAGATACAAACAATTATCTATGGAACAATGCAGCAATGAACTCACTGTTTTGTAAAAAAAAAACTTTGTCAGAGATCACTTTTAGCCTCAATCCATCGGTCCGCTCGCTGGAGTAATTTTCCAATGGAAAGTTATTAGTCTATGAGATGCTAGACTGGGCTCCTGTCTACGTATACCAGTTAAAAGCGCTAAGCTTGCGTCGCCTACCAACAACGGAACCAGTTTTTCATGAAAGGTCACGTTTGTTTAGAATCTGACTGGTCGTTAAGAAGATGCAGTCAGATGTCCAACACACGAAAAATGAAACAAGGTAACGTTCCCGAGATATGTAGGTCAATTCTAGCTGTTCTATATGCAGGGAAGACCCCAAGCAGCAGAGGTCAACAAACACAGATATGGAAACCGATCCCGCTTGCGTTCGCAATTTATATCCAATGCTGCCTACATTTGTAAAACTACGCCCCTGGAAAGAATCATATCAAATGGTCATCATTGTGTTACGATATGCCTGATATTAAGTAATATGGTCTGGGTTGGAGGGTGAAGTTGGTCAAAAGGGTTGTAAGTTTTTTGTAATCATATTGCGGTCATCAAAATACAAAATACACCAGTGGTTGACTGTGAAACGAGCACTCGACACTACGTTCAGAACTAATCTTTTAGGGTGACGTCACCGCGTTCAGGTTGCGCCAGATTACCTCTAGGGATGGGCTCAATAGTCTTGCTTTGTATCTCCCAGGGCCCAGTTCCTTAGCTTCTTCTAATCGAGGGGTCGAATCCACGTTTGGGTTTCGAATATTCTCTACACTCCTCTTCTGTGTATTACTAATATGACTAACGACTTTGGGTTCCCTCTTTAAGCAGACATCGCCGCGATATAACTGTTGGAAGCGGCGTCAAACTCAAATCACTCCTTCACGTATCTTCCTGTATGGCAGTACAACAATAGGCTGTAATGGATCTTTGCTTGTCAACAAGCTGTGTCAATGTACAGCAGAAACATTGATCAGCACTATGTCTTTTAACGACCTTTTTATACATGTGTTTGATTTTACACACGGGTACAACACTGGAATCAATTCTAGTGTTGAACCGAGTGACAACACTACGCTAAAAGGGTGTAAGACCTCACTCACTCACTCACTCACTCACTGTCAGTGGACTCACCATATGCTGTGCTTGTCACGCAAGCCAAGATGGCGAGCAGTGTTAATTTCATCATCTGAAAACACAACATTCAAACACTTAAGAAGAAAAGGAAAAAAAAAGAAAAAAGAAAAGATATCTCTCACATACTGGAAACCTACCAAGCTATTCTCTGTGAATTTACCTACAGCGACTTCAACAGTGACGATAGACACGTGGAATACGACCACCTTAACTCATTAAAAATATTATATGCTTTTCAAAAATATGTCTGTACAACATAAAAGAATACAATGAATAATTTGCAATAAGCCTGGCATGCCTACCTTGCCGTGAGACGACTCCGTCTGGTATTGTAGCTCTATATATGTGTATCAGTCGGGTCGGGTCAATGATTATCTGATAGAGGATTAGGCCTAGGTCACTAAAACCTTAGCTATGACACACGCTCCATCCCACGTTCGTGGAAACATTCACATGCAAATAGATAAACGGTTTGGATCAAAGGCAAAACCACGACAAAAAAACACGTCATCCCTGAGCGTCGTAAATTAAGCCATGTCGTCTTATTTGATTGATTACATAACTGTATATTTTCAATATCGATGTTTTATCCCCGTGGGTCAGGCAACTGGAGTTGTTGCCTAGGGGTGCTGTAAAGTGTCATGCAATTAAATGTATTCATGGTGGTGGGGGTGGGGAGGGGGGTGCTCAGGAATCAGGAAGAGCCGCACTTTAGGGGAGGGACCTGAAGGAACATCCACCAGGGTGCATTATGTTGCTGTAATGAATTAGTTATAGTGTAATCAGGGATATTAAGCACTCATCCATCACACACATTGTCATATTAAATGTCTTCCAATAATTTAGAGGGTTAATGAAAAAGTAAATCCTCGATTTTTTAGTGATGTGTTCGACACCGGACGAGACCGTTACTCGCTGCATAAGGACTCAGTGTTACAGTCCGGCAATCAGCTGTTCTACTTGCTACTGGGGGCACGGGTGGCCCAGTCGTCTAAGGCGCCGCGATTCGCTGTGCATAGTTCCGACCCTTGGGCACGCCAGAAACCTATGATTGAGGGTTCGAATCCCGGTTCGCCCCGATAATGTTTCTAGGTTTGTCAGCACCATACCCGTGCTCGTGGTTTCAATGAAGTGGTAAACGTCTGAGACCTGCATCACTTCGGGTTTCCTCCCACATTAAGCTGACACGCCGCGATATAACTGGAATACTGTTAAAAGCGGCGTTAAACACAATTCACTCACTCACTCACTTGCTACTTGTTTACCTCTTCATACATATCCATACTATAGCGTTTGTCATATCACTCTGGTGTGTTTATGAGGTCTAAACATGATTTGGATGATGTTTAACAGTTAACCATGTTTTGTTGTCACCTTCCGATGACTGCATGAGAGAAAACTGTTATCGGGAAACCAATCTGCATTCACCAATAACTTAGCTTGGTGTATGTGTACATAGTTATCTTAGTATTGAGACCGCCTCCGTGGTTTAGTGGTAGAGCGTCCGCCCGGAGGGCGGAAGGTCCGGGGTTCGGTCCCCGGCCGCGTCATACCAAAATACGTTAAAATATGGTACTTGTTGTTACCCTGTCTGGCGCTCGGCATTAAGGGGCTAAAAAAAGGACTGGTCGGCTCGGAGTCAGTATACTGTGTCTGAGTGGGATATTCATGTTAAACTGCGGCATGGTATCTCAGTGAGCTAGCACTATCAATCGGCATCAGTCCGGACTAGTACAAGCAGCCACACACACACGTACATGCACGTCGCTATATAAGTGCAATAATCGTGGACGCGACGTTAAACCCCATTTCACCTCACCTCACCTCACCTCCTAGTATTGTATCAAGATGTTCGCCCTGGTTCGATATGTCCGATATAAGTACCTGTGAATCTGACTGCACATCTAATTTCAATATATACTAGTATTATACATCTTTCCCATATTTGACTTCGTCCTAAATAATAATTTAAATTCTAAACATTTACATTAGGGGGATGTTGGGTTAAGGCTGTCAGACCGCGTAGCTAATTTCACGTGTTTAGGTACTAAACGTCTTATAGATAAACAAACAAAAACTGTATTGTGTGCTTTGCTAAACATGTTTACATCCAAAACAGATTTTGTAAGTGCAGGTAGAGACACCCGGTTTGTTCTAACCACTTTGGATCTATTAGTAAATGTCTTATTTTCTTATGCACATATTCTAATATCATTTATTGTTTTTTTCATATTTTAGTGGAGGCCCGGGGGCCCAGTTGTCTAAGGAGCCGCGATTCGTTGTGCATAGTTGCGCCCCTTGAGCACGCCAGAAACATATGATTGTGGGTTCGAATCCCGGTTCGCCCCGATTAGGTTTCTAGGTTTGTCAGCACAATAGCCGTGCTCGTGGGTTTCAAAGAAGTAGTGAACGTCTGAGGCCTGCATCACTTCGGGCTTTTCTCACAAATTAAGCTGACACGCCGCGATATAACTTGAATACTGTTAAAAGCGGCGTTAAACCCAGCTCACGCACTCGTTTGTTAGTGCTAATCAACTGTACAATATGAATTTGCCTGAGGATAATAAAGTCTTTGTCTTATCTTACCTCATCTTATCTTAACCCGAATCTCTACACTGATCGGTGCATCTGACACCTTCGTACAGAAGGTGTCTCCGATATAGAGACGTGTCGTATCGCAGAAAAAGCAGTAAAAAGAGACGCGAAGAATAAAGAAAATAATAATTAGTCTTATTGATAAAACAAGAAAGCATTTTGCAAAGAGAATTACAACGCTTAAGTCGACTATGCTCTCTTGCCCCCTATGTACCGAATATTTGCAGACATATCTAGGTCAGTTAAAGTACCAGTTTATCTGTTTATATCTGCATGTTTTACTTCACATGGACTTAAAATAGACCGAAATTTATCCGTCTGCGCAATGATAATTTTTTCGTCCGGTGTTGTCACATGTTGAACACGTACTCAAATTAAACTATTTTCCAACATTCCTGTTTATCTACAGGCACTCATGCAGTCTTATACCTGGAGATATAGCTGAAATATTCCTGAGTGTGGCGTTAAACAACAAACAAAAAACAAAACCTTGAGATAAGACCAACATGCATTTATTGTATCAACGTTAAAGGGACATAACTCCTCGCGCCCTGATATGAGATAATTTTTAGACTATCACATGTTGAGAACAGATTACGTTATATCATTTTGAATCAGTTTAACGTTATTAATCTTATACTTTCAATATTATTTTGAAGGAATATCATGTTTCAGAAATGAATGTGTTTTGATACATATGAAACAAGTTATTTTCTTTTTCCATGTTATTAAGTCCAATATGTATGCTTTTTGTTTGTTTGTTGTTTAACGCTGCACTCAGCAATATTCCAGCCTGACCACCCGATCCCGTTAGTCGCTTTACGACAAGCATAGTCGCCTTTTACAGCAAGCATGGGTTGCTGAAGACCTATTCTACCCCGGATCGTCACTGGTCCAATATGTATGCATCCGATGGATAATGAATATGCACCTTTTCAGTTATCAAAACGGTTTCATGTATGTTTCCAATATCAAACTTAGTTGTGATTATGATCTACTCAAGTCAATGTGTCGTGAGCACACAGAGTGTGAAATAGTATCAAAATATTGCCGGCCAGTCGGGTAAGCTGGCCTTAAATGTTACTAGCCATTTTCAAATTTCACCAGCTATGAAATCTGCACGGTTTATTTAGGAAGACAATTCCTTCCCGACCTGTTTTTCATATCCCCATATTCGCTCCTATTTTTCTTTTCATCACTCATGTTTTCGCTTACGAACTGGGCCAGGTTTTCATCCCGAAAAAGGAATGCGAGTTGCGCTGTGGAGAAATTTCACGGTGAGAGTTAAATCGCCAAACAAGACGCGAAAAACATATTGTTCGCGCGATATTTGACATGTGTTGTCTGTATACTTTTTCAAAACCAGCCAACCAGTCACAACCATTTCAACTAAGACATTCATAACATCCAGATTAATCACCAAGACAGCGAAAAGTATGACGATTTTCAGCAACTGTAACATTTCATAATATCCACTCATCTATCTTTATATTTTATTCATTGTTTAAGTAATCGGACAATGATGACTAAAAAGAACTAAATACTCTATCATCACATATTTCCAGATAACAGCGGCTTTTCCCTTAGTAACATGAGAAAATACCGTGAAATACCTCGGTTTTCGAAGCTTAAGCTTTTTAGGAATCAGACGTGGGGAGATTCGTTCGTTGTTTGGTATCGTTCGAAAGCTCTGGACATCCATAATATTACAATAACATCACTAGGGGTATTATCGTTGTTTCAACATGAAGAGATTAGTAAGAAAATGGTTTCTAATGATGCTTTATGTCGTAAACTTTTGTTTATTTTATTAATTTAAAAAAAATATTTAATTATTTAACGATTTGCTTGAAACGTCGTCATATTACTCTTTGAAATGTTTAGGGACTCGATCTTGGTAGGTGTACAGCTTTGTTGAAAGAGTTAAGCAACACAGCTTGTGATTGGTTCAACTACGACTTACAACCAATCAAAACAGTTTTGTTGTACGATATTAATTTGATTTTTGATTTTTGTATTGATCTACAGAAACGGAAGCACTTTTTTATTATATTTTGATCAACTAAGAGGCATGCATAAAAAATCTCCACTCGCCAGTCGGGATAGGGACATTTCAGAATCATTAGCCCGACTGAAATTTTACTAGCCACGGGCTAGCGGGCAGACAGTTATTTCGCACGCTGGGCGCATATGAGACTCCCGTTGGCCCACATCGCCCAGAAACTATAACACCATGTCACCATCCCAACACCTACGAGCACACCACATCCTGTTAGTCAGGCTCAATGTTCACTCACAATCAGATGAGGCTGGACCGGATACCAATGCATTAGTTTTCAGAAATACACGGAATCTACTGGTTGGTCGTGTCATAGGGACCCACACAATGTACGATGTATGTGATTTTGTAAAAGCAGACGAACCACCCATCCCATCATTGCACCTGTTGAACTCCTGGCCAACCCGTGTGCACCCGATACATATAAGCACCGACGGACAGTTGCGTTTTGATATTAGAATGTACCTTATTCGACGTAATAAGCGCCCCGCTCTAATAAGCGCCCATGGCGATAATTGCTAACATATTAGCTAGTGAACAATCCCAATTAGCACCCCTTTCGATTGATCAATGTACACAAGACTTATTTATTCGGGTATAATACGCAATCGTGTGTTATATGCACCCTTAATTATTGGCAATTAAATTCTGGAAAAATATATCTGTCGTACATGAACATTTCAGGCTGTCAGCATAAACCACGAAATTTATCTTTCAACTCTGTTTTTTCCACCAAAATAATATCCCAATAAGAGCCCCTTAATTGTAATTTTGAGAGCGCCCTGGGCGCGTATTACTTCGAATAGGGTATGTGTACCCAGAGGTCGAGATAAGCAGCTAAAATACGCATTAAATAAACTGAAATACACAGACAAATCAAATCCTTTCCTAAGTACGCAACAGAAACTATAAATATGCTGTTGAAATAAAACTAATGCGTATATTACACCTATATAAAAAAACGATTGTCTATATAACAACTGTTAGATAAAATGTTTGTGTATCAGCCGATCGCCAAATTCTCTTACTGACAGTTACATGCATTCGGGAAAAGATACAGATATATGGCAATGGAAAGGCACATCGTGTCAAGTCAATACACATGTTGCATCTTAATTCGTCGCTGATTCAGCACTATACCCGTCCTCGTGGGTTTCATCGAAGTGGTAAACGTCTGAGACCTGCATCACTTCGGGCTTTTCTCTCACATTAAGCTGGCATGCTGCGATATAACAGGAACTGTTTAAAGCGGCGTTAAACGCAACACACTCACTCACTCTTACAATGCTGGGTCTTGAGAGGGAGCCGCAAGCAGACGCAGACGGGTATACTACTATTCCCATAGTTTTGAAATGATGTACAGGGCCTGTTACTGAACAGGTTTTAAGTAAAATACCCAAATGTCAAGAAAAGGGTGGGCAATATTTTGTTTAAATACCCTCATAAACTTGTGGATACCCAATCAAAATTAACCTAGGTAAAATAGCCAAAAAAACAAAAGCTTATCCTTTGCTCTGCTGAACCATTATTATAACTCAATACGCTAGCTCAATATTCTCCCGTTAAAGGGACAAGGAGTAGCCCTGAAACGTCATGATAGAGAATAAATACGTCTTATCCACGTCTTCACAGTATTGTCAGGGCATGCTTAAACGTTTCGCGAACACCTGGTGATGTCAGTGATCTTCATTGATCCACTCATATAATTTATACCGTTGTTTGCCTTTTGCGTACAGTGGAGTCTGTTTCGTCGGATGATTGAGGCATGCTATTCTTTGGGGTTGAAAGCGTTACAAAGGACTAACCATTTTTAAATTATTACTAAATTAAGTGCAATAATCAATATTAATCACAATAGTTCGTAGGAAGCCTCGGTGGCTGAGTGGGTTAGATCGTTGACTTTGTGTGCTGGCGATAAGGTGCCTCACTCTGACAGTGTGAGTTCTGAGTTAGAATCCCCGACGGGACTCAACCCTAAAAAGCACGAGAATCTGTACTTTACAAGGAAAGTGTTATTCCAAATATAACATTTGTTAACTTTGACACTTTCTAAATGGCATTGTGTTAATAGTTCGGAGTGTTGTCAAAATGAATACAGATGCAGTTAGTGTACTGTACACTATATTTATTTCGAACTATTTCTATAGCTGATATTTGTAAAAGAAAACCATATTTCCGGGTAAGACACAACCGATTTACAGTTTATTTACAAGAAATGAAAGAACGAAGTTGACCCTGGAAGCTGGAAAAATCCCCAGTTACATCCAAAAATTCATGGATTGTTTAACTTTGCATTATATACATATATCACTTCTTCGCGAAAGTGTATAATTCATGCGTTGCAATAATGTTTTGTGTAAACTGTTTTTGTCCGGCTGTCGTTCCGACATCTTTTTGACGTGCAGAAGTTTCATTTGACAATCAGTTTCAGCCGAGTGAGTGCCCTTTCTGGCAAAAACCTAAGAATAATTTAAATTTAAAAAAATACTATAACAGGTCAAATGCGATCTTGCACCTTCAGGTAATGTCATGATATGTCACGAACATATGTACAAGCTATAATGATCATAGATGTAAACGATCTTAACGATAATATAACAATAACTCTCCATGCACTCCATGCACTTCACCACATCTACAATATAAAAAGCATACACGAATATTTAATTCATTCATAACAGTCTCGAAGCCGTTCCTGTGCTAAGCAATTAAAACATTTTAAACTCATCAATATTGGCGACTCGTATTTTGAGAAACAATAACACGTGTACCAATTCATGCAATGCACATAAAATAATTATATTATCCATCAATAACGGCAATGATTATTATCATTCTATTTATCCTCTGCTCCAGGTACGTTGTGGGGCCAGTCGCACACCTTGGTCAGTGGGTTGAAGACAGTTCCTGGGCCACAGGGTCGTATGTAGGTGACACCACTGGAACACTGAATGTACCTGTGGGAGCTTGTCGGGTCAGCATAAAGACCGTCTGGCCTGCCTTGGCAGAAGTTCTTCAAATCTGAAAAAGGTATTTCATATCAATATATATTATTTATTCCTCCGTAGGGAGAGTTACACACATTTAAATACATTATTTACAACTGTCCAAAAAAGAATTAAGTGTGTTTAGTCAAAGCCTGCTCACATGTCAGAGAATGTCATATTTCTTCACTTGGAAGAGATATTTTACTGCAGCTTTTGCAATTTTGCAGCGGAGCTAGCTAAGGTTATTGATCGCCCTGAAAAAAATCACGTCGCATGATGCGAGTCTGCAAAGTGAATACTGCTGAAATCAAATACACATCCAGGCCAGAGGTATGTTATAATATCGTAATCCTTTATTTCACGTTCCATTACCACGCTTCAGGGATAGTTCTGACAGGTCATATTGAGCACCTCAACGTTGAGAGATAGGTAATTGACATTGATCCAATCATGAACAGTTGGAGTGGGAACATATTTTTCTCAACTGAACACCACCAGTTGGACAAACAAAGCCATTCGTCACAACACACCCTCTCGCTTTCCAAATGCGACAAGTGATTTTCCATTTGCAACTGCACCTCCAGCTCGCCATTTCGTGCATGGATGGTGACAACGTTTGTCAGAATGTAACTTGTTATAGTTAATAGTACCACCCTTACTAAGCTCACTGCCGTTGCAGGCAGTAGGACCCTCCGAGTTTCGCCCTGATTATGATTCAAGGTTTCTCAGCACCGAACCGGTGCCTATGTTTCGCCAAAGAGGTTAACGTCTTAGACCTGCATCACTTTGCCCCCACATCAACATGACACGCCGTGATTTAATTAAAATACTGTTCAAAGTTGTGTTACACTCTACTAAATCACTCCGGGACGATACGTGGTTTACAGAAACTATAATACTTTGTTACTTTCTGTTCTATGTATAGGACTTGATGTACAAACAATTGGTCGTTGGTATTCCAATCCACACATGGTCTAAATTATCATAATAGATCGCCTTTCAGCTCACTGATAAACACGGGTAGGCTCATATTGCATTGTTTGGATGACACAAAGACACTATGTGTCGAAAATCCCCAAGAGAACATCAGGTACAGATACTGCAAGTTCTGTAACTATAACATATTGTAATGATTGTGTTACATGCCACTCTGACCTGAATAATCGAGTCTCAGTGGACCAGACAATCCAGTGATTGATAATACGAACAACGAATAGTTGTTAACGCCAACAAGGAAATGATATATGTTATGTAGTGAGATACATGGGGTATCGCGTTGTCTGGTCATGTACTAGTACTAGAAGTGGTAATGAGCAACAACATTCATCAATGGTACCCACCTTGCTCTGTAGTTGTAGAAGGTGTAGCCGTGGAAGGTGTAGTTGTGGTAGGTGCAGTTGTGGAAGGTGTAGTTGTGGAAGGTGTGGTAGTTGATTCGTCTGTAGAGTGTGTAACAGCTGTTGATCCGCCGCATGTTGGAGCACCTGTTGTCGTACTCGTTGAAGTACTTGTTGAAGTACTTGTTGAAGTACTTGTTGAAGAACTTGTTGAAGAACTTGTTGAAGCATCAGTCGTTGAACCCTGGGGTGGCTTTACTGTTGGTTGGGGCGTTCTTAAAATACACAATACACATAATAAAAATGTCAACAAGCATAGCTGACAGTATTAATAACAACAGCTTTGGTGTAACTTCAAAATTACATAATGCCAACATTACTCAAAACCTGACTACAGGCTTTTCTCAATTCACCTACATAACATATGATTAGATCAATGCACAATTCTAGAAAATATGTACCTCCCACCGTCAGCTGCACATTGCCCATTGACAGCAGTAAGCAACGGGTATGTCCCCTCTCCACACGAACCCATAAAGTCATCCAAGTCCAGAGCCCACACCATCACGCCACCGTATCCCTGGTCTTTCATAAACTTTACCTATGGACAGATTGAACTATGTTGAATCATCTGTATGGCATTCAGTGTTGACAAGTGTTGACAAGCACAACTAGAAACATTGTGTATTTACAAATAGGTTGTGGTCGTGTTACATCTACAAATAATAATCTGATTTGACATTATATATCTGAAAACGTTTACAATTCAACATAGTAAATTGACTGTACGTTTGCTTCAAAACGATACCACACTTCAATCAAATGGTATCTCCTTTCCAATCAACCGCGAGCAGCCAGTATGTGTAGCTACACCATGGTAGAGGATATTCACTCATCACAAGTGTTGAGGTAGAAGCTCAGTGGACACATCACCATGACAATGACCACCTTCATGACCTAACGTACCATGGTCTGGAGACTGCTCACATCGTCATACCCCACCCACAGGTTGCCACTGACGGGGTACAGTCCCCTTCATGACGTAACGTACCATGGTCTTGAGACTGCTCTCATCGTCATACCCCACCCACTGCTTGCCACTGACGGGGTACAATTACCTTCATGACCTAACGTACCTTGGTCTTGAGACTGCTCACATCGTCATACCCCACCCACTGCTTGCCACTGACGGGGTACAATTACCTTCATGACGTAACGTACCATGGTCTTGAGACTGCTCTCATCGTCATACCCCACCCACTGCTTGCCACTGACGGGGTACAATTACCTTCATGACGTAACGTACCATGGTCTTGAGACTGCTCTCATCGTCATACCCCACCCACTGCTTGCCACTGACGGGGTACAATTCCCTTCATGACCTAACGTACCTTGGTCTGGAGACTGCTCACATCGTCATACCCCACCCACTGGTTGCCACTGACGGGGTACAATTCCCTTCATGACGTAACGTACCATGGTCTGGAGACTGCTCACATCGTCATACCCCACCCACTGCTTGCCACTGACGAGGTATCAGTCCCCTTCATGACCTAACGTACCTTAGTCTGGAGACTGCTCACATCGTCATACCCCACCCACTGCTTGCCACTGACGAGGTATCAGTCCCCTTCATGACCTAACGTACCTTGGTCTGGAGACTGCTTACATCGTCATACCCCACCCACTGGTTGCCACTGACGAGGTATGGAACCTTCTGGTCTTCGATGTAATGGACATCCGCGCCACTCTTTATCAGCTGGCAGATCTGGAATTCATCAAGCAAATTCACAATCATTCTTTGCATATGAGGTAAGAGTTCCAGATAGTTCTAAAGATCAAAAGGTAGGGAAGACCACTAGAACTTGAGTGTAGACACGAAAATATGAATGGTATTTTTTAATCGGAAGCAACTTAAGCCCTTGATGTGTTATTTGAAATTTTGCGGACATTAACTGAATACTCCATTCAACGATTAAAGATTGATCATTCACCAAACATTAGGCAAATAACGAATACAGATTAATTATCAATGGCAAATAATTATTAACAAAAATATTTATCAATCGTATTGTTTCTGGCATAAAGAATAAAATACCCCCCCCCAAAAAATGTATTCAGCATTACGGTAAGATTAATGAAAACTGACCATTACTGACTATTCTTCAAACAGATAATAAGTGAAATTAAGTGCAAAATCATCAAAACAAAACCAATATTACTCCTATGAACCCTGAAACTGCTGCGAGAACTTCACCTCATAGTAGGACAAGAAGCCTGCTTCCCTGGTGTATCTTCCGGCCGTGCCCGCCCCCCGAGCCGGGGCACCCAGACCACTGTCACCGGGGGACGCAAGGGTGAAAGTACGGCCGTACGTGGCCAGCCCAATTACCAGCTTGTCCCTGGGGGCTCCGTTCTTGGCCCAATACTCAGCTGCCCAGGCCTGAAGCAGATTCAGAGACTATGTAAATACTGACTTGATGCTAGTTGGCAGTTCAATTGAACGTTCCCATATAACGTGAATGAAAACGTATCTCATGCATGCTTGTATCCATCCATCCATCGATGCCAGGCCGCTATTTAACATGGATACAGCACATTATTCAGACTAAAAGCCGACCAGTCCTTGTTTTCGCCCCCAAAACCCGAGCGACAGGCAGGGTAACAAGAAGTACCATAGTTTAAGATCTTTGGTATGACGGGGCCGGGGATTGAACCAGCGACCTTCCGGCAAACCACAGAGGAGGTCCTTATATATAGAAAACAAAACGGTTTCTGTGAGGATTATTAATTCTAATGTTTCATATTTGTTTCCGTGAAGATCAGTTGTCCTCAGTAACCTATGTTTGTTGTAAGTGGCGAATAACGGGATCGGATGGGATTCTATATGGAGACTAGATGAGTTTTTTGTGTGAAATTCAGCTGCAAAACCAGAAAAACGATTATAAGCAGCCAAAATAAATATTTTTAAAACCCAACAATTTATTTTTTGTGGCCTACAATGTCCATTGATCTCCAACATTCTGAAGAATAATTGACTTTCTCAAGCATTTTCTGGAACAATTTAAATTTTTTTTCCGATAAAATCCCTCCTGTCCCTGTGATACTTCCACTGTAGTCAAGCCTATGTGTTCATGTTATGACATTCAAGGCATACATACATACAGTATGAGATGTAAATTTGCCGATACGTTTATCACAGCCTGGATTTGCAAAAAGTGGAATCGGTTTACCAAATACAGAATCGATTCACATATCGAATTTAATTTCTTCGATACATATGCGAAAAGGGTAACTGTTTACCAAGAGGAAATGTTTAGAAATTGTACTCACGACGTTCAGATAGCGGTTCTCTCCCTTGTCACTGGAGTCTGCATACAGGGGACTGTTATGACCGGTGGTCTTATCCCAGGACCCATGGAGGTCATAGGTCATGATGTTGATAAAATCAAAGTATCTGAAGAGCGAAGTCGTAGCAGTCAGATGATCGAAAAATGTTCATTAAATACGGTTAGATCAGTTGTGAGTAGTCAAGCATTACAAAACAGTGATTGTAACTGCAGAGTTGCGTCCTTCGGGTGTACCAGGATCCTATGACCTCGCATTTGAATTCAGGATACGCCTGATTAGGATCTTTGGTTTTGTCACACCATACCCGTGCTCGCGGTTCCATAAATGTGGTAACAAACATGCATCAATGTTTGGCAGGAATGCATTCCTAGGGTCATCAAGAAAACCAAATATTATTATTATAGGTATCTACTTGGTATTGAACTCATTAAAATTAGATCTTTTACTCCGATACGACATCTCTCGGACAAGTTCTAAGGGAGGGTATGCCATGTAAACTATAAAACCAACCAATCAACATCGACATTTGACATCGATTTCAATAAGGAGGTAAGTCCAATTCTGGTGCTCGTCACCCCTAAACACGCCATGAAAAAACTGAAATACTATTCAAAGCAGTATTTAACTCGACTCATTCTGATATCAACTGATTGCATAACATTGTTAGGTTAAGGAAGAGAATATATGGATGTCACTTTCTTTATTATGAGGAACACTACGTTTCAGAGTATATGCTTACTCCTTCACCAGGTGAATGAATGCCATGTTATTTTCCATCTTTTGTTATCTTATTAATTTTGTTGTCCTCACATGAACATATATATGTTCTCTGCCTCATGACATTCATTCTAATAGTTACAATAGTCTAATACTGTCCGTATTTAAAAATAGCCGTGCGTTGGAACAGTCTGGTTGCCTGATTAGGCTATGCTTGCCCTACACTGTAACGCAAGCGCAGCCAACCCGGGAAACCAGGCTGAGCGTCTGGTTAGATGGAATTATCGTCAATGAATATCAATAAACAGATTATGAATAGGTTATTATAACGTTTGGTATACACGTCTTCATTGCATACTTTGAAATAACGGGGATGTCAAAGCCAGCATCGATATTTCCCTTCCCAGCAGGCACCGCGGCTGTCAGCAGAAGACGTGGACGACCGGTTGTCTGCGCATCCTCCTCATACACATTCACAAGCGCCTGTAGACAGAGACAGGTTTATGTAACCTTTCAACACACACTTGAATAGAATGTACAGGGGACAGAATAGGTGTGTTTGTTTTTTAACGCCGCACTGAGCTATATTCAAGTTATATGACGGCGGTCTGTAAATTATCGTGTCTGGACCAGACAATCTTGTGAATGACATCATAAACATCGATCGTCGCAATTGGGATACGATGACATGTATCAACAAAGTCAGCGAGCCTGACCACCCGATCCCGTTAGTCGCCAAGCAAGCATGAGTTGCTGAAGGCCAATTCTAACCCGTATCTCCACGGGTCAGAATAGGTATAATCAGACATGTGGTGCACATGCAATTCAGACAGTGATACGATCGTCTGTTGATTGAACTGATGTCACTTCTGAATTGATGAACTCTCCTTCAAACTAATATGTGTAGAAACTGGGCAGAATAGATATTATCTGACATGTGGTGCACTTTCAAATTAGACAGTGATACGATCATGTCTTGATTGAACAGACATGACACCTGAATTGAGTAATGTGCATAACTTAAATTAAAGATAACGTATCTCAACAAATATTCTCGCCCTATGTATTGTACGTGAATGCTAACTTTGAGAGTATGAAATCAAATTAAATTGAATGTTCTCATGTTGGTACCGTCTCAATCTACGCCCTAAAAGCTTTGACAATTACCAAGACTAAAATATACAACTTTGCACGAAATTCGCACAGCCATAGAAATCATGCCAAAATAACAAGACCTACATACAGTGTGTTTGTATGTATGTCCCTGAATTGTGTGTCATGTCTGCCATGAGGTGTGTCATGTCTGCCATGAGACGTGTCATGTCTGCCATGGGGCGTGTCATGTCTGCCATGAGGCGTGTCATGTCTGCCATGAGGTGTGTCATGTCTGCCATGAGGCGTGTCATGTCTGCCATGGGGCGTGTCATGTCTGCGATGAGGCGTGTTATGTCTGCCATGAGGTGTGTCATGTCTGCCATGGGGCGTGTCATGTCTGCCATGAGGCGTGTCATGTCTGCCATGAGGTGTGTCATGTCTGCAATGAGGTGTGTCATATCTGCCATGAGGTGTGTCATGTCTGCCATGAGGTGTGTCATGTCTGCCATGAGGTGTGTCATGTCTGCCATGAGATTTGTTATGTCTGCCTAAGGTTTGTCATGTCTGCCATGAGGTGTGTCATGTCTGCCATGATGTCCTGGCAATGGCTTCAAATCCTAACATCGCCCTTATTATACAGTCCTGGGTAAGTCTGTAACAGTATTCGTGTCTAGATGGGCTATAATTGATATACAGTTCAAAGCGATGATAAAATGAATTGAATCACCTTCGGGTATATGGCCACATACACCCTTTAACTGCAAAATCACTATAAAATCATTAATAAATGTTATGTTAATATATTGTGTACCTGTAGATAAAACTTACAAGAAGTGGTTGACCATTCATTACCTTTAGAAGTTCAACATAATTTTGCTTATCCTCTGGTGGACTTCCTCGGTTTCCGGGATACTCCCAGTCAAGGTCAAGGCCGTCGAATTTTCGAGATCTGAGATACTGCACAGAACTGGTAGCGAACTCTTGTCTGTTTGCTGCTGTTTTTACCATGGCTGTGAATGTCGCCGATCCCATGTTCCACCCACCAACAGACAACAAGATCTTCACGTTCGGGTTTTGCTTTTTGGCATGGTCGTGTAGCCGCTCATACCTGAACATAGACCATAGGGAGATGTATGCGGACAGTACATCTGTAGTGGTTATGGCATTATACCTAACATATTCCATGTCAATGAGGCATATTGTTTGGACACTTTCTGCTAAACCATATAGTTTTGCAAAGTATGAGAATTTTGTGTTTTACAAGCAGTGACAACAATATCTATGACATATTAATATATATCAAACTGAGGTTAGAGCTGGCACGACCAAACCAAATTGTCCTTGTCGCTTGTCCCCTACACTCCAACACTTGCACGATCCTCGTACACGTCCTATACCTACGCCCATCCCTAACACACACACACACACACACACACACACACACACACACACACACACACACACTTAACGCGCTGATTGAACCGAAATAAATACAGTTCACAGAGGTGTGCACTTTCTCACGAGCTCACAAGGTCAAATTCAAATGTGAAATTGCCTCGAGGAAGTATCATTATATTCAATATCATATTGACAAAGCATATATCTGTTTGCTTTTGACGTTACAGTATAGCAACACGACACCGTCCCTCCCACACACACAGTACAGTGTGCCGACGTCCACACACACATTTAATTATACTGTTCATAACCTTTACATAAGAAAGCCCTGTATTCACAACATACATTCCCTTGGACCAGTCTGTTGAATCGTCGTTCCATTCATAAGGCGCCAGGTTATTTCCCGCAAGCTTGGCGAACGCATAGTTGATATGCGTGCACATCGTGGCGTCCACATCCTCGGGGAAGAACTTCTGTCCCTCTGGGCGATACTGGGCCCAGTTTGTGTAGTAACACACAACCCGATCACACGTCATGGCTGGAAAACACACAACGGCATGGTATCAAGTGCAGGGAAACGTTACACAAACTATGAAATACTATAAAAAAATCGGATATTCTTTAACTTCTTTTGAGTAGTATATTCAGTATAGGTAAAATTTTAAATGATCTCTTTGCGAGTGATTGCTTTGAGTTTCTTTGTCTACAAGAAATTAAAATGGATAACACAAAAAGAAATACTTTAAATGATTGATGATGATCGATGTAATTATATCAAAACCACGACGTATAAGTATTATCATATCCCATGTTAGAATGATGAGATCTGATTGGTTCACGTGATCTTTATAAAGACTTTATACTATGTTTTGGTTTGCTTGTTTTTTGCTTAACGCCGCATTCAGCAATATTCCAGCTATATGACGGCGGTCTGTAAATAATCGAGTCTGGACCAGACATCCAGTGATTGACATCATGAGCAATTTGGATACGATGACCTACATCAGCCCAGTCAGCGAGTGTGTGTGTGTGTGTGTGTGTGTGTGTGTGAGTTTGTGTGTGCGCGCGCATGCGTGCGTATATCCGTTTCATATTGATGTACTTGAATGAGATTTAATGATGGACTGGATTTTACGGGTACTTTCTAATGATGCACCGGTTCACATCCCCATCAAGCAAACAAACATTGATAGTGAGCAAATTCTCCGTCTACCTGTTCAACCGGTTCACCGCTTCCGGCAAAACATTATTAACATACTAATCATAAATACCCTTGGTGGTCTGGCCATGCTGATACACATATAGTCACCAGGCGGAGAGCGCGCTCATCAAAACCCATAATATCCACCGAGGCATTGTCTAAACTTGGATCGTCTGACTTCGCTATGACTGTTTACTTCCTTGCAAAGGGAGGTAATTTGTTATTTACATTGTAAATCCCGCTATCCGCTACTCTGTAAGAAATGCGTGTTATACATGCACCGTATCACGGGTTCGATCCTGGTTGTCCCGCTTTCCTTGCTACTTTTACTGTACTGCTGAAGACAAATGCCGTTTTACCATAGGAGAGGATTAACATTGTATTGACGTGTCAACTTCCACCAAACTATATATATCCGATATATAGCCTACTACCACTACCACTACTACTACTACTACTACTACTGCTACTACTACTACTACTTCTACTACTACTACTCATATCGTCCTTTCGTATTCTTTTGGTGTTGTTGATTGGACGAAACAAGAAATTCACGGTATTGACACCCTCACACGAAGAATCATGGCAGACAATAGATCCCACCACCCTCGCTCTTCCCTCAATCGTTTATATTTACCAATTATGATGGGAGGGCGTGGAGGCTCGTCGTGATATAATTGTTTTGTATACTTTTGCACACATTTATTTGTCTGGTGATCCTTTTGTGAAGCATGTCAAGATTCATGATGAAAACAAGGCATTCCAAAGTTTTCTAAAACCAGCCAAGCATGTGGGACATAATCTCAATGTCGGTGTTGATTTTGTTGATGGTTCTGTACTGCTTGACGATACACAAATCAGTGTCAGCTAAACGAAGTGCAATATCAAATCGTCCCAGACTCAGTTTTTCAAGGAGAGGCTATCCGAAAGACCTCTGCATCGAGGTTATTTGCAGTGTGTTGAGAAGATCAGCAACCCTGCAGAGTCCCTCGCTTGGATGAGGTCGGCTGGCCTGAAAAGTGAAACAGAAAGCTTTCTGTTTGCTGCTCAGGACCAGTCACCTCCCACTCGAAACCGCCAATGTGTGATTTTGCATCAAAATGTAGATATGAAATGTAGATTATGCAATGAATTTAAAGAGACTGTCCAACACATTGTCAGTGGATGCCCAGCTTTGGCACTAACACAGTATCTAAAGCGACATGATGGTGTAGCTCGTTCATTTTGTTACCGTCTTCGCCATGCTTGTGGTTTTGACACAGAGGTCCATCCATGGTACGACCCGGAATATGTGGAGGGCGTCATGGAAAATGATAAATACACAATTCTTTGGAATAGGCCCATTTACAGCCTCAGACGTATCCAGGCCAACAAACCTGATCTTTTCCTTTTTCCTTTATCAATCCAATGAAATCATTTATATCATTGAATTTTCTGTCCCTTTTGACAATAATGTTATTGAAAACATGGCAAATATGCAGAGTATCCGGGTTTGCTACCAGGAATACAGCCCTTCTGACAATCTGGGTAATGCAGAAGGCTTGCAGTGTTGGGGAGTCTTCACATTCTCCGAAAAGTTCTGGGTGGGTTTGACTAGGCAGCGCTTCCTGGAAGAAGTCCAATTCGCTGTCTGGCCTGCGTGAAGAGGGGGCAAGAGCCCTTAGAGAAATGACGTCCCATACCAAAGGACTTACAGAAATCATGTACAAGGGACAAACAATATGTAATTCATATAAGCTCGTTGATGTCTCCTCGAAATCGTAGTCGATTTATACGACTGAACCAATATAGCAAATTTTGCTCATATCGAGTGCTTATCAAGGAACAATAAATTATAGGTCAAACTTACTTCAGACAAAGCCACAGTCCTTCCTTACCTAGTTTCGTATCAGACTAATGCCATTTGGCCAAACTCATCTACACGAACGTGTACTCACCACCTGTAGCCAGCCAGAGACAGGAAAAGATGACGGACCACACCAACATCTGCAACAGGAGAGTACGCCTTCATGTGATTCAGCATGTGGATGTTGCTAACGTTTTTACACACTATAAACATTAATATCGCACGCAGTAACACTTCCCGCTAGAATATAGTCGTTTCAATTTGTGAACAAATATTTAACTGAAACGTATATTTGCTTAGAGGATAAAAGCTGAAGGCAATCCCTCAGAAAGTCTTTCTGCCGAATGTGTTGCTGCTTGTTGAGGAAGGGAGTGGGATGGCGCACACCGTTCAGTTGAGTGTCGTTACATAGAACTCGCATGTGTTGCATTGGTTGTGAAACTGAAGTAGCATAATAGTTGCGATGTGTCGATAAACTGATGTAGCATAAAAGTGGCGATATGTCGAGTAACTGAAGTAGCATAATCGTTGCGATAGGTCGAGGAACTGAAGTAACATAATGGTGGCGATATGTCGAGTTACTGAAGTAGCATAATAGTGGCGATATGTCGAGTTACTGAAGTAGCATAATAGTGGCGATATGTCGAGTGACTGAAGAAGCCTAATAGTGGCGATATGTCGAGTAACTGAAGTAACATTATGGTGGCGACATGTCGAGTTACTGAAGTAGCATAATAGTGGCGATATGTCGAGTGACTGAAGAAGCCTAATAGTGGCGATATGTCGAGTAACTGAAGCAGCATTATAGTGGCGATATGTCGAGGAACTGAAATTGCATAATAGTGGCGATATGTCGAGTAACTGAAGTAGCATAATAGTTGCGTTATGTCGAGTAACTGAAGTAACATAATCGTGGCGATATGTCGAGGAACTGAAGTAGCATAATAGTGGCGATATGTCGAGTAACTGAAGTAGCATAATAGTGGCGATAGGTCGAGTGACTGAAGAAGCATAATGGTGGCGACATGTCGAGTGACTGAAGTAGCATAATAGTGGCGATATGTCGAGTGACTGAAGAAGCCTAATAGTGGCGATATGTCGAGTAACTGAAGTAGCATAATAGTGGCGATAGGTCGAGTGACTGAAGAAGCATAATGTTGGCGACATGTCGAGTGACTGAAGTAGCATAATAGTGGCGATATGTCGAGTGACTGAAGAAGCCTAATAGTGGCGATATGTCGAGGAACTGAAGCAGCATAATAGTGGCGATATGTCGAGTGACTGAAGAAGCCTAATAGTGGCGATATGTCGAGTAACTGAAGCAGCATAATAGTTGCGATATTTCGAGTAACTAAAGTAACATTATAGTGGCGATATGTCAAGTAACCGAAGTAGCATACTAGTGGCGATATGTCGAGTAACCGAAGTAGCATAATCGTGGCGATATGTCGATTAACTGAAGTAACATAATAGTGGCGATATGTCGAGAAACTGAAGTAACATAATAGTAGCGATATGTGGAATAACTGAAGTAGCATAATAGTGGCGATATGTCGAGTAACTGAAGTAACACAATAGTGGCGATATGTCGAGTGACTGAAGTAACATAATAGTGGCGATACGTCGAGTAGCTGAAGTAACATAATAGTTGCGATATGTCGAGTAACTGAAGTAGCATAATAGTTGCGATATGTCGACTAACTGAAATTGCAAAATAGTGGCGATATGTCGAGGAACTGAAATAACATAATGGTGGCGATATGTCGAGCAACTGAAGTAACATAATAGTTGCGATATGTCGAGTAACTGAAGCAGCATAATAGTTGCGATATGTCGAGGAATTGAAGTAACATAATTGTGGCGACATGTCGAGTTACTGAAGTAACACAGTAGTGGCGATATGTCGACTAACTGAAGTAAAATAATAGTGGCGATATGTCGAGTAACTGAAGTAACATAATGGTAGTGATATGTCGAGAAACTGATGTAGCATAATATTGGCGATATGTCGAGTAACTGAAGCAGCATAATAATGGCGATATGTCGAGTAACTGATGTAGCACAATCGTGGCGATATGTCGAGTAACTGAAGTAACATAGTGGTGGCGATATGTCGAGTAACTGAAGTAGCATAATGGTGGCGATATGTCGAGTAACTGAAGCAGCATAATAATGGCGATATGTCGAGTGACTGAAGCAGCCTAATAGTGGCGATATGTCGAGTAACTGAAGTAGCATAATGGTTGCGATATGTCGAGTAACTGAAGTATTACAACAGTGGCGATACGTCGAGTAAATGAAGTAACATAATGTTGGCGATATGTCGAGTAACTGAAGTAACATAATAGTGGCGATATGTCGAGTAACTGAAGTAGCATAATGGTGGTGATATGTCGAGTAACTGAATTAGCATAATGGTGGTGATATGTCGAGTAACTGAAGTAGCAAAATAGCGGCGATATGTCGAGTAACTGAAGTAGCATAATGGTGGTGATATGTCGAGTAACTGAAGTAGCATAATGATGGCGATATGTCGAGTAACTGAAGTAGCATAATGGTGGTGATATGTCGAGTAACTGAAGTTAGCATAATAGTGGCGATATGTGGAGTAAATGAAGTGACGTAATGGTGGCGATATGTTGGGTAACTGAACTAATTATTAGTTACCCAGCCTGGCGATCGGCATTAAGGGGATAAAACCCGGACTGGGCGTCTCGGAATCAGTATTGTGCGTCTCATTTGGGTATTCATTTTAAACTGAGGCATGGTATCCCAGTGGGCTAGCACTATAAAATCGTCATTAGTCCGGAGAAGAACAAGCACACACACGCACGCACGCAAGCACGCACGCACGCACGCACGCACGCACGCACACACACACCACCTCACCTCACCTCAGCAATCATTTTAGTGGCGTCATATCAAGTAACTGGAGTAACAACATAAGTATTAATATATTGAGTCACTGAAGTAACATAATTTGTAGTGACAAATCGCAAAACTAAAATAACAAATTTACCAGTGAACTATCGAGTAACTGAAGTAACATGAAGTAATTCACTGTTCAGCAACTAAAATTAGCAGTCCCTTTGTGGTCGTTATAACCGTAGTTTACAGTATATCCAAATAAAGAAAACAGTCATTCCTGTTTGGCAAGAAAAATATACTCACCATGTATTGTCAGTTTAGGAGCAGTGTCTGATTTGTCCGACTGGTGCACTTTTATATATACGACCTGGTAGACATCTCGCACAAACGGGTCTATTAATACGTCAAGATATTCCATATAATTAAATTATTGTACAACCTGTCAATGAGTGTGGACAGACTTGTCACGTGATTAAAATCTCACGCGCTATATTGGCAATATATGGAGTCCCAGCGTGCTGCCGGAAACAGAATGAAACTAACATTTTCTGACGCAAAGGAAATATGAGATGTTATCGGAAAGTGGTACGTGACAGATTGGTGTATGACTGTGCATGAGGAACAACTTGAATCCCTCATATCCATTCTCTAATTAAATTATAGTAAATGCGAATTGTTGTTGTTGTAAACTTTTATGGGACACTAAGACGGACGATTAAAACGATTGTTCAGTGGATTGACACGTGTTCAACGGGTTATCAAGTATACCAGAGTGAGTGAGTTGGGTTTAAAGCCGCATTTAACAGTATTCCAGTTATATCACTGCGTGTCAGCTTAATGCGTGAGAATAGCCCGAAGTGATGCAGGTCTCGGACGTTTACCACTTCGGTGAAACCCACGAGCACGTATATGGTGCTGACAAACCTAGAACATATTTGGGGCGAACCGGGATTCGAACCCACATTCATAGGTTTCTGGCGTGCCCAAGGGACGCAATATTGCATAGCGAATAGCTGCGCCTTATTTTTATCATTATTATTTACAGATTTAAATAAAAAATGCTGCAAAGACGGTTTGGGGGATCCTGGCACAGTCAGGCTGGTTAGGCTCATCATCAGGCTCAGGGTCCTTGCCCCCTCTACACGCAGCCCAGACAGCGAATGGGACTTTTCCCAGGAAACGCTGCATTGTCAAACCCACCCAGAACTTTTCGGAGAATGTGAAGACACCCCAACACTGCAGCCTTCTGCATTACCCAGATTGTCAGAAGGGCTGTACTCCTGGTAGCAAACCCGGGTACTCTCCCAATGTCGGTCAACAGATTGGGAGGCACCAAACCTGGGTCCGGGTCATACCATGGATGGACCACAAGCATGGCTAAGGCGATACAAGGATCGAGCTACATCATCATGTCGCTTAAGATACTGCGTTTGTGCCAAAGCTAGGCATACACTGACAATGTGTTGGGCAGTCTCATTAAATTCATTGCATAATCTACATTTCACATCTACCTTTTGATGCAAAATCACACATTGATGTTTTCGTTATGGAAGTGACTGGAAGCCTCCTGTTTCACTTTTCAGGCCAGCGGACCTCATCCAAGCGAAGGACTCTGCAGGGTTGCTGATCTTCTCAACACACTGCAAATAACATCGATGCAGTGGTCTTTCAGATAGCCTCTCCTTGAAAAACTGAGTCTGGGCCGATTTGATATTGCACTTCGTGTAGTTGACACTGATTTCTGTACCGTCCAGCAGTACAGAACCATCAACAAAATGAACACCGACATTGAGATTATGTCCCACACCCTTGGCTCGTTTTAGAAAACTGTGGAATGCCTTGTTTTCATCATGAGTCTTAACATGCTTCACAACGGGATCACCAGACAAATAAATGTGTGCAAAAGTACAAAACAATTCTATCATGAAGAGCCCCAACGTTAATCAAACCACGCCCTCCCATAAAGATTGGTAAATATAACCGATAGAGGGAAGAACGAGGATGGTGGGTTCTATTGTCTGACATGATTCTTCGCGTGAGGGTGTCATTACCCACGACTTCTTCTTCTTCTTCTTCTTCTTCTTCTTCTTCTTCTTCTCCTTCTTCTTCTTCTTCTAATCAACTGTCCCATTCAGCTGTTATTTAGATTCGACAAATCCACCATATAATTTTTTTATGGCGAGTAACTACACGATCCGTGGAGAAGGGAGAAGACACAATATGTACTTAATATAAATAAAAGAAATGAAAGAACACGGACGTTTAACTATCGTCATAGGAAAATGTCAGGTGCCTTTAGCTTCTTTTGAGCAGTTTATAATTTGACAAATATCCCGATTGCCCAAGCCATTCGCAGATGTAAAATTATCTATAAAAGTGAGAGTAATTATTCGGGAAGGGAAACACGAAGCACGCTCTGTCGCAAACGCATGAGCCCTTACCTCTAAACTGCCAACACCTGGATAATCAAAGTTTGAAACAGCCGGTGAGCCTAGTTACCATGGTTACATGTCACTGTCGTCAGTTTATGATAATTGAAATAGTATTTCACACATTCCAGGTTTTTTGCTTTTGAGAGGTATATCGAATATGATAAAGTGAAGTTTCCATTCTTTGAGATACGCCATACTGAAGAAAGCCAAACTGGTATTGGTTTTGGAAACAAAATGGCGTCCCCACAGAAAACACCACCATTTTTTTTTCTCTTTGGGGGTTAGCCATTCGAGAAGAAATAAGTATATAGATATTAACATAAATAGTTTATATATTTAAAGCCAATCTGAGACGTGGAAGTGCTCTGTACATCCTGCAGTGGACATTGGCCGACGTTTGAAACTTTCCCTATCTCTCTAACATCCTCATTGTGACCTTTGTTTTGATCTGGCTGTCATATATCATTGTCTGATTAGCTGATTCAGAGGTAACGTGATAGTGGCGATATGTCGAGTAAAGGAAGTAACATAGTAGTGGCGATACGTCGAGTAAAGGAGTAACATAGTAGTGGCGATATGTCGAGTAACTGAAGTAACATAGTAGTGGCGATACGTCGAGTAAAGGAGTAACATAGTAGTGGCGATACGTCGAGTGAGGGAAGTAACATAGTAGTGGCGATATGTCAAGTAAAGGAAGTAACATAGTAGTGGCGATATGTCAAGTGAAGGAAGTAACATAGTAGTGGCGATACGTCGAGTGAGGGAAGTAACATAGTAGTGGCGATATGTCGAGTAAAGGAAGTAACATAGTAGTGGCGATACGTCGAGTAAAGGAAGTAACATAGTAGTGGCGATATGTCGAGTAAAGGAAGTAACATAGTAGTGGCGATACGTCGAGTAAAGGAAGTAACATAGTAGAGGCGATATGTCGAGTAAAGGAAGTAACATAGTAGTGGCGATACGTCGAGTGAGGGAAGTAACATAGTAGTGGCGATATGTCGAGTAAAGGAAGTAACATAGTAGTGGCGATACGTCGAGTGAGGGAAGTAACATAGTAGTGGCGATATGTCGAGTAAAGGAAGTAACATAGTAGTGGCGATACGTCGAGTAAAGGAAGTAACATAGTAGAGGCGATATGTCGAGTAAAGGAAGTAACATAGTAGTGGCGATACGTCGAGTAAAGGAAGTAACATAGTAGAGGCGATATGTCGAGTAAAGGAAGTAACATAGTAGTGGCGATACGTCGAGTAAGGGAAGTAACATAGTAGTGGCGATATGTCGAGTGAAGGAAGTAACATAAAAATTGCGAGTGGCTGTCATATATCATTGTCTGATTATTGGCTAATTACCCTCTTTGTATAAACTGATAGAACAATGTATCTACAATGTACACTTCCACTACAGTAGTGCAAACATGCTACTATATACCAAGTGAGAACAAGCTCAAAGTATACCAAGGGCGACACACTGCCAGTTTACCAATGACGAACAGGCTACCAGTATACCAATGGCTAACAGGCTGCCAATATACCGATGGCGAACAGGCTGCTAATATACCAAGGGCGAACAGGCTACCAATACACCAAGTGCGAACACACTACCAGTATACCAAGGACAAACACACTGCCAGTACACCAAGTGCAAACACATTGCCAGTATACCAAGGGCAAACACACTACCAGTATACCAAGGGCGAACACACTGCCAGTATACCGATGGTGAACAGGCTGCCAATATACCGATGGCGAACAGGCTGCCAATATACCAAGGGCGAACAGGCTACCAATACACCAAGTGCGAACACATTGCCAGTATACCAAGGACAAACACACTGCCAGTACACCAAGGGCGAACACATTACCAGTATACCAAGGACAAACACACTACCAGTATTCCAAGGGCGAACACACTGCCAGTATACCAAGGGCGAACACACTTCCAGTATACCAAGGACAAACACACTACCAGTATACCAAGGGCGAACACACTGCCAGTATACCAAGGGCGAACACACTACCAGTATACCAAGGGCAAAGACACTGCCAGTATACCAAGGGCGAACACACTACCAGTATACCAAGGACGAACACACTACCAGTATACCAAGGGCGAACACACTGCCAGTATACAAAGGGCGAACACACTACCAGTATACCAAGGGCAAACACACTGCCAGTATACCAAGGGCGAACACACTACCAGTACACCAAGGGCGAACACACTGCCAGTATACCAAGGGCGAACACACTGCCAGTATACCAAGGGCGAACACACTGCCAGTATACAAAGGACGAACACACTACCAGTATAGCAATGGCGAACAGGCTGCCAATATACCAACGGCGAACAGTCTACCAGTACACCAAGGGCGAACACACTACCGTTATACCAAGAGCGAACACACTGCCAGTATACCAAGGGCGAACACACTGCCAGTATACCAAGGACGAACACACTACCAGTATAGCAATGGCGAACAGGCTGCCAATATACCAACGGCGAACAGGCTACCAGTACACCAAGGGCGAACACACTACCGTTATACCAAGGGCGAACACACTGCCAGTATACCAAGGGCGAACACCCTGCCAGTGTACCAAGGACGAACACACTACCAGTATAGCAATGGCGAACAGGCTGCCAATATACCAACGGCGAACAGGCTACCAGTACACCAAGGGCGAACACACTACCAGTATACCAAGGGCGAACACACTGCCAGTATACCAAGGGCGAACACACTGCCAATATAGCAAGGGCGAACAGTCTACCAGTACACCAAGTGCGAACACACAGCCAGTATAGCAAAGGCGAAAACACTACAAGTATACCAAGCGCGAACACACTGCCAGTATACCTAGGGCGAACACACTACTAGTATATCAAGGGCAAACACTACCAGTATAAAAAGGGCGAACGCACTACCAGTATACAAATGGCGAACACACTGCCAGTATACAAAGGGCGAACACACTACCGGTATACCAAGGGCGAACACACTCCAGTATACCAAGAGCGAACACACTACCAGTATACCAAGGGCGAACACACTACCAGTATACCAAGGGTGAACACTCTGCTAGTATACTAATTCCGAACACGCTACCTTTATACAATGTGTGAACACACCACCAGTGTAACGGATGCGATCACACTACCGTTATACCATGTGCAAACAAGCTCAAATTATACCAGATGCGAACACATCACTAATACAACACACTTGAACACAGTACAAGTACACAGCGGGTGAATACAATACTAACATACCAGCGAGCAAGGAAAATAAAAGATAGTAATTACTTTCCGAACTATGAGATGAGCCCTCAGATATTTGTTACGGATCAGCAACGTTTATCTGAATGCACTTGAAAGTCACGATTGAAGTCACGCCAGTACTTAAAGCAAAACTGAAAACAGTGTCGTTTATCACCGTGACATATGGATGTGTACGTGCATGTGTTGTATAGATGACACACCCAACACAAGGTCCTTCTTCCTGCTGCAATCACCCAACGTGATACGGAAGAAGGGACGCCTACTGTACGAATTTATGAGGCATAATTATGGAATTATGGGAAGATATATACACGAACATCCCATGTCAGCTCACAGTTGTACCTGGGGCGGTGGGGTAGCCTGGTGGTGAAAGCGTTCGCTCGTCCCTCCGAAGACCCGAGTTCGATTTCCCACATGGGTACAATATTTTGAACCTAGATATCATCGAATATTCAACACTGGCAAAACCTCCATGCATTGTACATATATCTTCCAAATATGCAGGCGGGCATGTTTGTCAAGGGCGCCTTAAGCGCCGCAATTGATATAATAGTTGGTTTAAATCCTAGATTTGCCTTGATGATGTTTCTAGTCATACCCGTGCTCGTTCATTTCAACAAAGTGGTAAACGTCTGAGACTTGCATCCCTTCTACCTGACCCATCGTGATATCATTGAAGTACTGCTCATTCCACCAAAACGTGCATCTTCCTCTTCATTACTGGACTTGCAACAACGAATGAATTTCTGTTTCTTCAATGCACCTTTTTCTTATTCTTGGATTTTCCTGATGTTCTATCTATCTTTCACTTCAGCAAAGTCCTTTAACGTGCACTGACAAACAACACGTAGGGTATTGATTTTCAAAGGTCTTGTATTATTTCCCGAGAACGTATCAGGTAGATCGTGTTTGTCGTCCGGCTCAGGAATGTCAGCAATAGCTCTAAACATGTCCGGGTCTGGTTGGATTACGAATAACATAGAAAACCTCACACATTAGCGAAAGATAGCGTCTTCAACGGCAAATCCTCATTTGTAGCACATAGTATAGTGGTAACACCAGAGTTCCCCCTACCTGACGAAGCCCATATATTTTGTCCCCGTCGTCATGGGTAGATTATTGTCAAGAAATCTTTCCCCAGGTGTGTCAAAAAGTATCCTATCACTCATAAATATTTAATCTTTAAGTCACATGTTTAATTTGCCTGCATATTTTAATGGGGATGTTTCATGCATTCATGTGCCCAGAATGGCGATTACAGAACTTTTTGTTTCAAAATAATTGAATAAGAGAGTTAATATCCTTTTGTCATGGTGAGATCACTCATGCAAACCAATTACATGACATGATTCGTCGCGGTTAACATGAGGCCAGTGGTATGTTTACATTTGGTATTTCAAAAAGAATACTAGTGAGTGAGTGAGGTTTCACACCGCTTTTAGCAATATTCCAGCAATATCACGGCGGGGGACATCAAAAATGGGCTTCACGCAGTGTACCCATGTCGAGAATCGAACCCGAGTCTTCGGCGTGACGAGCGAACGCTTTAACCACAAGGCTACCTGACAGTCCCGAACCAATACTAGTATTACCTGATTATTTAAATGTCACTTGCGTTATGATATACATCTTCCCGGGGCAAACGTTTCCCCTAGCCTGTATCAAAGCCTAGACTACAAGAATTTAATAAGTCTACAATACTCTTGCCGCGGGAAGATGTATGATATATGTAACACAGTTTCATTTGACTACTGACAAGGGGAGGTAACTCGCAGATTGTAATTGAGGTATAATGAATGAACGAATTCTCTCAAATCCAAAGTTTAGTGACATGTATATATTTATGGGTATGCGATTACAGGGAAATGTGAATTTTTTTAAGACAGACTTTCTATTTCCCAGGTAAATTGACGGTTGTTTGTCAACCAGATTGGTTCGAGATTGCAATCAACAGGAAAAACTCACTTCCTCCTTATATTCAGCTTGTCTATACAATGTTGACTGTGACGTCACAGTTGTTTCTGTTGCACACCCTGATCTAATGAGTCACATTAATAACACTGTAATAAATGGCTGCAAAGTTTATTTAACGGCAGAAAATCTGACATATTACTGTGAAAAACACAAGAGATATCACACAGAATAAATGTTGAGACAGTAAAACACAATAAAATGTGCGACACAACAATTTTAACCATTTCAGGATCTTTAGGAGTATTTCGTATTTCATATTTCATTTTGAAAAGAATTGTGTCAAATATAATTGGGTGTTCCTGTAAAGCTGTTACCATTTGCGTTGACCATATAGAAGAAGTGCACAAGAATATTGGATATGGTGTGAGAACGACTGGTCTGGGAGTTTAGAAATGAGCACAATACATCAGATAACAGATGATGTCCGTTTTCTGGTATTTGTGTTAAACGTCATTCATTTACATCCAAGGACATTTTCAGGAAAGTCACAGTATCCCTTAGTATTGAAGGACAGTCCGGGAGAACATGACATGCTGAATGTGCGGCCCTCGTGACAGTGGAGATACAAGGTGCAGTCATTAGGGTTGGGATAAAGACCATCACGGTTGTTGTCACAGAACTTCGTCAGATCTGAGAAATGAAACACACCAATGCATTATGATATAAGAAACAACTTGCAACCAACAAATACAAAATTATACTGCCTGTCAGGACACGATAGACACCGCTCTTCGAATGACGTGTCTGTTTTCATGGTAACAGGGTTGGTATGTTATGAAGAGAGTATATGAAAATTCATGTTTTTGGTTATTATTTTCACTGGACAGATGGGTGACGGGGTGGCGCAGTCGTCAAAGGAGCCGCAAACTGCCGAGCAAGTTTGCGTTCATTAAGCCTGCAGACTATGAGGTGAGGTGAGGTGAAATTGGGTTTAACGTCGCGACCAAGATTATTGTACTTATATAGCGACGTGCATGTACGTGTGTGTGTGGCTGCTTTTACTAGTCCGGACTGATGCCGATTTATAGTGCTAGCACACTGAGATACCATGCCGCAGTTTAACATGAATACCCCACTCAGACACAGTATACTGACTCCGAGCCGACCAGTCCTTGTTTGAGCCCCTTAATGCCGAGCGCAAGACAGGGTAGCAACAAGTACCATCTTTTAACGTATTTTGGTATGACGCGGCCGGGGATCGAACCTGCAGAATATGAATCATACTAAGGTATGGTCTCGTACATTAATGAACCTTGCTTACGTAGTCTTAAGTGTCTCTGCTATATCATCATTTGGATATGTTCTTAGATATTGTCCTACTGATAGTTTCATAGCTTTATGCAAACGGAATAATTGTTAATATATTGTATAACGTATGAGACAATGAGGATTCTGGGTCAGAATAGGTCCCATACACTCACACCTGACATGGAAATGTACTTGGATTAGATTGTGACCATGGCTTGGGTGCTTGTGTTGCATCGTAAACAGAATGTTGCTCATCCTATCGATCACTGGTTTGTCTGACCTAGATTCGATTATTAAGTGGCCGTCGTATTATAGCTGGAATATTGCGGACATTCACTCACTCTGAGGGAAGATATTAATTTTCTTCAATCTCGTCGCGGCATGGCGCTTTAAACCCCTTTCCATTTATATTTTTATCCAACAGAATAATCCATTGATAATATGTATCCATGTCAGATTATCAGTGTATCTATATATGTTTTATATTATTTTAAGATTAATATTATTGTTTTAATACCTTGCTCCATGGCCACGCCGTCAACAGGATTACTGCCAATGGTGCACTTAAATGTGCCAGCTTTCTCACAGGCGATGGTAATGGGGTTGAACTCGGAGCCAGAAAAGCAGACCAAGACGTATGTAGTCCCATGCATGCAGTGGTAGAACTCCCCACAGCTCACAGCACTGGGGTAATATCCGTCCACCCTTCCCCCACAGAAGCCTGTTCCAGGTGCGTAGGCAGGAACTAAGCACGAAAAAGAGCTTTTAAAATGGCTGATAAAACAAAATTGTGATGCTGTTTTACGTAAAATATAAATAGTATGCCTATTAACACTAAAAACACGAAAACGTCGTATTTTCAATCATATGGTCATTGGACGAAAAAACGACGTTTTCTGGACGCTTTCGGACCATCGGTTTTCCATCCAAATTACGACGCTATTTGAAATCGGAATACTCCGCGAGAGAACGATGTTATTAAGTTCTTCCCTTTTCCTGATTAACATTGTCAATCAAGCAACAGCGTTTACCGGTACTTCTTTTTCTCAGCTTCCATTGGTCAGCTGTCGCGTGTTAGATTACAGGAACTGCTGAATTTTACCGTATTCGCATGTGGATTGTTTAATTAATACCGTGTCTAATTTGCTGTTCTGTGCGTGCGCGAATTCGCGATTGTTTACAGCAGGTACTTGATGTAACACGCCGCAACTGCTGGAAGCTGTCACGTGCATTTCTCATAAAATAACGTAATGATAACGTTGATAATAAGTCCAAATAATTAGGAAAGGGCAAAGCTGAGGAACGCCTAAAGTACAGAAAATGTATATTACTTTCGCAGTCAATTATAACAAACAAATACGCAAACTATTATGAAACTGAAACTGAATAACGGCAATGACACCATATATTTGTAGAAGGTGATTGTTTGGAATATATTGCCATAGCATATATACAACTACTGGTTTCTGATATTGCTCGCCCTCTAATTGTCATCTGACCTGTGCACATTGACCGGGGATTCCCCTTTTTCATTTTCACACGCCACTTACCTAAAACATTATAGAGTAATCTGCATGATAGCATAATGAAGTTGTCTATTCTTTGGATATCTAGGCTGCCACCCAAACCGATCCAAGCAGGGATGCGAATGTTAATTGTATGCAATATAGTGCTATGGCAGTGTACCAGAATGTTTTCCGCTAGACTGTGTTCTTATGTTTACTTTTAAGTCATGAAAAATGAGCAAACGATAAAACCAAGACTGTATACTAAGAATTCTATCATTTAGTATTGGCTGATAGAAGTTCGATTGAATGATATCATTTACTTTGAATCAATGATGCATCCGCGTACCTCCGCAAATAATAACTCATTCTAAATTCCCCATAGCAGCCTCATGTGGACTGTCATTTAGGCCAATTTCTCAGCTTTGTGTTATTTATCATAATATCACGGTATGCGAATGTATATAGTTTGCAAACTTCCGACATAACATCAAAGGCTGTTTCTGTGCCGTTTTTCATGTAATTTTATCAAGCTGAACTAAAGACGTGTGAAGATCTACATACGCCTTTGGCTGCAATATCACGAATATGATTCCCACAATATTCACTTTTAACTGAACTTATTGTGGAAACTGGCCGCATCTCATGAGAACGGCGACAAATGATAACAAGACAATCTTGTCAAAAGCAGAGTCGACTGCACCGTTCCGACTACTTCATGAGTATGTGTCCATGCATCACTGTCAAACAGTGATGACACCAGGTGCTCGCGAAGAGGCGAGCACACGCCACCTCATCGGTACTACGCGTCCCAAACACATGCAAAGGCAAGCCAATTAATCATCCGAAAAGACACGGGACACACGGTACAAGTCAAAATAGGCAATGGCGTTGGACACTATTTTGGTCAAGGATGCGTCAAATCGGGAAATGTCGTCCACACGTCCACCACAATACCTTTTAAAAGCGCCAACAAGGTCCATAATGCTAATAACCCGTCATGATAAATACATACATTTCACCCTAACCTTAAAGTGGGATTGCGTTAACCACACTACAGACCATTTTCGATGAAATGCAAAATAGATATAAATACGAAAGCAACAATTCGTTTTAATGCCATGAAAGTTATTTATTTGTCAATACCAACTCGTCATCATAATTTCATAATTGTCATAGAGGAGAGAAAAAGTTGTTTTACAAACTAATATGTAATTGTTGGTGGTTTAATGCCTGTTGTTACAAGGGGGTTTGCACAATAAACATAACAGCTGAAGGGCTTCGCGGAACAAAGGGGTGGTCTCAAAACTTCTATTCTGAAATATTTACATGACTGTCAATGTTACTGTCAACTGAAATAATAATGTGACTGACAGTTGCATGATTTAAACCATCTCTTTTACAATATGAAGCTTTAATTCCTCAACTTTGTCATGCTATATTCACACATATTACTTAAAAGCATAAGGCCTGTGATACATACACTGCATCAGTGTTGGCATTGAAATAGAGGAATTTCTGAACATTTATCCTTAAGGAAAAGTGCCGAAGTTTCATAAATATATATGTACATTTATGTTATTTATGGACATTTGGAGGCACATAGAGAAACCTTTTTTATATATGCTGATTGTAGATGGCTGAGATTGTGCATAAATAGAATCTCATACGTGTGTGAGTAATCCGGTTCCTACCACGTTCAGCAATATCTACTTTTGGGAATAAGGGTCTCCAGTTGTAAAATTATCTCTCTGTCTGTACCATCACCTTACTACACCGAACCACCTGCAGTCCTCCAACCATCCATGCCAAACCTGTCCTCACAATAAGCCACAGGGTTACTGTTATTTAACTGATCAGCGAAGGCCCCCGACCCTGCCTCTGTCCGGCTATATTGTGTCTGGCGTGTTGAGAATGAGTAGCCTTGCTGTGGTTTTAAATATTTTTTAACAATGTAGCAAACTTTGCTATGTAAACATCAAATATGATTCAGTTTTATGTCTTTTGTGATCAGCGTTAACATGTGATAGCGATATCTTTCCTGGTTGGTCTATCCATGTTTTATATCCAAAAGCATTTTAAAATATATTTCTCCGAATCATGTTGTGAGTGATTATGGTTTAACGCCGCTTTTAGCAATATAAAGCAATAACACGACGGGGGACACCAGATTTGAGCTTCACACAATGTACCCATGGGGGAATCGAACCTTGTCTGACGAGCGAACGCTTTAACCTCTAGGCTACATTTAGGCTACTGTAAATGGAATGTACACTGGCAACTTCAAACACCACAATCTTTCCTTAGATCCGAGCAAATTCCGAGCACTGGAAGATACTTGCAGACGTGCGACATTGTTAGTTAAAATCATAATTTCAAGATGATATAAACAATAAATGTCCCTGAAAACGACTGGCATCCTTAGGCTATCCGCTAATCTAGACTTGCCAATAATAAGGATTGAATAAATATACATCGATCGACATATCATTCAGTACAGCCTTCGAGCAGAGACCATAAAATATCATAAAGCAATTTAATCGGTAATGCTTATCACAGTTGTTTTTTAACATTACGTTCCTATTTGTTCATGTTTGCTGTTTACAATGTTAAAATTATAAAGAAATATGATGCTGAGAGCTATGGTTTCATCCACCAACAGACAGTTTGTTAAAATAGTTAATGTTTGCAAAATAGTATAATAATGGATGTTGCTTCTACAAGTATGTTACGTCTTGATGTTTGGGGATGTGAGTGAGTGCATGCTATTTTATACCCAAGACATCAATAATTAAGCTATATTTCAGCAACCTGCAGATTACTGAGGTACACCCATTCACACACGTGGTTGATAGCATAAACACCATAGCATGTCCCTCATTTATGAGACGATCACACACAATGAAACATGTCACACATTGTGTATTTGTCTTGTTTTTATCGCTACCGAAATAACAATAACAAAGACAATGTTGAGTGTAGGTGGCTAAATGACTCAATTATGAAATAGTCCATTCTAATCGCTTTAAGCAACATCTCATATTTCTTAAGATTTACTTTCATTTACAATTGTAACCAAATATTACACAACCGATTGTCCGATAGAGCTAACTGTCCATGGTGGTGGGATATGTGATGTCAATAAACTTGGTAACATGATTTTGTTTGACTTCCTGGCGCGTGTCTGAATGCAATTGACAGTTCAATATCCTACAACTGACGTATCAGCAAATCACGCTGCACTGCGAGGGACAGATACTTGAGAGAAACATGCAACCGTAGCCAGGAATACGAAACCTACTGCTTTTTCGGACACTCTCTGGACGCTCACCAATTAATCAATTTTAATGATTTTTTGTCGTTTTTCCGTCCAATGCCCATATACGAAAAAAGACCGTTCGTGCTTGCAGTGTGACCCAGCTTTGTATTTACCCCAATGTCGGATCGTATCACTACGACAATGTATTAAACTAAAGTTAGTTTATTCACGCGCAACACATGTAGTTCTTAAGCCAAAAAGTAACGGTTGAGACTAAGTGATAAAGAAATACCTTAACTGTTTGCATTCACCAAGGCTATAGATTTATACTCCTTAATGAAAGTTAAAGAGCATCCGAGTTTTTAACATGACCATAGTTAATCTGTCATGCTATGACACATAACTGGAAAAACAGAGCGTTCTTTGACTTTAACATTATACACATTATAAAATGTACAAAACTGATTATGCACGTACAACATGGAACTTGCTTACATAAACTGCAACGGATTAGAATAGGCTGTAAAACAATACGCAAAGTTCATGCATATACTAATGCAATGTATGTGCATAATAAACTGAAGACAATCATATTCAAGCTGCCTTGACAGATCCAACTACAGACATCATGAAGCACACTTCATAAGTCACAAGCGAACATATTTATATTGCAAATGATTTTATTGGCGTCAAAGTACAATCGTACATTCTTTGAAAAGAATTGAGTCATATGGCTTTTTAGGGATCGACAATTTAATATTAAGGAGGGGGGGGGGGGGATGCTTTAAAAAGTATTAAAATACATTGTTGCAAGGTGGTTTAAAAATATATTTAAATTCAGAGTTTCAATTGAAGAAATATCTGGTTTTGCAGTTGTAGTATCCATTTTTCGCACAAAATCCTTTCCAATTCCCCTTTCCTTATGCCAAATGGTCAGTCCCTTAATGGCATTGGAAAAAAGATCTGATATATATCTAAAGATAATTTAGGGGTTCCTTCTTATTATATCAGACAGTCTCTTAATTGAAAAAAATATTGAATAATCCTTTAGCTTGAGACATTGTTTCGCAGAGACGTCGCGAACCTAAAACTAAGGGGAGACGGAGGAAACAGAAGTATCTACTCTTAACCCATTGTAATGCCATACGACCAATTTTAACATTCGATACTGACCACTGTTGATATAAGAACAAACATTGATTAGACGTACAACGATTAACGATAAGATTGATTGTCACGCGGAGACTCTGCTTATAAATCAGTATTGTGGTTCCACTTTGAGATAAGGTCGTTATGCGCATTCTGGCACGTTGGCAGGAAAGTCGCAGGCTCCGCCTCCAGCGCTGAAGACCGTCCCGGAAGCGCACTGCATCCTGTGTGTCTGGCCTCCTGCGCAGTTGTAGTAGAAGGAGCAGGTGGTGGGGTCTGAGTGGAGGCCATCTGCTTTGCCGTCACAGAAACCCCCATCGCCTAGAAGCATGAGGTGTATACAATCAAACGAGTTTACATCTGTCATTGCTGGAAATAAGTAAATAAAGCGACAAAACCCTTTCCATATCCAAAAGAAATCTCTGCATAAAACAGAGTCGATTGTACGATTGTTCTCATGTTGAACATTATAACCAGGAAACAACATTCCTGAAACTGGTTTGGTCTATTTTCAAAATTTAAAGAAGTTCAAGCAAAATATAAAAGAAGGAAAAATACCATATTCATATGGGCGAAGAAGTATTTTCCTCGGCTGTGCCGAAAGCATAAAAGCAGGAAAGTTATCTCAAGCAAAATAAAACAAATCTGGTTCAGAGGAGTTCAGAAATAAGCATCAAGCTGAAATGTTGCGCTGGGAAGGATGTCCCGAAATGTAATTTTACCTTTTGATCTCACAAATAGTTGACGATGTGGAAGTCTTATGAACATCGTTTACGTGAAGTCGTTTACCTGTATTTCGCGTTGCAGCCGTCTGTCATCAACGTCATTGTGTCGGGGGGATCAGAAAGGTGCAATGAAACTCATACATCTTATACATATATTTTGGCTTATATTGATTATAACATTCCCATCCCCGTAATAAATTACACGTGAGAAAGAGTCATGAGCTTTTATTTCGCTTTCATCACAATACGGGCATAGTGATAACACGCTGGATAATAACAAACACACGAGCGTCGAGATAACTCACAGCTCTTTGATAGTACGTGTGTAATCTTCAAGGATAGTAAACCAATATACTGGATACCGAATACCAATGGAAAATACAATATCCTATTATTCAAAGATACCGATAGGTTTTGGTAAAATAGATGTGAGAACAAGATTGTGTTATTTGAGTGAGTTGAATTTTACGCCGCTGTGAGCAGTATTTCCGTTGTGAGGTGACAACTCAAAGCGACGCTTGTCGCTGACGTTTATCACTTTGGTGGAACCCAAGAGTCCGAATTGGTTCATGACAGACCATGGAACGTGATTGGAACAATTAGGAGATTCGAACCCACCCCGCGGATCCTGCTATAACTGTAACGAAGCACTGGACAAAACGCGTCATTTGTAGATTACTGTTTCCTATAATGATGAGAAATACAAATATTATTTCAAAAGTGTTATCTTCACCAAGTTATGAGTAATCACGCTTCTCTTATCAAAACTAAAGGGAACGTGAGTCATTTATGACCCGGCTCAACGTATGTCGCACAATTTGGAGTCTCGTGGGGGAACAGATATTTTCATTAAATGTGATGTTTCTTTTTTAATATATGTGTGCTTCAGAACGGTTTAAAATTTAAGTACTAACATCTTGGAGGAAGTTACAGTGTCCGGGGTTCAATTCCGTTTGGTATCATATGGTAGTAACCTTAGTAACCGTTCCTGTTTTACCCTTGTAAGATAATGCTTAACACATGGAATAGACATGAAGCATTCACACTTGCAGTAAACACAAATAGAGGTAACTGTTCCAATTATTTTCTGCACTCGGGTACATTTTGTGGTGTATTGCAGCCTTTAGTGCTGCGACTATACACCGTTCCCAATGCACAGGGCATCACGTAGGTATTGGAGCTTACGCAGTCTATATAGTTATTACAAGTCGTGGGATCGGCATATCTGCCGTCGGCCATTCCTTTGCAGAATTTGGATACTGGCATTGATGAGTGTCTTGGAGTATGTGCCTGAGTCTGTGCCTGAGGTTGTGCCTGAGGTTGTACTTGAGGTTGTATTTGAGGATGTGCTTGATATGGAGCTTGATACGGTGCTTGATACGGGGTTTGATATGGTGGTTGATATTGTGCTTGACGTGGTGCTTGATATGGTGCTTGATATGGTGCTTGGGTCTGAGCCTGAGCTTGAGCTGAAACAGATAGGAGAAAGATCAATGTTTCAAACATGACTTTCCTGAAACATTCGAACTTTTTACAATAATTAACACAGAAAGGCATCATTTAGCATGTATCTTGGAAGGCAAAGGATAGGTTAATTCTTAACCTCCCTTTGAATGTTCACTAATGCAGCTTATGATGGTTGTCATAATTCCAAGGAAAACACAACAATTTTACATGACACATTAATTTTAGATGACACATTAATTTTAGATGACACAACACAGCGTTAAATGACACGTTAAACACAGTCATGCGCGTTATAAACACCCAACAACCAAATCTACAATTGTAACATTGTTTACGGTTATTGTTAGAGTACACACACATTACAATTTACCTTTCTATGACGATGTTAGTACATGTACAGTTTGCCGTTGCCGACGATGCCGACGATTATCCGTCATCTTTGTGAAATTACCACGTTTCTGCTCATGCCGTCCTCAGGACATGTGCTTTAAGAGTTGCCCCTTTTACCCATGCCATTAGATAGATCGATCTTTATATGAATAAACATAAACAAAGACATTCTATGGCAACATAAAAGAAACAGGCCGTTTGCAATATTGTGAAAAGTCAAGTTATTGGAAATTACAATAGAACAAATTATAAATATTTTGACAGAGAGGAGCTTTTGCAAATTCTTTTGAAATAATAAAATTGATCGCCATTATTATCCATCGTGCTTCGTCTATAGAGAGAAATTGATAATAGAACTTAATTTGGGTAGACTTCATCGAGTTTATAAAATTGAACTTTTCGCCATTATATCCACCGTGCTTCGTCTGTAGAATGAAATTGGTGATAGAACTGGGTAGATTGATCGAGGTAGGCATTTTAATTGGGAAAGTAAGTGTCAAGATGTGAGATGATGCAAATCGTCAGTATTATGAATGATACATATTGTAGGCATTAGTTTGTAAAACATTTTGGGGAAACATATTCGTGCCAGATACCCGTGTATGACATCAATGACATCAATGACATCACCAGTGACACCAGTGGACACATGATAACGTGATTAGACAAAATGTTAGTACCACATGCTGCACGTGTGTGACTGACATTGGATGTGAAATGTTACATTGAGGGACCCTTATACGTGCACCTCTAGACCTAAAGTACAAGCCAATATATAGAATATATCATTTTAATATTAAGTACTAAATACCCTGAATCATTGAATGCATTCGATGCTTCCAGTCAGAATAATCAAGAGGTGCCGCCTGCCACAATACTGCAAGAAAGGGTGATACCAGATTTAACTAGTTTTAAATAAGACACTCTGTGAAGGTTTCCCTGACACAAGCAAAATATAATATTGTAAGCGTTATAGGCTGTTGTCCAACATATCAGCATTGGATATATAAGAGAAACTGAACTATTTGCCAATAGCAGAATTGACGTGTTATGCTCCATTGTTATTTTGGTTTTCGTTGTGATAAACACTGAACACAAATAGACACGTGTCGTGAAATGAGCTCCTGAAAATGTTATGTTTAGAGTGGTGGTCGTGCTGAAAGGCAGAAGATGGCAAAGCACAGAAAGACTAGCAACTACAAATACCAATAGACAGTGTACATTTAGAAAGAAATAAGCATTATCTACAAGTACAGCTACGACACTCTTGAAAACAAAATACCATAATTAACACATTAATTATTTTAAACTTTTCATAGAATTCTCAATCCCTATTCTTACATATTGTATATCACCAAATGAAATGACTAAATTAATATATAAAAACAACAATTGTAAGTGTAAATATATCTTTTAAAACTATAAAAATATAACTTAAAAAAAATTAGACGGTTATTTTAGTCATAATTTTACTTAAATATCTACACTATTCTAATGTGCAAATAAACTACTGAACTAATGAAGTTGCAATGTATTATCAACGTACCGACAGGTGCTGCTGTTGTGGCTACTGGTGGTGCTTCAGCTGTAACAGCAAGCGGGCATTTGTAATTATAGGGCCAGTCACAATACTTCTTGCTTGGGTTATAGACCAAGCCTGTCTCGCAGGACTTCTTGTATGAATGGTGGTTAAGACAGGTAAAGAAGGTTTGGCAGGAAAGAGTGCTAGGATAGAGACCATCAGGTTTCCCCCTGCAATTGACGTCCCTTGGTTGGAACTGGTTCACGTCACCCTCTGTTCCACGTGCAACGTCCGTGATTTTAGTTACAGTATTAGCTGAGATAAAAGATGTCCGCATGCCCAGACGTCCAGGGAAAGATGGAGCTGGAGTCTGGGACAACACGTGGTTTACCTTTGGTGACGTACGAACATTGTGTTGAATGACGGAGCCTGGGCGTGGTAAGGACTGGCTTATGTGACCCCTTGAGTAGTTCGGGAGCTGGAACATCTGGACAGATTTCTGGACTGGGACTGGTGGCGGTTCGTATTGATGTGCTGACTGAAGAAGCGATATCAGTGACTGTGTGTATTGTTGGAGTGTTGGGTAACCCGGAGCTTGAAAGGGCTGAACCACGGATGACTTCGGATAGGCCTGGTAAATAGAACCAGTTGGCGTTTGATATGGTTGTGAGGCACGAAAATCCCACGCAGATGGGGATTGGAGGGGTTGGTTGAGGGTACCAGTTGTCATGTGATATGGTTGCCTTAGTTGAGGAAATGACTCCGATGGATTTAAATATGATTGACCGAAAGAAGGCGTTGGACTTTGGTATGGTCGAGGAACCCATGGATTTGAATGCGATGGTAAAGCAGCGTCCATTCTCACTTCATATGATTGATTTGATCGAAGAACTGATACACCAGGTCTACGTTGAGTATTTCTTGAATTCTGGACGTTGGGTCTTGGCTGGAAGACTGTTCTTTGAGGCTTGCCATATGCACGTCGACCTGATTGTACTGGGTATTGTTGCAGTGTCTGAAGAGCTGAGTACAGGGAGGCCGGTTTGGGAGTCGATACAGGTGCGCCTTGAGAAAGTTGCGATGGTTGAGAAGAACTTTTGGGAGCTTTCGGATTTGACAGGCCCGCTGCACCGGTGGACTTAGATGATGTCCCAGGAATAATTTGACTGGATAGACTCGAACTCGGGAACACTATAACAGGCTTACGGAGAGCTTAAAGAGGAAGCAATAGTCATAAGGCATGGAAAAAAGGTGCAAAGAAATCTATACATATAAAGTATAAAATAAGAAAGAAATCCTACGTTCGAGAATATGTCACTCTCGATCACTTATAGAGGAGGTCCAATGACCTAATTGGCAGTAGCGTACCAAATTCCCATATAAATGGAAACTTGACTTTGTAAGAGGACGTTATTAGTTCAAACGAATCAGGAAGATTTTGGTGTTGGTAATTTTGTATAATTTCTTAACCAATTTAACGTGAGATGTGTTATAATCGATAACACACCTGAGGCCATTTCCATTAATGAAACAGGTGTATTTTATAGACTTGTATGGACAGATGTTTTTTGCACCAACAGTATAGCAAGGTGGTAGATATAGATAGTACAAGACACTATTAGCAGGAAATGTAGAATAAGAATAAGCGAGAAACGTTTGAAAAGTTTAAGCGGGTCCCTTAAGGGTCTACATAAACAAAAGACAGTCAAAAAGTAACATATTAATATCAAGGTAAGTTAGAAATCTTTTTCATAGAGTTGTTTAAATTCATATGAATAAATGTTCTACTTGGAGCTGTGATGAAATTATTTTATAGAAATGATGAGATAAATACATCTATGTAATATAACCATTTATGACAAATGAGATCTATACAATTGGTCTTGTTACAACTTACTGGCGGCGGGGGCTTCAGTAGGGACGACCGCAGGAACAGGACTGCAAGAAACATTCGACTCTGGTTATGGTAGGACGCAAACAGAGAATAGTCCGTTACAACGAACAATGCTCTAATCCCCAAGACTAATGTTAATATGCATGTGGATAATCAAACTTCGGATATTACGAACTGATTGAGTTGGTCCCTTGAATATTCGTTATAGACGTGGTTGACTATTTGACGCTATCACCACCCACGGTTTATTCCAACAAGAGTGATTGTGTTGTGTTTAAAGGCACATTTCAGTTATATCACGGTGTCTTTGGTAATGTTGGAGCAATACCCAAAGAGATGCAGGTCTCAGAAGAAGTTTGCCACTTTTGGCAGGATACGCTCAGCTTTTCACGAACACTTGGATGACCACCATTTGATAGTGATTCATAAACACATGCTTGTGATATAGTCGGAATCGTACTATAGACTTAGCTTTCAGCAGAGATTATTTATGATTATGGAAAGGATTATTGTCGCTTTTATTACATCAATATTGGAGTGAGAGTGAATTTTGCTCAACGCAACATTAGCGCAGCTATGTGGGGTGAGTGGTTTACATTTAAAGTAATATGTTGTTTTTATAAATAGGATTCTTACATTCCGCCGCATTCATTGACGATCGCGTTCATCAGTGGGTAGACGCCATAACCGCAGGCATTTGAGAAGTCATCAAGGTCCAGAGCCCAGACCATCACTCCGCCATAACCGTTGGTCAAGGTGTACTGCACCTGAAACGAAAGGTGGTTTTATGTTTTAAACATTAATCACGAGTACTTGGTTATTGTTTATCTCGAGGAAGGTCTAGAAAAGAATTAACATTTTCAAAACCACCATTAGTTGCCCTAGGCCTGGGTTATATTACCTTTTCCCTCAGACTCTGTTCGTCATCGTATCCAATCCATTGGGTTCCGGAGACAATGTAGGGTACTCTCTGGGAGGTGATTCTATGTACTGGTGTCCCGGAGTTGATCATTGCACAGATCTAAAAACAATCACAGGCATAATTACACGTTGTTTTCACCAATGCTCAGGAATCGTCAGGTAATGTTCTGGAGGGGGCCTGGGATGTTTGTTTGAGGCGGGATACATCTTCGTTCACAGCTACAAAACACGTCATGTTCTACTGGTTAAGGGGGAGCCGAACGCTATAATTTGTTTGGAACAATTTTCTTTTCTAAAGGTTCCCAAGCCTCCCCCATCCCCCCGAATTTCCAATGATTGGTCCCATACAAACATCCGCACAGTTTATCTAAGTCTGTCTTATTTAATACATATGACGTTTATGTTATTTGCTGATATATTCAAATCCGTTCTGTCACCATGTACCACGACCCTTGTACAAATGCATAACTTTAAGACTACTTTGGTGATGAAGATCTAGTTTTATGAGGGCAGATACATTATATAATAAAACGTTCATCTAGTTAATCCCAGTAAGGATATTAACAATTCCGGTTTGTGACACTCTGACGAGCTTCGCCTTGGCGTTACAAACATCACAGAGATCTGTTTTAATATTGCTGACAATAACAATTCCTCACACGGTACAGGATCTTTATCTACCTCATAGTAGGAAAGGAAACCGCCCTCTCTGGTGTATTGTCCTGCAGAGCCTCCCCCGGAGACGCTATCGCCAAGGCTGGTCTGAGTGGCTGACTCCAAGGTGAACGTCCTTCCGTAAGTAGGGAGGCCAAGCACGAGCTTCTCCTTGGGAAGGCCGAGAGACTCCCAGTACCGTGCTGCCCAATCCTAGGATATAGTTCAGGAGGCTTCAGGGTTGTTCAGGCTTGACAACGTCTAATTTATTGTTATGGGGAACAAAACGTCCCGGAGTATATACTTACTCCATCCTCAAACGTGCCTCTTCTTGCTATTGTTTTAGATGCATGAGAATCATTGAATGAGAGTTTTATTTTTTTGCTTTATTTTACTTTGAGTGTATCTTGATATTAAAAATTATTTGCTTTTCGAATCTATGGTGACTACATATAATTTCATGTTTAACAGACGACACATTATAAATCCAGTTTGGCCATGAATATACCGAAACGGTATGTCTGTACGCCACGTAATAAGCTATACTACCAGAAGTATAGTGTCATGGTGAAAAAGGATGACGGTGAAAAAGGTATTGTTGCGCGAAAACATACGACATTAAGGAAGACCTGGTCCCCGGTCTCTGATGGGTCGGCATACAAGGGGCTGTTATGTCCAGTAGTGTTGTCCCAGCTACCATGCAGGTCATACGTCATGATGTTGATGAAATCGAGGTATCTGGTGAGGAAACGTCATGGTTTAGTGCGGAAAGCTGCACCATTAAGTGGCATAAGCACCTGGATAAAATACACTGGTCAGTAGGTATGCACTGATTGACAATGTGATTATCAATTGCTTAACAAAGAATAGAACGACGCCGGATTGATTGGCTTTTACAGAGAAACCCAAACAACACAAGCCATATTGTTGATTAACACGGAGAGAGCTGTTTTCAAAGTGTATTAAAAACTTTGTCAAAGCGTACGTTGCCGCTGCTGGAACGTCGTAGCCGGTGTCGATGGTGGTCTTCCCGGCAGCAACGGCAGCAGTTAGGAGCAGCCTCTCATTTCCAGTTGTAGTTGCTTCGTCACGGTACACGGCGTCCAGTACCTACATAACAATACAATAAACTAGACCTCACGAAGCATGCCGTCAGGTACATTGCAGTGAGTGAGTGAGTATGGTTTTACGCCGCTTTTTGCAATATTCCAGCAATATCACGGAGGGTAGGTACATTGCAAATAACAACACAATCAAATGAGTCCTCGCGAAACATGCTGTCAGGTACCTTGATTATAACCACGCAATCAAATTATTCCTCGGGAAACACGTTCTTTTCATGTAACAACCCAATCACGTAAGACCATATGAAACAATGTTCATACATTGTATAGTAACCATAATCAATCAAGACCGAGCACGCCATAAACCTATGATTGTGGGTTCGAATCCCGGTTCGCCCCGATTATGTTTCAAGATTTGTCGACACCATACCGGCCGTGCTCGTGGGTTTCAGCGAAGTGGTAAACGTCTGAGACCTGCATCACTTCGACCTTTCCTCCCAAATTACGCTGACACGCCACAATATAACTGGAATACTGTTAAAAGCGGCGTTAAACCCAACTCACTCACTCATGATATGTTGAATAATGCATTTGACGACACGATCATCTAAAACCAGACGAAACAATGTGCCATATCATTACAAAATAATGTGAGATCTTATGATGCGCTATTTGACGCCTTGTCTTCAACAAAACAGTCATGTGACGCTTCATAACAACAAACGAAACATGCCAGCTACATTCAATATGATGAAACTAAAAATAAATCCAAACGGAACACAGTGTCCATTCTCTTATTTAGAAGATCTTTATTATGTAAAACAGTGTCATGGTTTGTCCTTAACTATAAATGTACTGATTGTAAAATGATGATCCATAAACACACCAACAAGATATGGCTCGTTAAAAAAATTAAATTTATTTAAAATTAAATATCGCGTCGGCAATATTTTAGCCTCATTGTGACTTTTGTCTTTATACAATTCACAATACACAAACTATATATACTATTAGGTGAGGTGAGGTGAAATGGCGTTTAACGTCGCGTCCAAGATTATTGCACTTATATAGCGACGTGCATGTACGTGTGTGTGTTTGTGTGGCTGCTTGTACTAGTCCGGACTGATGCCGATTTATAGTGCTAGCTCACTGAGATACAATGCCGCAGTTTAACATGAATACCCCACTCAGACACAGTATACTGACTCCGAGCCGACCAGTCCTTGTTTTAGCCCCTTAATGCCGAGCGCCAGACAGGGAAACAACAAGTACCATCTTTTAACGTCTTTTGGAATGACGCGGCCGGGGATCGAACCCCGGACCTTCCGCTCTCCGGGCGGACGCTCTACCACTAGACCACGGAGGCGGTCATATATACTATTATATTCAATAGGCCAGAGCTTACCTTCAGCCACTCGATGTAGTTCTGTTTGTCTTCTGGTGGACTACCTCGGTTAGCTGGATACTCCCAGTCAAGGTCCAGACCATCAAAGCCTTGTTCACGGAGGAAGGTGACAGAGGTGGTTGCAAATTCCTGCCTTCCTGCCGCTGTCGCTACCATTGCGGTGAAGGGCTCCGATCCCATGTTCCACCCACCAACAGAGAGCAGGATTTTGGCATTTGGGTTTTGGGCTTTGACGTGGTCTTTCGTTCTCTCATACCTGGAAAGGAAACTCTAGTTGCTGGGAGAAATGTGTACACATGTGGTCATCCTGCATCAGCGTTCATAGATTTCGGGGAATTTACGCACTGACCCACGCACATTACATGTAACCATTTCAGTCTCTGGCACACTGCATTCTTCCGGGTGAGGATGATTTGGTTGAATATACCTAATATAAAACTACAGTGGATTTATCAACATTTTATTAAGTCAACATTACCTCTTTGGAAGGTTTTTGCGATGGGCGGAATGCCATTCTAAGATAGTTACTGACCCGACAATAGGAATTATTAATAATCACGTTTTCAGCAATTAACTCAAAATAAATCTTAGGCATTTAGTTCACCCAGCGTTGGTACCCTGTTATCACGATTTCCTCAAACGGCCCAATCAAGAATTTTTTTTTCCAAAGCCAAAATCAGATATCTTCAAACATAATGTACCAAACAGTGCACAACCATAGAAAAATAGCGTAATGAAATGAGATTTTAGGAAAGCTACTTCCAGCCTAAACGACGACACATAGGTTAATTTTTTGTTAGGATATCGTGTGGGGCTTCTGTCAAACTTCATGTTGAACGAAGTTTGATCTGTTTATGTATGCAGTTGATAACACTAACGTGACCTTCCCATTATAAATGCTGGATTTGATTCTGCCTTTTAGTCGATAATGGGGAGGGAAACTTTCGTACGTATACGTTCCAACATGGTTTCAAGTTGATGAATTTGCTGTACGTTATGATAACAGCAAATTCCATAATGTCCACTCACATCCCCTTGGCCCATGTCTCTGACATGTCGTTCCATTCGAAGGCGGCCAGCTGATTTCCGTTCATCTTAGCGAAGGCATAGTTGATGTGGGTGCACAGTCGAGGGTCGATGTTTTCCGGGAAGAATTTGAAGGGCTCAGGGCGATACTGGGACCAGTTGGTGTAATAGCACACCACTCGTTGACATGTAGAAGCTAAAATATAGTTCATGTGAAATATTACACAATTATTAATCAAGCAATCACCATTTTAACTGTATTTGGAAAGGGAAACTTTGAAAGTTGCAGTGTCCTTCATGCAATGTCCTCATGTTCGTCAGTACAAGAGGACGACCAGTCTTGAGTATCCCCCGAAACTGATTCTAATTGGCGCAAAGGGCAAAATAGCAGTAAACTATATGAGTGGACCACCAACAGCCAGTGATGACACCAGGTGTTCGCGAAAGGGTAAGCATGAGGAGCCCCACCGGTAGTACCCGCCATTTTGTTTTTGCATTTTACATAGGAGCAAAGAATTCACCGACAAAACATACTGCATGTATTAACATAAAATCTGGAGCTAAACAATGAAATAATACCATAAACATTTTATATGGTACATTTTAGAATTATGAGAACTGTTGTGGGGCTTTTTTTGTATTCTGTTTGCTATTCTGTTTAAATGATTTAAACTCACCGTATGTCGAAGCAGCCAAACAGGTCAGCACAAATACTAACGCTATCATCTGAAAAACGATTTAAGGATTCTGTTAACAATGAACTTTTGTTTGGTTGCGTATTGATTTAAGAATTTTGAAGGTATCTAGTCATTTTAACATGTGATTATATTGTCTGTGAAATAGATATACAATGAGGCTATGCTCGCTTAGAAAAGAGATCAGAACAGCAATAAAATATTCCATATGCAACAAAATCGTTTTTTTCATGTTGTTAGATTAAGGGAATATCTATTTGATTTGTAGGGGGTGTTTTTGCGAATAAGTCATTTGTTTCGAAACTTATGCAACACACTATTTATTTACTGAGCACCATCAAACAATGTATTCATTGTCACTGTTAACACAAAATGTTTTACGTTTGGATATTTTGCACAAAACAAACTATTCATCTTCCACACCACTGCCAATACAGTAAACTACGGTTATAACGAACACGCTTATAACGAACTAACTTTTTAGTCCCGACTATTTGCTGTATATATGCGTTTAACGAATTACGGTTATAACGAACTAAAACTAGTAGTCCCTTTGAGTTCGTTATAACCGTAGTATACTGTATTCCATTCAATATAATTTAAAGACTTTCTGGAAGCCTATTATATTAATTTGATGTAAATAGGAAGTTGCCAATAAATACTCACGGTTGTTGGGTTACGATCCAGTGAAGCCGGTTTGGGTGTGCGTTTGCTAACTGAAAATAAACAAAATGCACTAATCATTGTGCTAATCCATGTGTACATGTGACTCAAAGGAATGTATACACGGTATCAATTGATACAGTAAACTACGTTTATAACAACCACGCTGAAAACGAAGTGACGGATATAACGAACTGTTGTTTTTAGTCCGGCTATTTACGGTATGCTTAAGTTTAAACGCTTATAACGAACTCCGGTTATAACGAACAAAACATTGGTCCCTTTGAGCTCGTTATAATCTTAGTTTACTGTATTAGTAGTAGTTTGGTGAATGAGTCGATTTGGTACAGGGGAGCTCTGATGTCAGTTATATCATGGTGTGCCAGGACCGAAGAGATGCGGGTCTAAGACGCGTAAATTAAAGCGACAAAAACCTTTCAATATTCATAAGAACTGTTTCTGCCAAAAGCACGACTCCGAGCATATCATGAACATGTGTCCATGAATCGCTATCAAAACGTGTTGATACCAGGTGTTCGAGAAAAGATGAGCGTATCCTGCCCAACCGTTGGCATCGGTCACAGACACATGCGAAAGCAATAATATGGCACAAGTCAAAATAGGGTATTGCGTCGGACATCCTTCGTGTCCCTAAATGCGTCAAATATAGAAATGTCCACCATAAAACCTTTTGAAACTGAACAAAAGTCGCAAGAAGCTCTTCAAGTAAGTGAGTATGGTTTCGCGCCGCTTTTGGCAATATTCCAGCAATATCATCGCGGGGAACACCAGAAACGGGCTTCACACATTGAACCCATGTGGGGAATCGAACCCGGGTCTTTGGCGTGACAAGTCAATTCTTTAATTACTAGACTACGGATGCTCTTTGAAATCTTCGAAGAAAGAGCAAGCTCGATTGTACCTCCAAGCACGATCACCAGTTCGGTGCTGACGGACCTCAATATTATCAGACGCCATAATAGTAAGAGACGCATATCAACTGAGTCTCCTTGGAGGCTGCAAGATTCATTTCGGATTATCAAATAAACATTGAAATGTAAATGGCGGAGGTGTCTGAAATACATAGGTTATACAAAACTGAAATATGTTTGTTGCACTCTTGAAATCATATGAGCTCCATGTGACAGAACTATGGATGTGAGCATGAAGGTATGTCTGTAATTATTCTTCAGTTAGTCATCATGAACCCACTGGATGGTTTACCTCATACTAACACCTTTTGAGTGTGTGTTCAAGTGGCATTTATAAGAAAGACTATAAGAGCTACAGCGTAGCGAATGTATCAGGCGAATCATTGATAAAATGGCCTTATACTTGAAATAGAAAACGCGTCGTATAATTTGATAATAGCCATACGTTAGTAGGTACGAGAATTGTACAGATCGTTTTGGGGATGTGAGTGAATATTGGTTTACGCTCTCAATTCGATTTGTAGGGGACATGTTTAATTAATTAAACTAAACATGAGCTAAACTATTATTTGGACAAGATGTTTCCTTTCGGTTGAAGAAGAAGCTGCGACATGTATAGAATGTGTTCCTTTTGGGGTTGCAGATCTCTGAATGTTTTCTTAAACAACCTGGGAATTGATTATAAAACCATGCCGAAACGAATGTATGATTTCTGTTAAACTCATGAAGCCCTAATCTGATAAATCTTTGGCAGTCATATTAAAAAACCCATTCATTTTACAAATGTTGCAATTTCAATAATTCTAACAGTGTTATAATCAAAATGTGCCTGACCACCGTTATTGTTTTAATACATAAACTCTTCATATCGATAAAAACAATTCCTAATATGAATACAACACATTCCTAAGAAAGAATGCTGGCAATGTTATCATCTTAATTTTACTCTGTGTTTATCGAACTATTAGATTAGAGTAACTATTGTTATTGACATTTTTATTTTAACTATACCCTTAGTCAATATAAGTTGTCTGCTTAATGGAGTTGTCGGTTCTCAAGTTACGTGACTATTTTATGCTTCTACATATAGTAAAGCTGAACAACAGTTGCAGAATGAGGAATGATCATTACATTTCAGTGATTATATGCATATTTTTTGATTGAACAACCATGCACGTTTATGTGAATCAAGCACCTTTTATTGGTTTTACCAGTTTTTCTCCTATATTTACTAAATATCGTGAATATGAATAAGGATACTGCCAAGAGAGCTGAGAAAGTAAGTCAAGTACACACTGATCCACTGACTTGAGCAATAGTAATGTAGTCATGTAATGCCATTAGCATTCATTTAGTGAAAAGAACAGGGCGCATTATTAATGCAGCTCTGGTGATCCTGGCACAGTTTTGCTTGTTAGGCTCATCATCTAATGAGGGCACTTGCCCCCTTCTACACGCCGCCCAGTCACAACGAATGTGACTTCTTCAAGGAAGCGCTGCCTAGTCGAACCCAGCCAGAACCTTCCCGAGAAGTCTTCCCATAACTGTAGCCTTCTGCTGCATTATCCAGATTTTCAGAAGGGCTGTATTCCTGGTAGCAAACCCGGGTACTCTCCAAATGTCAGACAACAGATTGGGGAGGTACTCAACCGAGGACAATGGGCGTGGGACAACTTGGTACTAGCAGTTGTGATGCAAGCTGATTTTAATTCACTAATACTGCGATAGAAATGAAAGGTAATTGTCCTATATATTGCTTCCTGTTTCCTGGTCCAAGCCAGTAGATTGACACAAGGAAATCTGGAGCAACTTCTTTTGCCTATATCTGTCTAAGTAGTCTTTTTCTGATCCAAATAATGTATATTTAGAACTCCGTCCACTTCTAAACTAATATTAAAAACCCACCAAAGCTACAATTTCGCAAAGCCTCCTCAGCCCTCGTCAATAAAGTTTGTTGAATTCACCAGCTAATTCTGAAGTATATGTCACAGTATCATTGAATCTCAGTATTTAAACACATATAAAAGTCAGAGTAAAACGTTTGTTGGTACACTGTGGAGTAACATATCGGTTTGTCTTACCTGCCAGTGCGCCCGAGTCTCGCCTTCTCTGGTTAGGTAGGGGCAAGTTGTGGCTTTATACATTTGACTTGTTGGCATTAACTCTTAGTTTTCTCATGAAAATGACATTTTATGTGATAAAAACAGATTGGGAGTTTTATTGCATCTCTTCTAAACTAGTCTCGTCTCAGGTTGGCACGTATGTGCGTCGAATACCCTCTTACAATATTTGAACAAAAACACGTGAAATATATCATTGAAGTGTATTCTGGCATTTATTGGAAACATTAATTTTTCGCTCACCAAATTAGATCACTGAACAGTCTTGAAAGGTATCAAAGCTAAATAAATAGAATATAAAACGCAAGATATATAGCGATAGCTTTAGGAGAACGTGAAAATCTCTTAAAAAGAAGAAGTAAACAGACACATAAGGACTTAAGGGCCATAACCTCCTAATGAAGGCTATTCTGTGTTGTCAGTTGGTCACAGAATTTACAGACTATCGCCAATGTTAGTGACTACGTATACGTGATTAATGCAACGGTTACCTTATTTATTGTAATCAATACGGCAGTTCGTTGTTTGTCACATGAAGATCAAGGAAGTATTAATAAACTACGTTGATTTTTATTAATATAAAACGAAACTACGTGTATGAGCTAGACACGGATCGCCAGTTTATCGCAAAACCGTTCATTTGATGGTATGTCCTCAGTGAAATAACAGTTGTCCGGCTGAGATGTGAGGTGAGGTGAAATGGGGTTTAACGTCGCGTCCAAAATTATTGCACTTATATAGCGACGTGCATGCACGTGTATGTGTGTGTGTGGCTGCTTGTACTAGTCCGGACTGATGCCGATTTATAGTGCTAGCTCACTGAGATACCATGCCGCAGTTTAACATGAATACCCCACTCAGACACAGTATACTGACTCCGAGCCGACCAGTCCTTGTTTTAGCCCCTTAATGCCGAGCGCCAGACAGGGTAACAACAAGTACAATCTTTTAACGTCTTTTTGTATGACGCGGCCCGGGATCGAACCCTGGACCTTCCGCTCTCCGGGCGAACGCTCTACCACTTGACCACGGAGGCGGTCTAATTAATTAAACAGTCATCTGAAAAGGAATAATGTTTGTATTACGGTAATTCTCTCGTCAAATCGTGCACTGTGAAATTTGTTGCTAATTTTTTTATGATACCTGACTGGATTTTGAAGGAGGGACATACATGTTTCACAATTTCTTATATGAAGACACATTGTGTTAACAATGTGAAGCATGTGTTTTATGTCAATTCCAAAAGCGATGACAAAACATCAATCCTAATTAATTGTATGAATGATTTATAATCATGTTTCTTTTCATTTCCCAAGTTGCTTTTACATCATGCATATGTATGAACAAAGTTCACTACAGATCACTCCATCATCTTCAAATAAATCAATATCTAGCAGTACATCATCCAATTGAATTATATTCATATTATCCTGGAAATAATTGCCTTCAATCGCAGATTAGAAGAATAAAGGACACATGAGTTGTGCACCCATTTAAAACTTAAAGGTGCTTTTTCTCACCCCCTCATATAAATAATTACTACTAAGCACATTTACCAGAATGCGGACAGCACATAAACAAACGATATCATAAATGATACAAGACATTTTATTTAATGACAGATTGATATAAGTAGTCCAATATATCTGGCACCATAACTGACAACTGGGATTTTTCAAGAGTATGTCCATGCAATCTGTGCATGCCAAAAAGATGTCAGGTAGATTTTCCAGAAGGGGGTCAATGATTGTGCCGAAATAAATAAATCATGTGCACATTAAAGTCGAACCAGTTTCCAAATGGTATTGCTTTTCAAAGACTTTTCACCGCTTTCTTTAGAATATCCTGCCAACACATGTTGAGCCCTTGTTAATGCGGTCAGGTAACACGTTTCTGATGCATGTTCCTTGGACCCGGGGCATGAACTGAGCAGGCGTTTGCACGTGACGTCGCAATGAATTACCTTCTTTACTGCAAGGATATTGTTGCTCGCCGACCAGC